CTAACCCTAACCCTAACCCTAACCCTAACCCTAACCCTAACCCTAACCCTAACCCTAACCCTAACCCTAACCCTAACCCTAACCCTAATACGCTACTTTTTTTTTTTTTACTTATACGTAACTTAGCTTTTACTAAGCTACTACTAAGTAGAATAATTATAGTTATAGTAGAGTTACTAGCTATATATAAAAAAGATAGACTAGGTTTTAGATTATATATAAAAGTAAATAGTATTCTTACTATAGACTGCTATTAGATTCTGCTATTAAATTTTGCTATTAGATGTTAGAATTAGCTATTAGATTTTGCTATTAGATTCTGCTGTTAGATTCTACTATTAGATTTTGCTATTAGATATTAGAATTAGCTATTAGATATTAGAATTAGCTGTTAGATTTTGCTATTAAATAGTAGAATTTGCTATTAGATTTTGCTATTAGATATTAAAATTAGCTATTAAATATTAGAATTAGCTGTTAGATTTTGCTATTAAATCTTACTAGCAGATTTTGCTGTTAGATTCTGCTGTTAGATTCTGCTATCAGATTTTACTATTAGATATTAGAATTAGCTGTTAGATATTAGAATTAGCTGTCGGATTTTGCTGTTAGATTTCTGACGCACGGGCTAAGTTTTCGAGGATTTGACAGCAAAATCCGCGATCCTAATAGGTATAGCGCCTACTCCCTCGACGGCAAATGTGGCTCTGCGACCGGTGACAAGAAGTGCGGAGGCAAATGGGGTGATTGCTGCGGCAAGAGTACGAGTACGTGCGGCACGGGATCGAACTTCTGCGGCACTGGCAACTGTCAGTATGGAAATTGCACCTTCACGCCACCCACCGCAGCCCCTGGAGGAGCGTCGCCGTTGCCGTTCTACTACTATGGAAACACCACGGACGGATTGTGCGGCCCTGCTAATGACAACAAAGTCTGCAACGTCGCCTGGGGATTTTGTTGCGCGAGTACGGGCAAGTGTGGCATGGGAGCTGGATTCTGCGGTACCGGTTGCATGTCGGGATATGGAAACTGCACAGTCGCCGTGGTTGCTCCAACGCCAAAGCCAGGCGATGTGAGCCCTGGTGAGTCTTGCTACGGTTGCTTTCGTATTCCAGTATCTTGCTAATCACGTTTAGATGGCACCTGTGGAGGGCAGAACGGCTTTGTATGCAAAGGCTCACCGCAAGGTGACTGTTGCTCGAGTTTTGGCTTCTGCGGCAGTACTGATGGACACTGTAAAGCTGGGTGCCAAAGTAAATTCGGTACCTGCACCGGCGGTAACGTCTCTCCGGACGGCTCATGCGGTGGCACGACTGGGTATACCTGCGCTGGCAGTACCTTTGGAACTTGCTGCTCGAAGTACGGAAGTTGCGGCACTACTACTGATCACTGTCAGGCTGGATGCCAAAGCCAATTCGGAACTTGCACTGGGAACAGCAAAGTCTCACCTGATGGCTCATGCGGCGGTACTAACGGCTATGCGTGTGCTGGTGGTATCTTTGGAAACTGCTGTTCGAAATACGGTAGTTGCGGGTCTACCACTGACCATTGTTGTACCGGATGCCAGAGCACGTTTGGCACTTGCTCTGGGGGTAGCAAAATCTCACCTGACGCAAGCTGTGGAGGCTCGAACGGCTACACGTGCAAAGGAAGTGCTTTCGGGGATTGCTGTTCTGCTTCCGGATATTGTGGCAGCACGACGGCGTTTTGTTCGGCTGGTTGCCAGGCTTCTTTTGGTACATGCCCGACCGGCAGCGACAAGATCTCAACGGACGGTAATTGCGGAGGCTCCAAGGGACAAACTTGTACGGGAAGTACGTTCGGAAACTGCTGTTCCAGCTTCGGTAGCTGCGGTAGTACGACTGGACACTGCACCACTGGGTGTCAGAGCGCCTTTGGATTGTGCACGACGTCGAGTACCAACCCAGGCGGCGTTTTCCCGGACAGTACATGCGGAGGGTCCAAAAAATACAGTAAGTTTGCTCTGATCGAACGACGAGATAGGCCTTGGAACCCTGACTCACTTTTGATAGCTTGCGCAAAATCGGCCTTCAGTGGTGGTTGTTCTTCTACTGGAAGGTAAGTCACAGATCTTCCTGTTCAAAATTGACCGAGAGCTGATCAAATACAGTTGCGGATCCACAGTAAACCACTGCGCCCAGGGCTGGTAAGTGGTTGCTAGTTTTCTCTGTCACCCATTACTTTCCCTTTCCATGTTGTGGACACAAAGCTAACATGATTCCAGCCAAACTTCGTTCTCCAACTCTTGCATGACTGGAAAGATCCCCACGCTCGATGGCAGCTGTGGTCCGAAGAACAGTGGGATGACTTGTGCCACTGGGCCCTTCAATGGCCAATGTTGCGGTGCGTCTGGTTTCTACGGCACAACGTCGGCGCATTGCGGTACTGGATGTAACGCCGGATATAGCAAATGTAATTGATCTAGGTATATTGTGAAAACCGTAGGGGAACAATCCAATAGTGTACCTCTCTTTCACTTGCGTATTAGTGATGGCCGAAAGATGTGCATCTGACGGACTGTCAGTCTTGCCTATTATCTATGCTGACAGTGCGTTCCGAAGCCTCCTGCGGAGGCACCTACACTCCCTAGCATTGCGGCACCTCGTAATAGTATACATGCGCTGCAGTTAAATGTGAAGCATACGTAGTTGTGGATACTTAGTGGCTGGGTGCATGTTATAAGTGTTGATTGGTGGTGGAAGGTTGGCGAGGTTTGTAGTTTAATCGAGAACGATGTAGGTTATAATGGTCTATATAACGGAGAGCAAGCTGAAGTGCGCGATATCGAAGCTACAATTTTCGCAAGCGAGGAGGCTAAAATGAAAACGAGGGAGACGTTGGAGGAGATAGAGAGACAATACCCGATGCTCATGAAGGACCCGTGGGTGAGAGGTTGAGTGACGTGAGGTAGTGGCAGAAACTTCGCTGGTATGCCGCATTCACGGGACAAGGATTACCAAGGCAGATGAAAGATCTGTAGTATTAATACAACCAGGGTTTGAAGCCAGAAAGTTTAGTCTATATGTTCGCAAAATGTAGAATCGCACTCTATATCGCACCCGCGGCACCAGGGAAGGCGTTGAACAGGGTTCGGTCGTACTTGACAAGTTCAGGGCATCCAAGCTCTGCAATGATCGGGTCTAGAACAGAGGCCAACTTTTGCACAGCGACCAAGACGTTGCCAAGTAATCCGCGGAGAACGTCAGGAGCACCAACGCTAGCTGCCTGAAATGCGAGGCACATTAGGTTGTTTCCCTCAAGGAGTGTCTGTGCATTGAAGACGTTGCCTGAAGATCGGTGTGCAAAGTCAGTATTTGTCTCACATGAACTTTGTACAAAAATATTACTTGCCTGTCAAGTCGTCGACATCGACTCCAGTGAACGTGTTTGGCTGGCCGGTGTTTCCACCAAACCGGTAAAATTCGGGGTGTTGTAGTTCAATTGAAACGGCTTCAGCAGCGAACGCTGCGATGCTGTAATCGTCACCGATAACGCGGCGGTACCACTATGGGCATTAGCGTATGCAAGCAGATAGTGTCACGATGGGTACTCACGTTTTCGGGAATCTTCTCTTGCCCACGAGCCCACTTGTAATTACCCTTCTCTCCGGTAACACCCTGGAACGACATGAGCGTCTTAGCATCGAGATAACCCTCAGGGTTCTCAGCAGTGTGGTTGGCGAAGAAACGGTAGGTGAATTGATACGTGGCGGGGTTCAACGCGAGGGCCTGTAGCGGGCCTGAGAAGTAATGACCATTCGTAGCGATTGAGTGCCTTGTGCGATCAAGGCGGAACTGGGTTATAACGGAGGGGTCAATGCCGTTCTTGCCAAGAGGCATAGAGAGGAGCTGCTCGAAATAGCTCAAGTTGAGGGATACGGGGTCGCCACTACGGGTAATGAGTTAAGCTGGCCATGCAACAAGGGAGAGAAAGCTGGGTAGCATACGTTGAGTACAAGTCCGATCGGGTGGGTGATCCATCAACCTCGAAGCGGTTGTGTGACGCACTAAGGCCTTGTGGTTCACCGAGAAGGCCGAGTGATGAGGTAAGACCACCTAGGAGCCCGCCTGACTTGGGTTTACCTCCGATCGAAAAAGAGGTGAGATCACCTGCCATGACGGCGGAGTAGACTGCTAGAAATCCTGATAGATCTAGGCCCATACCAAACACTGACATTGTTAGCACTCTGCAGATAAGAGACTAAAGGCACACAAACCCTCATTGGCGGCCGTAGTCATTTGTGTGATTGTAGAGATGCCATTCCGGGGAATGTAACCGTGGTTTGCCAAAACATTGATACCAGGGCAAGGTCCACGGAGATCATTAGGGCCTGGCGCAATCTGGTAACGAAGCCATCAGCGAATGCGATTCCATGTCGCGCATACCAATAGCGCTACTCACGTATCTGTGATCACCAGTAGTACTGATGCGCTGAGCCTCTGCATCGAATGCACGTTTGACGTGGGCACCCGATCGCTTGCTCTCTAAATCTCTTGCAATCCTCTCCGTCAGAGCAGTGATTTCCGCAAGGGTCGCGTCACTGATGTCACCTTTGAGCATGCTCGCAGGAAAGGCGAAGGTCGCCAAGGAGAAGAGAGTCGCGCCGCATAGTACTGAGACCTTCATGTTTGCGGAAACAATCTCAGATGTGAAGGAGTGTGAAGAAAGGATGAGAAGTAAAAGCGAGAAATGTCCGGTCGGCGAGAGGTAGAAATTGTTCAACTTTCATAGTGGCAAATGAGTGCTGCGTACACGTGAGGCGCTATGATTCTCATCCAAATGTCGCCGACAGAGATGCCAATCTGGGGTCAGGTACCCTTCAGCACAGTCCTTACAACCCGGTTTACTTGCTCGGAATTGTAGAGGGGAGGGCCTGGGTCAGAGTGATCGACATGTGTGCTTTCTCGGCGCGGGTTGCGATTGGGCCAAATCTATAAGGGTTTGCAGATCTTCGCGCGGTGCCTTCCGTGCAAGGGCTTAAAACAACCGCGATCCGCTCGCGCCAGCCACAGGGTTCAGTCCGTTCCTGAATCTGCTGGATCTAGCGACTCGGGTCAGGGAGATCTGCTGGATCTAGTGACTCGGGTCAGGGAGAATATTGCGCCCCAGCGTCATGGTTCGACCGTCGAGGCTTTTGTTGCGGGCCCTTGTGGCTCGTCACGGTGCCTAGCATCTCTCTCTTTCTCTCTGTTCTGGCAGCAACGCAGAAGCTGGAATTAAAGTTTAGAACACCAACCCGGCTTGCCACAAGTCTGGACCCCTAACCCACGCACTACAACGTCGCAACAAAAGAATAAGAACAACTTGACAGATACAAAACCAGGGTGCGAGTACTACTGCATTTTTACAGCTCGGAAATTTGTACGTTGTCATACTATTATAAGGGTGACCACGATTAGCTTATATCCCATCTCCGCGTTCCTGCGAGAGCTCTCTGTATACCCGCCGGCAATTATCGATCGGGCCAAGACGTTTCCGAAATTAGCGCTTCTGGTCTAGCGGACATGATCTGTCCAGCGCTGATCTGCTGACTAGGCTGTTGTTTATGCTACCAACGTGCAGGAACAGTCGCACATACTGCCACAAGTGGACTGACAGATGGACTACTACTACTGCGTCTATTCCAGCCCAAAATGATCTCAATTTCTGATTATGCAGGCTGCCTTACCCGCCGCGGACTTCTTAGTAGAGGCGTATGCCAGTTCAAACGTCGCGCACAGAAGCCCGCACTGCATGATTGGCGACGAACGACGCCTTCATTAACGTCGCCCAACAGCCCGGCCAATGTTGCAACTTGCCCGATGCCTACGTACAGTTCTAAGCGTCCCCACAGCCATCTGGCAACGCTTACTCTTCAGAACTGCTGTCGCACTGTTCTAGTTTGCATTATGGGACACGGCTTCTCAGCCGAGTACCCACTACTCAAGGAAAAGGGTGAACACCGGCCACTATCGACGCGGATGACATCCATCCGCAACCCTATCCTCAACCCTCTCCTCAACGCCGTTGGATATAAACTTGATCCTTGTCCCACGTCAGCATCGTACTGTCATGACCGCTCTTGGATTCTGATATAGCGCTAAGGAGCATATCCTTCAATTCCTTCTCCTTCTCGCCGTTCTTGAATCCAAACCAAATGAGCGGCATCGAGAACTGGGTTAGCAACCCGAAAGAGACCCATGGACCACTCATGTCCGTGGTCACCTGGTCGCTGCTCTCCGTCGCTGCTGCCTTTCTATTCCCTCGGCTTTATATTCGATGGCGCCAAGGCAAGCTGTGGCTAGACGACTGCACACTTGTCGTCGCTTGGGTAAGTGTCAGAACATCTCGATGCAAGTAGCAGTTCGCTTATACGATAAAGATCTTACTTCTGGTCCAAGTTTCCATCAACCAAGTGTCTATCAATATGGGCTACGGAGGACATACACTTGACCGTAAGACACCAAAGCAGAGTCTTGGATTTCACACCTCAGATCGCTAATCTTTACGCTAGTCGACTTGCGCAATCTTGATAAGATGATGTATATCGGCGCAGCAGAATTAACGATATACACCATCGCGATCGCCCTGAGCAAGATCTCTTTCGGACTTACTTTGCTTCGGCTGACGGACGGATGGGTCAGACTCTACGTCTACTTTGCAATATCTACCCTAGCGATCTTTGCAATCCCTGCTACCATCATACCATGGGTACAATGCAAACCGCTAGCCAAAACTTTTGTGGACTTCATACCGGGCGAGTGCATCAACAAGCAACCCTCTGTTGTGTATGGGCGTTTCCAAGCTGGTAAGCAAACAGCTCTCAAGTCAATACCTCCATTCCCTTGCTGACTTGCGATGCGACGTAGTGTGGTCAGCACTTATGGATCTTTCTCTTGCTGTGTTGCCGTGGAAGATCCTTTGGAAGCTGCAAATGCGTACCGCAGAGAAGATCGGTGCATGTGTCGCCATGAGTCTGGGAATACTGTGAGTTCATGCATTGCTTGATCGAATAGCAGACTGAGCTGACTTGACCGAAGAGCCGGAGTCACGTCGATTGTCAGATCCACATACATCGCGAAATTGACTACACAGGATGTATCATGTAAGACATTCCAAGATATGTACGGGTCCTTGCTAACAGGTACAGATGAATCATACAATGCTATCATATGGGCAGTGGCAGAGTGCTCCATGGCCATCGTCGCTACCTCAATTCCTGTACTTCGCGTCGTCCTCAAGCATGCGGTCAACTCTGCGCTCGAAGGCTACACAGGCTCGAGTAGAACCAAATCACGAACCAAATCACGATCGTACCCTTCCAAAGCTACGAGTTCGGGAAACCCAATGAGCACAAGACAATCGAGCAAGAAGACGCCAGACATAACGGTCAGTGGAGAATGTGGAGATTCTGTAAAGGAAGTGTTTGGACGTGGATCACAAGGGAACTACGTACAGCTGGATGATCTCGCTGTCGACGAAGAGACTGGGCGCATCACTGCTTCGTCTCCAGAATCTCTGCCAGACCATGCCGAGCGCCATGTACCCAATTGGCACGTATGAGGTCGATATGCCTCTTTAAAAATATAGAAGGACAGGAATAGAGGTTAGAAGGCGTGCAGCTTTGTTGATACACAAGGTCTATGAACACATGATCATCATCACAGTCCTTACCTCTTTACTCGCACCCGATATCTTCCAAGTCGCCATGGTGTGTCAAGTTAGCTGGGAGATGGAAAGCTGACAGAAGTACGAGTTACCCTCTACTCTTGTCACGCGACGATGCATAGTAAGTATTGGAAGGCTAAGGCACTCCGTTTCATCGATTGCAAGCACCACCAGTGCGAGGTCCCATAGACATGTGTCTGCCTAGTGATCTGTGTGCCGATGTTTGGGGACCAGAAACGGCTATCGTCTATGCCCAGACGACGCGAACGCTTCAAATGGCTGTAAGGCGCGATTGGTATGCAGGGCTCGAAGGAGAGCGCCGCTGCAGTGACTGTATGTGTTGAGAATAGCAGGCGACTGCATTAGGAAGTTGCGCAAGCGTAGCAAGCTGGAAGCCTCTTTTTGAGGCCATGTGCCCGCCAACACGATCAATTGATGCGAGAGCCGCATGTACCAGCATGATGACAGGACGATCATAAGAGCTTCTTGTTCATAGGTAGGTGATTAGACTAATCAATTCTATCGCAGTGCGGCTGGTCTATGCTGGAATCATGTCAAAAACGCTTGTTGCATGGCGTTGCCCGACGATGAGTGTGGGGGGTTACCTCGTCTGTGTCTTTCAGCCGAGCCACGCAACGGTCACACACGCCCTGCAGCGACGTCCAATAAAGTCAAAGATTTCCACAGGAAGCGCAGGCAAAGATCGGTTTATTCACCTGATCGTAGGAGCAGTCTGTATTCTAGGGCTGTATCAGGCACTGGAGAATCGGCGGAATGGTGTTGCGCAGACGCGTCGCGGTACCTACGTGTTGTACGGTGGCCTGCCGCTAACCTCAAGCGGCGAAGTGGGGCGATGGGCCGATGCCTTGCAAGTGGACCTGTCACCCCACGAACCATCGAAGATACGATGAGCCAGATGGCCAAAGGGGTTATCACAACGACAGATACTGGTTGTGCTTGTTCCAGAATGAGGTCGGCCCCTATGCCGGCGATGTAGGCTTCGATCAGCGATTCGAGAGACGCATGCTAAGTTCTCCGACCAATTGTACTGCTCGTCTATTCAGCCGTACGTATATTTATCCAAGCGATACCTGCTTTCACTAGAATCTATAACCACGAAGGAGCACGATGTTCAGCAGAGAAAGAATGTATAATCGTGCATCGGCGGCCTGTAGTTCTTGTGATCTAGGATTCGGTTTTCATGACATCATATAAACGTGTCAGGTAGCATCATCTTCCTCTATGTACTGTATCATCCAAGATAATACGATACGACAACTCTTTCGGTTTCAGCGATCGACAGGTCATACAAAGCCAGCTCTTTTAGTGTTGCTTTCATTCCCAGACGGTCGAACCTGCTTTTGGCCTCATGCAGGATAGAGCAGCTGAAAGCGCTAGCGTTCCGCGTGTTCATGTCACTCAAATTCAGCCGCAGCTGAGCAGATTTGCAACAGCACTATTTACTAAGTTGTTCTGTGTTCGATCATGTACCTACGCCAGAATGCCCTACTCTTGATACCTATTTTACGATACAACAACATTCACTTCCCACTGTCGTCTCGTTGCTCAGTTTCAGACCACGTTGAATAGAACACAAAGTCTCGAGACTTTCAGAGATTCCAATGGCGATACCAACTCTCGACATCGCTGGCGTGGTCGGCACTTGGGTTGCCGCCGGCCTTGCCGTCATCGCCTTGTTCGGTGTCGTTGGGCCTATCCTGGTTTTGCGTGCATCTAGAACAGAACGGCACAAAGCGATAGTCGGCATCGGACCACGAAATCGTGGCTAGGTGTCCAAGGGGATCCATGTCTGGCCTGGCGTGCGCCTGGCGCAAAGGGTCCGCGCGCCACGGATTGACATAGCTCGGAAGTTCAAGGATAAGGAGTGGATCGAATTCGACTCGAAACAGATGAAACCTGACAATAGCAAAGGATTGGAGTCATCTGCATCTTGGGTATCTTTTGGAGCGTTTCTGGAAGGTTACGCCGTCGAATCTGAGGCGAACAGCGACATTGCGGTCAGCAGTAGTTTGGCCTTTTTACCCGTTAGCAAAGCGTTCCTGATGACTTTTGCTCTTGTGGGGCGTTTTTCTGACGAGCCAAATAGAAGGCGCAAGATCAAAGGAGATGGGGCTAGGACGTGGGATAGACGCAATGTCAGAAGATACATAAAGTATGATTTCGAGCTCGGGCCACGACACGGTCGTCGACTGATCACAGAACTTCATGATTTGACTGGAACTTTGAGTTTCCAGATGCTGGATGAGGATAATCTTGAACCTGTTGCTGGCGAGGTTGTCAAATCGTCATGGTCGGTTGCCTTTGACGGGGAGTCCACCCTGGAGCCGCTTGAGATTCCTCCGAACCCCATCAGTCTTGAGGACATTGCTATGCTGTCTTTGGGCTTTCTACCCTTTTGTGGAGACAATTATATCAACTTTCTTGACCCATTAGAAGACGACGATGGCAGGGGCGAGGATCGTGATACCGACGAGACCAATCAGGTTGCAAAAGGATATACGAGATACACAAGAATAGTCTCAGGCACAAGGAGAATAGAAAGGGATGACGGAGACCATGATGACGTTTCAGACCATCTTCGGCCAGTAGGCAGGGCAAAAACGCCCGCACGCTTCAAGTCCATCATCGATCCGAACGAGCCACCAATCACGGTCATTGCATATCAGCTACGGGACATCATCTTGGTTGAAGCGAAAATCTTAGCACATTTGCCCCTACAAGAAAATGCTAAGTATTTCGCACTTTTTGAAATGGGACTCGACGGAAGGACTCAATCAGAACTACAAAGGTTATCTGACCATACTTTTGTGCCAGCCGCCGCATCCTGGGTTCGACTAGATGTACCATCTTATGCACAAAACAACTCCCGTAAGTAATACTATATCAGGCGTGTAGACGCCCAGCGAATCGCCCTGAGTTTGCTCAATATACCTTGGCACCCCGAGGGATATCTTTTACCTGGCGTCGTAAACAAACACAGTCGAGCCAAAGTGGTGTACCGGTTAGGTTCAATCTCTGGAAGAACACGTCCATTTCTCATTCGCCTTCGGGCAGGGGTTTCAGCATTGGATCTTAGTTCCAAAGATCCTGTGCAGCCATGAAGCTCATCGTGATTGGCTTGCAGCGGACGGAGTCAGAAAAGGACGGAGGAACGATGTTGTAGAAGACGAGCACATCGTATGAAGCCATTTGAACAAGGATCTGCTTGAAAAGACAGAGATTGACCCAAAGATCTTAGAGGTTGGTAAGGCCTTGGTGGACCGGATGTCTGTTGATATTGTTGCGTGATAAGCGATCATATCACAGATACTTTATCGTGTTTCATAGAAAGATCCTTGACTGAGGAATGCAATATCAAGTCTACTCAGATGTCACTATTGGAGTCGTGATAGCGCGATGCGAGTGCTGGCACATACTTATTTACAGGAAGTTCTAATGTACGTTGCATCTCAGGCCGTGCGAAGCTTCAGCAAGCGTGCATAACACTCTAGTGAAAGGATCATGTCACACGACTGACTAAAGCTGTTGTCTGAAGCAGGATGCTTAGATACCTTATGCTCTTAGTGAACTAGCGGTGCGACATTTAAGACCCCTATGCTAGATAACATTTTAGAAAGGTGTGTTCCCTATAGAGCCTAGCAGTCGCTAGCAGTGTAGAGATGCATGATGTGCTGTGCTTACCTGCATATGTTAGCACAAATCATGTGCGTGGTACAGTGTGCAGTTTTGGATAGTCCAGAAAAAGTAACTAACAAGACGCATGCGAAGTACAGCGAAGGTGACACACCGTATGCCCCTCGTATAGTTTTAGTAAAGTCTGAGCAGAATCGGGTGATAAGCTAATTCCTTGACTCGGGAGCCAACGGGAAGATCCGGAATCGCGGGGATGTTTGAATATTTGTTATTGCTAACTTTGATGCCAGAATCATCTGACCGATAACTCGATTCTACCTAGCGTTCGTGGTTCCATCTTACATATTAAGGCAGGGGAAGCTTCGAAAAAAGGAGTAACACATCAACGAAACCCTGAACTCAGAAAACTTTCCACAAATGCGATCATGGCTAACAGTTCAAATGTCCTCGTCACAACAAAGCCATTGATGGCAGTTCCCGATGGTCTCCTAAAGCAGACAGCTGCTGAGGAAAGCACGACAAAAGGGTTGCAGAATGCCGAATATTCGTATGCAAGCCCTGCCACAGTTTCGAGTATCATAGGAGGACTGATTGGCTTTGCCCCGATCACTTCACCGAATGACATCATAGCTCAGGTTGCCATACGCGCAAAAGCCATTGCAAACGATTACGAACCCATCTGGTTCGTCAACTTCCCGCCCAGCCTTCCATCTTCGGAAAAGGTTGTCTTAGAGGAATACATGCAGGAAGTCTTGCATTTTCGAAGCTGGTCTAGCTTGAAGTGGTGGGCAGAAGTGTTTACCAAGATACCCTCCAACGGAGATGTAACGGTTCAGATCCAACAGAGCAGCGAGTTCGCCAGGATAGCTTACAGAGATATGATAGACATGCCTTGGTGAGTGAACTACCAGACTGTCTCAGCACTAGGCTCTCTTGTGTCTGCTAACGAGATTTGCATTGAAGGTTAGAACTCACAAAATCACAAACAACCTACTCGGGTAGCTTCCAATGTTCCCTATCCTCACTGCACTCTGAACTCATAATGAGGACCATGTTGTCATGGGCCCTGATGGACATGAATACGTTGATTGCACTGGAACCTGTTTTGATGCGCATTGTATCTTCTGCCTCAAGCGGTGTCATGGGGTCATACTATCGAGACGTCAGATCCTTGCTTAGCGAGAAGTACGATGCGATATAAGTTACATGTACTATGAAGCGCAATTCATGATGGATAGATGGAAATCGTATTCTGCTTCTGTCGACAAAGAGCAGAAGGAAGCTTGTCAAGACTTTGTTGAGCGTCAGACTGTCGACATTTCTCCTTGAGGAACATCTGTAGATAGTCTACCCAAGGAAGTCTCTCACTCATTAGACGCAGAAGAATAAATAGGTTGTAATCATGTAAGGTCAATCCCGGGGTCGCGGGACGCACGGTGTCATGGGACAAAACATGGGTACTTCGACTTTAGGAGACGATGGTCCTTCCGTAAAAGCTAATAATCACGGTACTTGTACCGGAATAATTTCCACACCTTCTCATGATACTCTGCACCTATCTGATCTGGAAAATTACAATCGCATTGATATATTTTAATTTAGCTAGAAAATTACTTATAGCTAGCGCTATAAGATTCCTAGCTACTAATATTTTATAGAGAAAAGATAACTCTAAATTAAAGTTAAAGTACCTACTACCTCTATCGCAACGTAGGGGTCTCTCGCTATACAAAGAAGAAAGTTACTTCTCTGTTTTTACTTCTAAAAGAAATTGCTATACGCTTAGCATTCTATTTAATCTAGGTTGTTAGGCGCTTATGTCCTTAATACAAACGTTGCTGCCTACCTTATCGTAAACAGGGCTTAGGCGGCTAGCCGACCAGTAAGGGGACGGCATCACAGAGCACTGCCACCTTTGCGTTTCGTCAATTCTGCCTCGTCCTCAACAAACAGGGCACTGCCACCTTTGCTCTTCCTCAACTTGCCTCGCCCTCAACAGCAATCAATGTTAGATAAGAGTCGCTTCGGCTGAACTACGTAGTGCTCCGTGTAATCTGAATATTGCCACCTAAGTGAACCTTGAATCCCTGCATCACCGCATCGCCGCATCACAAGCTGAGACAGCTGCACGTATAATGACGTCAAGTTCCGCGTATGATGCGAAGAATTCCCCAGAACGACTTCGTCAACGAATTGTTAACCCAGCCTATTGCATGCCTGGTAAGTCAAAGTATCTAAAGTAGGTGACAATCTGGTGTTTTCTAACGCGGTATAGGGTTGAAGACTCCAAGGATTGTGATATCTAACCAATATGGACCTGGACCTGCACTTAAACCAGCCCTGGTCTCTCTCGCACGGACTTTGGCTCTGTTCGACCTTCAACTCGTCAAGCGTGTCCAAAAGTTCCACCAAAAACCATCTTCATCTATGGATGAAACCCGCAAAGTTGAAGTTCTTCGTTTGCTAGAAGATTGTAACGATGTCAGACAGCAGTGGAGAGACATCGACTCAGGCAAATGTCAATTCAGCGAGCTGTACATGACGAATGATCTGTTGGTTCCGATATGGAAGGAAGGCTTGCGCATTATCAAAGAGGTCATTGGAAGTAAAAAAGTTTCCAGCGAACAGTCAAACAAGCGGAATGTCTTTGCGGGTATTCTGTTAGATTACGAGAGTCAAGCAGGGCGCCTGCAGGAACAAATGGTTCATGCCGCTGGTCAGGGTCTCTTCGATCCAGTCTTTTTGAACCCAATTCAAGAGCGCTGGCTGCGGCTGGACGAGACTATAGATCTACATTATAGATTGTGTAATCACGATGCTGACGAGGAGTTCAGTTTTCGTCGTCAGTCACCCACATGGTAAGTTGCTGATGCAGAATTCAGATATCACATAGGATGCGAACGTTGATTATGTTTTAGGCTTGAAGTTCAAAGCTTAGTACAGAAGGAGGCTAGAGAGGGAAAAGATCGCAAAGAGCTTATGCAAAACCAAATTGCTGACAGGTCCTGGAACACAGCTGAGCCTGATAGAACAGCCGGGTCAAAGAACGTGCGAGCTTCTATTTCAGCGCTAGTAGTCTGCAGCTGTGCTATAGCTCCCATTCCGCTGTTCTGTTTTGGATACACTGATTCACATCATCTCCGAGGGACAACAAACGATGCAGATTTCTGGTTCCTCATTGCAGCCACGTTGACCCAACTTCAAGGGCTAGCAGTTTCTGCACTTCTTGAACGGAGTCGTGGCTGCCTCCCAAAATGGCGCTGGGTTATTCCTGCTGCATTTGCAGGAGCTTGTTCTATCGTGGCAATCCCCCTCTACCTTTACATACCAACAGAGTGGAGCTCTCTTTTCTCTCTAGTTGCGGGAATAATCCAAGCCTTCTTGGTATCGCAATTCTTTCTTTTCTAGGTGTCCACAACTGGGAAATCCTAGTAGCCCTCAGAAAGAATGGATTGCATTCAAGAAAAGAGAGGGAGCTAACTGTGACAGCGTGAACATCAAAGGAGTCTTAGGAGAGAGCTCGATAGAATTCTTACTACAGAGGTAGGTTGGAGTGAGAGGGATACTGTACTTAATAAGTAATTTTTTGAAGATTTTGCAGAATGTAGCATATGCACCTTTCAGCTAAGATATCAAGACTTCGAAGCGTAGCTCTTATACTTCGTACTAACTCATTGTATTTGCTTTCTGACTATCTAGAGTTGAGCTGCTACAACGGCGTAAAATGTTTGATTGGCAAGGTGATGCACGACGCGGAAATTAGAATCGCAGAAACGAACTGCTTAACGTCAATGGACCTGATCTACTTGGCCAACAAGAAAAGAGCAACAGCACCATCAGTACGCCACATGTGGTTTGGCAGCTGAGCAAACTTGCCACGGTGTTGGAATTCCAACCATTCGATGTCACAAAGCACGGAAGCGCAGTATTCGAGATATCGGCTGAGAAACTATAGCTAGACGTATAGCGGAAGGGTTGCACGCTGAATGTGCGGTAAAGAGACTTAAAAGAAGGACAAGGTCTCGAAAACTAATAGCCTAGGTGTCCTCGATGTTATTGAATACTTGGGAGATTGGGAGCCTGAGACATCGCTTTATCGTGTAACTGTTGAGACATATGCATGCTTGATTAGGAAGCTGCGTAGAATGAGCAGGCTGACACCAGCTTCTGAGCGCTATGGACGCTGTGCCAACTGGTCGAGGTTCAAGCCACGGAAATCTCAGCCGGTCCCCAAGAGATGATAAAAGATAACAGGGTAGGTATCGGAGCAGCCCGTATCGGATGAAAGCGAGAACCTTGCGTAGCATGGTGCGAGAACAACGAAACAGAACAATTTATGACCATGAATCATCACGGGCTGAGGTAGAACCATGTACAAGGCTGGGAATTAAGGCACGATATGGGTGTCTTTGAGAAGGCTGCATGATCTGCGAATCACATCAGTTAATTCGAAAGCCACGTGCATGACGGCGGGACGAAGATGAGAGCTTTGGATTTATCCACAAATCGTCGGACTAAGCGACGGTGTCGCAGTACAGGTGCCATACACTGGAAGCATTTTCGATAAGCTCATTGCGCAGTGTCCTTCGTCGACGAGTGCAGGGAGTTACCATGCCAATTCCTCCCAGCTCAGCCACGCAATGATAGAACACATACGTCAGAGATGTCTCGTAAGGTCACGCTTATTCGATTCGATAACAGGCGAAAACTAGAGTGTCTCTCTAATTGCCGAAGTGTTTCGCATAGTGAGATTACACTATACGCTGACGAATTAGCAAAACCACGTCGCGCAGACGCGCCGCGGCTTCTGCGTATTGTGCTATAGCCTGTCGCTGATCTGAATCGGCGGGGCAGGGCGGGGCAGGGCGGGGCGGGGCGGGGCGGGGCGCGATAGGCCGATGCCTTGCAACTAAACCTCTTACCTCACGAACCATCGACGACACGATGAGCGAAATGAGTATAAGAGTCATTGTAACGACAAATACAAGAAATCAGCCTGTATGTCAGCGATGCAGGCTACCAACAGCAAGCGAAGAGACTGAGGCCATGTTCTGTGATCGACAATACTGCTCAGCGTTCCAGCCATATTTATCCAGACACAGTCCTACAAATCTAGCACATAGTAGATCTAGCAGTAAGCGCTCGTGTATCAAAACATAAAGCGTCATCAACATGCGCGCAATGAGCGTGTCATAGGACAGGTGTACTAGTGTTGAATGCCTAGGTAGACGAAACCCTGCATTTGATCAGCCCGCCAGCAATAGCACCAGAACCTAGTAGTACGATACCATAATGCTGTCGTTGAACTCGAAACGCTTTGTGCGATGATAAATATCCTACCTGATACTAAGATAACAGCGTCTCTCCTGAGTATAGTTCCTCAATCGTCATGCGTGATATAATTTAGTGACTGCAATTTGTATTTTTAGATTACTAACTCGAAAAACCCGTAAGCTTTTTCGACTATCGCAAGCCGTCTCTAGGACGCAGTCTCAAACAGTTTACCCTGTAGTCTTAAGCTTGTTGAACTTTTAGATAAACCTGCTCTCTCTTGCCGTCTCCAGTATCAAATCCCAGCGCTGAGAGATCCTGGTTCTCAATCCCACTCTCTTCATCTAGCTATACGTATTTGAGGTTTCAGTGTGATAATGAGCGAGTTACGAGCACGATAGCCCTGACGTCCGATATCTCAGCCCCTGAAGTGGCGCCACACCCCGCATATACGTGTATAGTGGCATCCCCAGGAACAAGCGAGATACGACGAAGGCTGTATGCCTTGACAGGGATGGAATTTACGACCTTGCCTCAGCAGACTTAGGAGATCGGAAATCCAGCCGTTAGTCTTCACGGCATTATGGAAACATCTGGGTGGCATACAATTCCTCTATTGTCAAAGACACTTACTCTTGCACTTAGCCATGCAACAAACTGTTATAAACCTAGACCTCCTATACAGATTCACAAACTCAACCTAACACCCAATCCCCATCTCCATTCTAGTTGACCTTGGCTTGAGCAAGGCTGTTGATCTGCTGAGCACCGTCCTGAATCTTGCCATTGGCTGCCTGGAAGCGGCACAGGACGCCGGAGCGCTCCTTGACGTTGTTGTCGCACACCAACTGGTTGTTTGCAACGCAGTTGAGAGCACCGTTGCCTAGAAAATGTGTGTCAGTATTGTCCTAAGAGATTTCCAGGTATTTCACTTACATGCAGCCGGGCCTCCAGGCACACACTTGCCAGCGGCACCGTTGACAGTGCAGGCATCCTGCTTCAGAGATTGGTTGGGAATGCAGCAAGCCCCGTTGGCTGCCTGGCGGTTCTCAAGCTCGCTGCGAGGAGTGTTGCGTACGCCTTCGACATCGGTGATAGCGGCAGAGGAGATGGCGACAAGGCCAAAGAGAACGGCGGTGATGGAGAACTGCATATTGGCGATTTGAGTTGCGAAATGTATCGGTTCGGGGTATTAACAATTGATTATCGAAAAGTGTTGATGGGTGAAAGTGATCCGCGCAGCGGGAAGTGAATGAAGTAAATGTAGAGTGAATTGGAAGACTGGCTTGGGAAAACAACCTTGGGCAGGCGTATGCGCTACCTTTATACTGCGACTTCTGAACAGCATTGATACTATATCGCTTTCCATTAAAGGAATGCTGGGTAAGCGATCCTGAGGCAGTCGATCATGCACATCTAAAACCCATGCCCGGGCCCGGGCGGATCAAGTAGATCGCGGTCAAAACAATGATTATTGCGCGCAAGGAGTTTGTCAGTAGACGAAGCATCGTGTTCTTTCTAGATGAGCAACATCCAATATGCCATGGTTGAGCTTCGGGGATGGACTTGCACCCTGATGGTGGGCAAAAGCGTGTTGTAGTCAATCTTGCACCAATGGTAGACAGCTGCAAGTGCCGTCAAATCCGAGTTGACAAGCAAACTGAAGCGCTGCCTTGCACTTGAAACACTTCCTGCCTTCTCAAACATGTGCCTTGGGAGGATATGAGACGCAGAAGAACCTGCGGTTAAACGGCTGATTTAGGCTATGGTCTGTGACATGCATGACCAGGCGCTTCCAGGCACACTTTGCATAACGGTCGTTCACTACTTACGTTTTAACCACAATTCACAACAAGTCGAGCGTCAAGATTGACGAGACCTCCGTCTCTGTGCGCCCTTCACCGGCGCTTCGGCTTCGTCGAACACAACCTTCGTCGTTGCAAAAAATACAGCTTGAAGTCGCCGGCTGAACCACACCGCCCAGGCGTGGGGTACCGCCGAGCGCCGAGAGTGATCGCGAGATATCACGGGATATCGCGAGAGGGTTCGGGAGAGTTGAGACATTAGAGCGCTGTGGGACGGGTACCTGCGCATAGCGTTAGGGCTGAAGATGTCACGCGTGCACGCGACGATGGCGCTGAACACGATAAGAACCGCACACACCGCTCACGCTGCGTCGCTGACTACGTAAATATCCTGCTCAAGTTCCCCAGAGTAGAAGACATGTCTCCAAGCTGCGCCACAGGTCCGAGCGCTCGTCAGTCCAGATTTCTTGGCCTCCGAAAGTCGCAGCAACACCCTGGATACCTCTGGACGCCCATCGTGAGACGGAAAATCTTGGATTGGGCGTTGAGGCTGAGCGCTGTATAAAAAGATAACAGCTCGTCGTGATGATGCGTAAGCACTTCAGCTTGCCCTCTTAAGCTTCCGTCGACTCACATCGCCAAAACCAAAACATCTCCGTCTTTGCGATCAATTGGTTGTCCAACGCCAACGATCCTGCAAGACCCATCATGGCACCGTCCTGGACGGAGAAGTTCATTACGCGTGGCGAGCCACCAATCCCAGACCCCCTGCGTGCCTCATCGCAACCAACTCTTTCCCTCAACTACTCGGCGCTCGCAGAACACCGGCGCGTCTTGAGTGCTCCAGGCGAACATACGTCACGCTATGTAGTGACTCGGAAGTCCATTATGGGGGCATGGAGAAGCAAATGCTCCGTCACAGTCCCCACCAACTCCGACCAAGAGATCGCCCTCATCGACTTCCACGCCTTTCACTACGACATCAAGTTCCCTCTACGTGACCACCACATCGACATCAGTACGGCGAAGCGCAGATTTGATGCGAGCGGTGGGCTGGGGGAGCTACACTGGAAGGCAACGGGGATGCAGATAGCAGGCGCAGCGTCGTGGGAATTGCGGGATGAAACGAGTCTTGTCATGGTTGTGGAAATTGATCAAACGCAGACGAATGGTAGGATTAGTGTTTGGAGGGAGAAGCTGGATGGGCAGACTATGGAGGAGCTTGTCGTGGTTGGGATTGCGCAGATTGAGGAGTATAAGAGGATGCTTAGGCAGTCGAAGACGTCTGCGGTGGGTGTAATACTCAACTGAGATGCTCTCTGCATATGTAGGAGGAATTTGACGTGGGTTTGCAGAGAATCGCCAAGCAACACCATAGTAACAACTCAAGCGTAAGGAGATTAGACCACAGGCTTGCGCGACTTGGAGACTGTGATTTGAAGATGATGAAGACGCGAACGGAAGTCCGCGATGCTCATCCCTGCCGCATGCTTGCACCATTTTGTGGAGGTGTCGCGGCCCGATTTCTTGCGAAAACGCTATGCGCTAGCTGCGCCTTGCTATCACAGTCGGTTAGCTCCATCAAAAGCTGGGACAGTATCGAGATGGCCAAGGCAGTAAGCCAGTAGACTTTTACACTCCCCAGGCGTCGTGGAAATGTTTTGGCGGTGTCCGCATGTTGAGATGCGCCCGACTCTTCGGAGCTAAACGAGGATGGCGGCCGAGGCAGGGTCTTTTTGAGCGGCCTTGGGCGGTGGACCCTTCTTTGATTCCTAAACATCCATGAATCATCCTTTCGACTCTCTGATCTCAACCAATGACCATCCCGACAGCGCCAGCAAACATGTTCCAGGCGCAGATGGCGTCATGCATGTCTATCCTTAGTCCATCTGTTCCTGCAATCGCGGCATGGGCCCTACCTGAGCCGAAACGGCTTATGGTGAAGCATAGATTTCACGCTTTCGGAGCGCGAGGCACGCGCAGGGCTAACAAGAAGGCTATCGATCCCTTCTCTGCTTGATTCTTGCTTCTTCTTCGCCTGAGTGGCTTCACACCTCAAAGAGACAATCTTGAACCTACCGTCTGCTCTCCTCCTGCATTGCGCGATTCGCTTGCATCATTCCGCAAAGCGACAACCCCCACTAAAAACATTACAACAGCAGCAGCAACAACAACAACAACGCGACAGAAACCCGCGCGCGCCAACTACATTCTAAATACGCAGCCTGTATAGTCGCAGGTATGGCGACAACGCCCATCGAACTTGCATCAACCACCAGCACGCTTCCCACGCGCCAGAAGCCGATTCCCTATACATTCGTCGACGGAAGGCGGACCCCACTCTCTTCGATCCTCCCACCCCTCGTCTTCGGTACTGCCACGTTCAACCATCAGTACAACAGCGACCCCTTCGCGCTCGACACCACCGGTCTCGTCACCTCGGCGCTTACCCACGGCATCCGCGCCTTCGACACGTCCCCATACTACGGCCCCTCCGAACAACTGCTCGGCGATGCGCTCGCAACCCCATTCGTCCGGGAGACGTTCCCGCGCAACTCATACATGATTCTGACCAAGGTCGGGCGGATAGCAAGCGATGAGTTCGACTACAGCAGGAAATGGGTGCGCGACAGCGTCAACAGGAGTCTGGAGAGACTGAACACAGAGTATCTCGACTTGGTATACTGCCACGATGTCGAGTTTGTGAGCCCGGCCGAGGTACTTGAAGCCATCAAGGAGCTCCGCTGCCTCAGAGACGAGGGCATAATTCGGTACATTGGTATCTCAGGGTACCCTCTCGATGTGCTGGGTGACATGGCTGAGCTCATTCTCCGCGAGACTGGCGAGCCGCTCGACGCGGTCCAGTCGTATGCCAACTTCACGCTTCAGAACCAGACGCTCGCCGGTCCACGCGGTATCTTGCGCCTCAAAAACGCGGGCGTCGACGTCGTACCAAACGCGTCCATTCTGGGCATGGGTCTCCTCCGTCGCGAAGGTGTGCCCGTCGGCGCCCTAGGTGACTTCCATCCTGCCCCTTCTTCACTGCGCGAAGCAGTGCGGAAAGCAAGCGACTTTTGCGACGACTATGGTGAGCGCATCGAAGTCATCGCCATCCGCTTCGCGCTCGAGACTTGGATATCATCTGGCGCGCTGTGTGGATCCCGCGGAGACCCCGCATCGGGTGTCGCTTGGAAACATGAGTCTATAGACGACGTCGGAGGCTCCAAGCTGGGCGTCAGCGTCATTGGTGTGTCGCGCGCCCCGGAGCTGGAGAAGACCATGCTTGTCTGGCGATCCATCTTGGATGGACTGGAGGGCGGCAAGGAGACTGCGGTGCAAGCTGGTCGCTGGTATCGCGCTTGGGAGTGGAGCATGAATCGTAAGCGGGCAGTACAGATCCTCGCCGAGGGTGTACAAGAAGTACTTGGTGACGGCTTTGGCTACGCGTGGTCGAGTCCTGATCCGGGATTCGTCAATAAGAGGAAGACGGATACAATAAAGGGGATCCAGAGTGATGCGCCAGCACCGTGGCTTACACCGGCTGCCAGCCCGGAGGCCGTGGCTGTGAAGGATACGAGTGAGGTCGTGGAAGAGAAGGCATTGCCGCTACGGTAACGAAGATGTGGTACATGTATATAGTGGACAGAGCTGCATGCATTCCGAACCCCATACCAGCTCTCGTAACAATACGCACTTTTAGGCGGATTTCTTACCTCTTATACACTTCTTCGCTTGCCTAAGCATCGCAACTCTAGTTCTAACCCTTACACTCGCTTGAAAACCTTCTTTGCCACTGTCAACCTTGCCAGGATTACAAACAGAGCAGAAAGTGTAGCCATTCCACCTGCGTAGAAGATAGCGGGTCGATACACCTCAACACTTTGTCCAACACCCGCGTTTTGTTTGCCGGCTCCTGCAGCCTGAAGTAAGTAACCTGCAATTGGCGCACCCATCAGATAGCCTGCGGACCAGCCCGTCACTGACATGCTCATCGCGACTGTAGCTCTACCAGGCCCGAAGATGCCGGCTACGACAGTAGGCTGCGTGGTAAAATAAGCGCCGTTGGCAATTCCATTGACCGTTGCAAATATGATAAGGGGTGTGAGCGTGTCAGAGACAGGCCAGATAGCAAGCATGCTGACAGCGTTGACTACCATCACCATAACAAACATGTTCAGAGGCCCGACCTTATCGCAAAGTGGCCCAGCACAAAAGCGTCCAATAGCATTGCACGCATTAAAAGCAGAGACTAGAGCAGCACCTGTTGCAGAACTGAGGCCGATAGACTGCGCAAATAAGGGCAGGTAGTAAGGGGGAATGTAAAGAGCAAAGACTCCGACTGCACTGGCAATGAAGGTTGCCAAGAAAGGAATGGAACGAAACATGCTAGCGTCGAAGAATGGTGCGGTCTTTAGTGGCACGCGGTCTTTGAGCAGGAAGGCAGCTGGCATGCCTACTGCCAGCGTGAGGAAGCCCTGAAAGCGGAATGTCCATTCAATACCGGCTCTTTGGTACATAGCTTCGAGCGCGATAGCCATTACACAGCCTCCCACACCGCCTCCCAGCTTAATAATGCCGTTCGCAAGTCCTAGTCGAGAGCTGAAGTACTGCACTGGGAGCGCATTCGAGCATGTGTAGCTCATTGCCATGCCGACACCGCCAATTACACCAAATGTACCGAAGAGTCCAGCGACATTAGAAGCGCAGAAGCTGGCACTGATCATACCCATGCCCATGAGGAAAACTCCAAGCATGCCTGTCAGTCGAGCGCCGAACCAACGCATGAAGCGGACGACGAGAAGACCGTACATCGCCCCTCCAGCGAGGCCGAAAGAACCAACAAAGGTCAACGTTGAGGCCTTTTCATTCTTAAGAGTTGAGTTAAGCAGTGCTGCTTGCAGCACGCCCCAGCAGTTGATGATACCATTCTGGCAGAAAGTCGTGATGAAGCCTGCTGCGACAATGACCCACCCATAGCCGCCATTTGGAATCACTGTCGTAGAGTAGGAAGTATCCTCTGGTATCTCGTCTGGATTCTGATTGATAAAGATTTGTCGTGAATCTGCGGGGGTGAAGTTGGTAAGTGGAACCGGCGACTCGTTGCGCAGATTTGAGAACTCAATGTGCTCTGTCGTAGTTGTGGTGCTCGCCATCTAGAGAGCTTTTCTCGAGATATGTAGATAGAAGGAAGATTGGTAAGTCTCAAGTGAAGAGGCTTTATTCGCAATATGAGTCACAATCGACCATGGCTGATTAGTGCTCTATACTGCCGTGTCTGTGCGTTCGATGATCATGGTCGATTACTAATCACTCTAACAGCCTTCGTAAGATGATGCTCTCGATTCTGATATAACCCACCCGGTTCGAGAACCGGGTGACTCAGACTGCATTAGAGCGTATGCAAAGAGCGGCAAAGTCGACTAGAGACACAGATCTCTTACTCACCTGGCTAGCTGCTTCAGCGAAATGCCTTCCGAAGAAGAGTCTTTATTTGTTCAACGTTCGGAGTGCGATTGCGGACATATAGTATCCGATTCCAGGCGATCTCGAGAAAGGCAAATTGCTGCGACAGGAGATTTTGACCATGACGCCCAAAACGGAACCCTGGTACGAATACACCATGAACGAGACAAAGACTCGACATCGCATGCAACTTGCAGATATCCGTTTCTGTCAGTTCCAGGCATATGCAGATCCAACGAAAAAGGAAGAGATCACCGAGGAGTTGAAGCACTTGCCTAGTGCCCACACTGACGCCGATGACAATATTCGCGAGTCTCATGTCGATATGCTGCGAGCAAACATGCTAAGAATCATGGGCCCCGCCAGAGAATATCAAGCCTACATGAACGAACTGTTTTCTAAGTGCATTCGTGGTCTCGAAGACAGTATCTCTTGGAACGATACGTCAAGCCTGTGACTACTATCGAAGGTCCTTGCGTCGCTAGAGAAACTGGAAAGAGATGCAACGATCGCAATCAGCGCTCAGTTCTCTATTCTGGGTCCTGCGATACACGATCAAGATACGGGATCGCAACCTACGGACGCTCTTTGCGATACTGAAAACAGCGAAGCCGATGTCGAAAGACAGTCTGCAGAGGGAGATGAGGCCCTTCAAAAAAGTGACAAGACCTGAGACGCTCCCCCTGTTGATAGCATACACGAGGATACCGACAAGGGTACTTTTAACGAAGTGACTAATAGAGTGCTGCAAGATCTTTTGAAGCGTGTGGGTGTGTCAGAACCTGCTCAGGCCGAGTCAGCAGAGATACGGCTGACTGTACCTGCAGAGCCCGACGAGGACATTGGCGGACCAGGTGTACACTGTGATGGAGGTTGCAGGACAAGCATGGAATCATGGTCTCAACCATTCTACTACTGCATAGTCTGTCCTAATTGCGACCTGTGCGAAGATTGCCATTCCAAGCGTATCAAACAGACGCAGGGAATCACGGAGGAGACATGGCTTAGTTTCTGTGGTGCAAATCACCGCTACATCAAAGCCCCAATCAAAGACTAGAGAGGCATCAAGAATGGCGTTATTCCGATGAACGCGGAGGAGATCACTATGAAGGAATGGCTTCGGGGATTGAAAGAGCAGCGATGGCCAGAAGCTTGGAGGATCTTTTGGACTAGGCAAGGCGGCCTAAAGGATATGGAATACGAGGAATAAGTAAAGACTGTTATGAATTGTATATGTTCATGGACCCAGCGTATCAATCTCTGTATGGTTAATTATGTCTCAGATGCCGACGGAGTCATAAATCCGTTAACTACGTCATCATAGCCCCATAAAACTGCACTTGATAGTAGGAACTACCCGCACTCATCTCTATGATCCGCTTGAAAATGCCTGCTTCAAGATGCAGAGACACCAGTCTACTGTTTTCAGACCATGTCGAAAATAGTAGTGCTATCTATTCTTCCACTCCCACCTTTCACATCGATGTCTGCTTTAACTGTGTTAAGTAGTAGTTACACTGTCGTCCCGCTTCCACTGTGAGTCGCCGACAACAATGGCGTTCTACCGAGGTTGACCTCGCTGTCAAGTCTGCTCACGCTTCGTTCCAGCAGCGGTTTGGTTACGGCCAGTCAATTGTTGCAGCCACTTGTCCAACAATTGACTCCACTAAGCTGCGCCGCATTGTGGCATGAACAGAGCTGCGCAACCTCTACCGCTATTCTCATCCCCACAACATCATACTCTCTCAACTATGCCTATTACCCATCATGGACCATTTCGCTTGCGGGAATAGCGGGCTGACAGGCATGAGGTTTGGCATACAGCAGCCCATAGAACAGGACTCGGTATCTGGGCACATTTCGCATCCCGGTGGCTAGACTGTTCCCACTCGCTTGCCCACCCCCTGCGCCATTCTATTACGCCGGGCAATGGATGGCTGCCCAGTCGATGTATTCAGCCTGCACCGGCCACGAACATGGGGATGGTTCGCTTACCCACACTGCGCAGTCTGAGGATTGTTGCGTGCGCATCTGCCATACGACTTTGGTAGATCTGTGATGCAACTTCAATACATGTCCTTGTCCTGGTTAGCGATTAGTTCCTGGCTGCAGGCAAGTATCGGTACTCTGTGAAAACGCGATGCATGTGAGATTGCTGTGTATGAACGGGCAAGGGTTCGGAGCGCACGGTCCGGAATCGGATAGGAAGGACGATCACGGGAATGCATGCAGAATCGTATGAGAAACAAGAAAGCGCCGTTTGGACCATGGGCGGGTAAGCAAAGGGTGTGTCCGCTGCTACGACAACCGCGATGCATGAGAGGTGCAGGCGGGGAAAATCTTACCGACCCGCCCGCTCTTGTCGGTAAATCAGTCCGAGCGCCAAATAGCCTTTTGCGCCCTCACTGCTTGCACCCCGTGCGCATCATCGGCCACCTCGGAAAATGAGTTTTGCACGCGGAATGCTGCCAGCGTTGGAGATGCAGTGTGATGGCGTGGTAATCGTCGAGCCTCTGATATATTCCCGTATTGCGTGACTCTTAAACATAGGTTGAGGAGTCTGTCCTGTCACGTGCTTTGACTGTCAGGTTATCCCCAAGATGCCCGGACGAACAAGTTCACGGCGTGATGTTGTCGTGGTTGGCGCTGGTATGTTGTACATGGCCATAGCAATTGGTACTCTAATCCCTCCTTACTGACTGTTTCCTGAGGATGGTCTGGTCTCATCGCTGCCAAAACATACCTGGATCTTGCGCCCGAGACTGACCTCCAGATCGTCGATAGTGAAAGGTCGATCGGCGGAGTATGGTGCACAGACCGACTGTATCCAGATCTGTATGCACAGGTCAGCCATCCGCTATTCGAGTATAGCTTCTACGATATGCCCAAAGAAGGCATTACTGAGGATGGCTTCATCTCTGGTCAGCATGTCTTCGTCTTGGCACGAATTTGCAGCTGCTGACTGGCAAACAGGTTATACAATCAACAAGTACCTGACTTCGTTCGCTCGCGACTTCAAGCTCGAGGAACTTGTCACGTTTGAGTCTACGGTGACGGAGGTGGATCAAACTCTCTCCGGAGCCTGGATCCTGACGCTAGCTACTGGCTACCAAATTGAGTGTACAAAGCTCATTTGGGCTGTTGGGCCTGGCTCTAGTCCAGTGCAGCCCACGTGGCCCAAAGATAACTTTTCATCCCCAGTCATTCATTCTTCCGATACGGGAAAGAACCTCGGGCTCATCTCTCAAGCCAAGAGAGTCACAGTCGTCGGCGCAGCCAAGTCAGCTTTCGACACGGCATACTTTTTGACTAAAGCTGGCAAAGAGGTTGACTGGATCATCCGAGAAGATGGCGGTGGTCCCATTGCCATGGGACCACCAACACTGCTCGGAATCTGGAACACTGTTGACGGGCTGTCTACCAGATCCATGGCAATGTTCAGCCCTTCAATTATGAACACGTCAGGCTTCTGGTACAAGGCCATTCACCGAACACCTATAGGTCGCATGGTGGCCGGTGCATACTGGCGCACTGCAAATTTCCTCGCAGACTGCGCTGCTGGGTATGATGCCAATGACGATTTCAAAGCGCTTCAGCCCACCCCTCGTGGTTCTGGGTACGTTAAAAAGAATAGACGTGTACAATCAGCAAAACGCTAACATAGCCTGTGCAAGCATGTTCTGGGCCCGCGCCGGTCTTGGGGCGCCTTCAGCTCCGGATTTTTGGAAGACGCTCCACTCGGGCAAACTCCATGTTCATCGCAGCGAGATCGAATGCCTCTCACACATCAACGTCGTCAACCTGAAGAACGACACGGCTGTGCAGACCGACTTGATCATTGCATGCACTGGCTTTGAAAAGCCTTACCGGCCGTTCAGCCTCGAGCTTCGAAAGGAATTGGGTCTGACCTATGATGAGACGGAGGCGATCAAGTGGGACAAACTACATATCAAAGCCGAAGCCAAGATCGACGAGTTGCTGCCTATGCTCAGATCAAACACGCCCAAGGTCGATACTGCCAACAATTCCATCCACCAAGTCTTGCGTGGACCAAACAGACACTATAGACGTCTGATTCCGCTCAAGCAGATTGCCAAGGATGAGCGCTCTATATGTTTCCCTGGATTAGTGCACGTCATTTTCACTCCCACAGTGAGTGAATTCCAAGCTCTGTGGAACGCGGCATACCTGCTGGGCATGATTGACCCCCCCGACCTCGGCACGGTCGAAGATGAGATTGCCACGTTCAATGCATGGACAAAAAAACGACATTTGGAAATGGGCCAGAAGCATGCCTATTGCATCTTTGACTACCTTTCGGTCAGTACTCGCATCATCCGTTTTGTATCCTGACCCTAAGTCATGCTAATCAAAACGGAACTAGTATATTGACACACTTGCCAAAGACCTTGGCATCGAGCCGAGAAGGAAGAGCAACGGCTTTGCAGAAATGTTTGTGCGCTACAAACCCAGGGATTATCGTGGCATGTTGAATGAATTCCAAGCAGCGCAAAGGGCCAAAACGACAAAAACCGGTTAATGGCTTGTGGAATGGAGTCACCAACCTATGTACCGAGCGCTTCATACTTCGCATAGTTGGAGATGTGGGCATTGTACCGTAGCACTTGATTGGAAAAGATGATTCAAGCATCCTTGCGTACAGACATGAAAGTTGGCTCTAGACCTTTACGATCTAAGATGGCACAATTTTTTGAGCATTGCTTTTACATCGTCTTTTTCTTTTAAAATAGAATAAAAATTGATCTATTTCCAGAATATGACACATTGTCAAAGCAGATCAATCATCCCATTTCCATGGTCGTGGTGAGGGACACGACTGTAATAGAAGCTTATGCCACGCTCCATCAGGTGGTTCCACGTCGTCTAATGAATCATACAACATGCGAATAGCACTTGCTCTTGAACGTGACTGGTCAGGAGATGCGCCGCGACTGAGAGCCTTGATAGCGGTGTAAAGCGGCCAACCAACAAATGCTCCACTGAGAGACAAATTATCACACTACAGAGCGGTCAGCATGCAAAGTACCCGGTGCCTCATCGAGAAGAACAATACCAAACTTACCATAAGCCGCTGTTGGCACCAGTTTGACCGTATTGCAGTAGCGATCTTAAGCGCATTAGAAGTGAGCTGATCCATGTTCGTGTCAACTTCAGTGAACGGTAACTCTTGTCGCTCACTCTCATCAATCGCGGCCTCGTATGTATTGACCTTCACAGCGTGGAAGACTACATAGAGATTGAAGGCAACGGCACACGATCTCAGGCTTCGCGAGAGAGTCAAAGGCTCAACCAGAGCCTCGAATACCTTCAAAGTCCTGAGCAAAGAGAAATGGCGATCCCAGAAGCCGGGCGCGTTCCACGAGTATCCGAAACCGGATGCCGATGATGGTAACGATGGCTGCGCGATGTGGTGAATGGCTTTGCGCAAGACCGAAACAACCAGAACTAGTCCGCAGAAGGGCGAGAGTGTCTCGGACTTAGCAATAGTGTGGGCCTCGCTAAGATGCGGCAAGGATGATGGCTGGAAGTCCTTGTCTAGCCTGCCTGGCGACGGCAGCGATACCTGGAGCTAGAACGAGGAGGCGCATTAGTATTGCAAACAGAACAGGACATGATACCTTGCTACTACATACCCTCGATTCATCAAGCAATCCTGGCGTTCCTGTATAGATGGAGGCAAGACCTTCGAGAATATACAGAGCCCATAGACACCGTCGTCGCTCCTCAAGTTCCACAGCAGTCTGTGCCGCAGGAAACACTATCTCGGGCAAGCTCACATTGGGAAAAGGTGGCTCATTTACGCAATCTATCTGGTCTAATCGCATAATCTTCGCAAGGCGGATGGCACGTCCCAAAGTGAGCCACGCACGCGCACAGCTCCGGTTGTTGATCTCAAAGCGGGTCAGAATCAAAAGAGCGCGAAGAAAATGCATGCACCAGGTGGGGTGGAAGCCTTCTTCGGCTTCACATTGGTCAACATAGTACCTTGCAAGAACATAACAAGACTGCTTGAGCGACGCTTTCGCCTCTGGCATCGTGGTCGCTAGGAGGGCAGCTGTATAGCTCACGCTTTGTACAGCCATAGCATGAGGCGAATCTTGCAAATCTTTGCGAAACTGGTCCTCGTTGATGATGGGCATGACAGGGTGAACGCGCGCGAAGAAGATTTCATGGAGCTCGTTCATGTCCTTAGTAGCGATGATGGCTGGAGGGGTTGAAAGGAGGGGTTGGCCCGACGCTGTGGATGCTAACCAGTCCTCGGTAACGTGGGCGGCATCAGGGCGCATAGACATCAATTCCATATCCCAGTCTATGGTTGTCGGTATTGAACAAAGCGAATCATCAAACGTTGTCCCCGCAAACCAAGCGGCGTTGCACTCGGCCATGATTGAGCCCGCACCACTGTCGGCCCGCTGCTTTTCCACATCTGCGCTGGGTGACGGTCCGGAATGTGGGGACGGCGATGTGATGGACAGAGAGGGCGCTTGAGTCGTCATAATGGAAACCGAAGATGGTTTGTTCGCAGCTGAATGTAACGCAAGCAAAGCTTCTTGTTTCCTGACACGCTCCTGGAGTTGCGATATAATGGCCGACCGAGTCGCGCGTTGGCTGATGCGGTCACGATACGTGCACGTGAAGCCCAGGCGTATGCAACGCCCACAACTAGGAAACACTCTGTTACACTTGACTTTGCGATCTCGGCATGGGTCGCATCTGTAAATCCCATTAGTTGCTGTAGAAAAAAAGCGAAACGACTGGCGTCAGGGCAACCGGTGACCGTACGTGAGTCGCGATTGACTGCCATTGCGGCTCTGGTTCGTAGGATTGCTCATGTGGGCGAATGGTCGACAAAAACCAATTCCGTGCAAACAACGCGCACTCGTGCGAATAATCTGCTGAAAACACTGCGTGCTGAGCGCAGTCTGTATCTTACAGTGCCTATAGAAGCCTTTAGGACAGAAGGGACTGGAACGTTGAAACCCGTTGCTGACCGGTGGATGCAGTGTTTGGTGGGGGCGCTAAGACGCTGAGGACCCTTAATGCCGGAAGAGGGAGTTCCCCCGTTTCCGCGAACCCCTCTCCATCCACTGGTGGGCATTTTTGACTTCACTTTACCCGCAACCGTATGCACGCTCCTACACCAAGGCCAAGCCATGGGAAGTTACAACCCCCACATCATTTTGCGAGATAATGCACTGCTCGTCAGCTTCCCAAGACGCTCAAGTCAGCGGCAGCGGGCCTGAAAGAGGGCCTCAAGCTGGGTTTGTTGCGGCAGCGATATGCAGCGGCTTCGAGCCGAGCCTTTGTACGCTGGTGTTTGATTCGAACACGGAAGTGCCGTTGAACCACTGCATAAGCTGATAGTCAAGTCGATCTGGGCTTGGTGACGGGGCCAAGGAGGCGTAATCACCGTGCCTATCTATATCAGCCAGCCATTGTCTACTTCAGGTGTTGGTCAAGCTTCAACGCGTGTCTCGAGTACAGCCGACGTCATCGAAATCGTTTAGACACCAAAAGGAATGGATTTCGGGGCTTATGTTGCTGAGCTTTGTCAAGGAGAAACCTTCCCTCCCCCCACCCAAGCCAAATGGTCGCGGTGAGCAGGCTTTTCGGTTAGTCTGCATGCTGATGCAGGAGTCCTGAGTGCCTCGTTCCCTGACAGTAGTTCCTCTCCAGTTGCGCATCTGGGATTCCTGTAGCATCGAAATTGACGCTTCCTCTCCATCAATAGGTGCGTCATTAATACCATACGTCAACTAGAAAATATGTAGATCTGTTGCGACAGCGGGTCGAGAGAGACTTGGAGATTACGCTAGTAAAAAGGTCTCCTTATTGGGAACTTATTTACCGCAACATCTTTACGACTTCTGAATTGATTAAAATAGTTGATAGCTTAGATCTATGTCTTAGCTATAGAAGGCTATGCTGCTACTCTCTCATACTCAATCTGCAAGCCGGGACTCCTGTCATGAAACCACGCCATCAACTTCTGCATTTCCTTCATCACATCGCAATCAGATCCTTCGCAATTCCAACATTCCTCTCTTATGCAATCTCGGTTTCTGCCGTTCATCCGAACCTCGATAAGGACTGTTCTCAGACCTCGTAATCTGTGTATAGGTAAACAGTCTTCCACCCTCTTTGCCACCCAACTTTCACCTTCAACCATGTGTCTCGCCATCCATGTGACGATTTCGACTGTTCTGAATGCATAAGTTTGCTCTGGACAAAATTGGGCCAGCCATGGCTCGAACGCGTCCTGAGATTTGAATCGAAACGCGTTGCACTTGAAAGGAAGCAGTCGAGCCTCGCTGTATATTTGACGGCACGTCAAAAGTAAAGCAAGAAATCTTGGAGGGTACTGCAGGACCCTTGTCGAAAGGCAAAAAGGTGTGTAGCGCCGCCAGCAGTGAATAGACAAAGGTGTGGGCGATGTAAAGACGCAGGCAAAGATTTGGATGCGCAATTCAGCCGGCAGGCGCAAGAGGGAAGGCGAACACCTGGGCTCGGTATTGTTGGACATGTTGAACGACAAGCGCACTTGTTGCAGCGGTTGCCCGTGGGCTTCGCCGTGCAGGTCTTTATCGCGCCCTATGATGACAGAGGATTGTCGCTTGCCGTGGTGTCGCACGACATTTCCGTTAGTAGTCGAGACCTTCATCGAGTTTGATGTCCGTCTGAGATAGTGTCTGGGAGTTTCGTCACCTTCTCCGCGATGATATGTGCGCAGTCTGTTTGCCAAGATGGAGATGCTCGGAGTGTCATATACCGATTGGTCGCTCGCATAAAAATGTCCGCGCCTTGAACCATTGCAGCGAAACCTTGGAATCTGATTTCCAATCGAGATCAATGTCTCACATACCTTTTCACCTTTCCTGATAACGTTGCAGCTTTTGCACTTATCCTGTACGCTACCATTATGACAAACACGCTTTCCGCATCAGACAAGTCCGGCGTTGATGCCTACTCGAACATGGAGAACAATATCGGGACCACTTCGTCAGGCTCAAAGCTGGAAGCGGCGCCACTCACGCAAGACGTACCTGAGTCCTCGACCCGTCATCTTCACGGTTGGAAGGTAAGCACAGTAGTGTTTGCTGGTTAACAGTTCTAACTCGTCCAGTGGGCAATCGCATATGCATCGATCGCGACAACTATCTTCCTATTCGCTCTGGACAATACAATCGTGAGTCATTAAATGCCCCGGTTCCTAGCATGCAACTCATGCCTCGAAGGTCGCTGCCGTCCAACCTTCCATTCTAGAGTCTCTTGACAACGCTGCACTACTTCCGTGGATTGGCACTGGTTTCGCCCTTGGCAGTACCGCTATTCTGCCATGGGGTAAGGCGTATGGTGTCTTCACGATTAAATGGCTCTTCATCTTCAATGTACTGCTGTTTGAGCTAGGCAGCGTCGTTTGCGGGGCGGCTCCCCATATGACCGCCTTCATCATTGGCCGTGTCGTCGCTGGTGTTGGAGGCTCTGGCATGTACTCTGGCTCCTTGAGCTACATCGCCATTTTGACATCTTTGAAAGAAAGGCCAATATATATGGCCGGAGTGGCGTTGGTCTGGGGTCTTGGGAGTGTCCTTGGTCCTGTGGTATGAATTGTGACCTTTGTTGCATACTACTCTGCTTACGCGCATCATACAGATTGGTGGCGCTTTCGCCACGAGCAATGCCACTTGGAGATGGGTAAGTGCCTTAGCAACGAAGCACAATCGAAGCTCATTCTGAGTCTTGCAGGCGTTTTACATCAATCTTGTCATCGGTGCACTGTTCGCGCCCTCGTATCTCTGGCTGTTGCCTGGCATATGTTTGCAACCAACCAAGCCGCTATCACAGCGACTTCGCCAGGTCGACTTGATTGGAACCACTGTCTTTCTCGGCGGAGCCGTTTGTTTTACCATGGCCATCTCATTCAGTGGATCAGTCTACAGCTGGGACTCAGGCTCTGCGATTACGCTCTGGGTCATGACGGGGTTGCTTCTGATCGCGACAATTGTATTGACTCTAAAGCATCCATTGGTCACCGAGGAGAGCAGGCTGATACCGGCCCACTTCTTCCGGTCATTCCATCTTGTCAACCTCGGCCTGCAAATGTTCTTTGTCTCTGGGATCATGCTCTCCGGCGTTTATTACGTCCCATTGTTCTTTGCTTTTACTAAGGTTTGTCGTCCTGCTGTGCTGCTTTTGTTTTCGACCTCGGCTAACGCATTCTTGCAAAAAGAATGATGAAGCGATGCAAGCAGGAATTCGACTACTACCATTTATTGCCCTGCTGGTCTTCACCTCGCTGTTGAACGGAGTACTCATGTCGAAATATGGATACTACACGCCATGGTATATCATTGGAAGCGGTCTCTCCGTAATAGGAAGTGCGTTAATGAGTATGTGCATCCATCGTTCTAAAACCGTGGATACTAACTAGCGAGCGTAGTAACTGTCAGAGACGACACCAATGTTTCAAACATTTATGGATATACAATCTTGGTGGGAGCCGGAGCGGGTTGCTACCTGGCCTCTGGCTTTGCTGTCATGCAAAGCTTCGTTCCAGTTCATGACATTCCATCGGCGATCGGATTTCAAGCGATTGGTACATGTCTTCCTGAAAAGGAACCAAAATCTCGCTAACAGAGCCACAGGTCAAATTTTGGGAACAGTCACCTTTTTGTCCGTATGTGGCAGCCTCTTTGCCAACACCGCTGTCAAGCTTATCATGCCGTTGTTACCTGCGGGAACTTCACTTGCAGCTGCCACTGATATCATTACTGGAACTCACAGTCTCGCGTTTCAAGATCTGGATCCTGAGGTTTCGCGCCAAGTTGTCAGCAAGATTGCACAAAGTATGCAGAATGTTTGGTCCTTCAATCTTGCAGGCAGCGCTTTGAGTTTTGTCCTTTCCTTGTTTTTGAAGGTATGATCTCCCTTTGCATCGATTTCTGGTTACTGACAGTGACTAGCAACAAAAACTAAGTACGGGTGCAATGTAAAAGCACATGTCTCAAAGCCGAAGGCAGAATTCCATAGAAGGAGGTGATGCAGTGGTTTATCAATCGAAGCACTTGGTTATCTGTTAACCAGGGTTGGATCTTGCATAGGTTTTCGGCGTCAAGCAGACTCTAAGCGGGATTTGCCGTATAAATATGTATAAATTGAAAAATAGGTTAAGTAAATAGTCGATCAATAGTACAAATAATAAGCGACTAACTTTTACTCTAAGACTGTTTGTTCTAACTACAAGTAACAAATTGTTCTAATATATAGTAAATACAATAATATATTAAATTAGACTATATAAGTAATATTATAGCTATACTAGCCTAGAATTAATTAAAATAAATCTTTAAAATTATTTTTACTTATTTTAATAATATAGACACTCTCTAAAACGCCTATAAAGTTTATATACTTATACTAAGAGTTATTAATATAATATATATACTAGTAACAAAATATAGGTATAATACTATTACGTTATACTATATAGTACTATAATAGTAGTATATAGACTTATTAATAATTAAGCTAAGTATTATATATAGTTTAGCTATATTTTTCTAAGCTTAGTCTATACTAAAGTAAAGTAAACTAAAGTAATAGTCTAAAAACTTATTATTATTAACTAATAAATAAAAAATACTAATTTTATAAATAAATAACTAGTTAATAATTTATTTAATAAATAAACTATTTAAGTTAGCTATAATAAGTATAATAGAATTTATTTACTTTTTATTAATTTAATTAATATACTAATAATAAGATATAAGTATAATACTATTTAATTATACTATAATATTTTATAGTAGAAGTATATCTTTAAATACTTACTTAGCCTTACTATATATTACTATATATATATTTATTTAAAAGTTTTATTAATTATAGCTAAAGTTATAGATTTTATATAGTTTTAAAAATCTATTATAAAGCTTTTAGCTTTAAGTAGTTATTACTATTAATATTAACTAATAAGTAAAAAATACTAATTTTATAAGTAATAGAATAACTAATTAATAATCTATATAAGAAATAAACTATTTAAGTTAATTATAATAAGTATAATAATAAAATATATCTATTTTATATACTTATTATAATCTATTCTTACTATTAGTAACTTATTTTAGTTTTGCTAATAGTTTTTTTTTAATAGCTACTATTATATATAAGCTCTACTATTACTAATAGTTTAGTATTAGTATAATATTAGTTATATAACTTATTAAGCTCTATATTAGCTATTTTTTTTTACTAATACTTATTAAAAGAGTTTAGGTCTAAATCTTTTTTTAAGTAAAGAAAAATTCTTTTTATCTATAATAAATAGTATTATATTTATATTTTATTATATAATAAAAATTTAAAGTATATATTTTTTTTAAAAAAAATAAAATATATACTAAGCTTACTTATAAAATATACTTTACTTTATAATTTAAAGTAAAAACGTTTTTTTTATAACTTATACTTATAATCTAAATATACAAGCTATTTCTTACTATTTCTAGTAATATAAAGTAAATACTATTACTTATAGTTATGCTTTATATATTACTAGTACGTTTATTATATTAATAGCTAGACTTGTTAATAACTACGCTAATTAAGCTAGTTTTAGCTTTATATAGTAATATTATAACTTATAGAAGTTAGAATAGCTTAATTAATTTGTTTATTAAGATGTCTAAGTATAATAAGGTAAAAGTGCTTTTATACAGTATACTGTATGCTGTGTATAATATAAGTAAGACTTTTCTCTTGCTAAAATATCTCGTACAACCTGTAATATTTGCGGAAGGAAAACTATTGAATCATAGTAGAAGCGTTAAGAGTATTCCCCGTACCCACTGCAGGTGCACCCTGACGCCAGATCCCAAATACCAACAATGACACGACATAGACGGCAAGACTGATCAAGACGATAGGAATTACAAGCTTGTTGTTCGAACCCGGGTCCTTAGAGAGGGGCTCTTCTTGTGTGAACACATCGTCTTTCTCCCAGTGATGCTTCTCCCAAGGCAGACTGCCCACTCTTTCCTTGAAAGGAATATAGCTCAGCTTGGGCGCTCTGAGACATGCTTTGGCAACCTGGAGTGCTACAATTTCCAGGCCAGTTGTTCTAAGAGTCATGTTAGTGCTTGCAATAGGGGATAGAGCGAGGTGATGACGTACGGTAGAACCCAGCGTTGGATGAAGTACATAAGCCATCCATCGTAGGCTTGCATACGTGTCATCATCCAACTAATGTCAAAAAGCTCCTTGACGCGTGGCTTGTGCAGTTCTTGATACGCTTGAAATGCATTCCTCACTTCGGTATCGGTGGGCTTTTTGTTTGGATGGCGATTGACCAATGTGTGCAGCTCGTTGGCGAGGCGGACAGCGCCTTCGATAGCCAAGTTGCCTCCAAGAGCAGCGTTTGGCGTCACTTTGTGGGCCGCGTCGCCGACAAGGACGGTCCGGCCAAAAGACCAGTGCGATAAAATACCTTCTTCGAGAGACACCATCTGGCCTCGAGATCGGGCCTTCCAGATGTCTCCAAAGACCAAGTTGTCGCTGATGGGGCAGTCTGCTAGTTCAGCTGCTCTGGCATCTGCATCTGCCTGTGAAAAGCGTAGACGATTGGGATATCTGACAATCTTTGGCAGTTTGCTGACCACAATGAAGTAGATTGCATCGGGTTGCGTAAGGAAGAGGAAAGAGAATTTGTCGTTGGCGACGGTCGTCATGTCCTGTGTGCCTAGACCAGGAATGTATGGAGTGATGCCAATCAGGCAGCTGTACTCAGTCTTGATGGCGTGCTTTTCTGCGACTGAAATGAGGCCTGGGGACAGGTTGTCTGCCTTCTGCCACATGATGTCACGAACGCCGCTGTGGACACCATCGCAGCCGGCAATGATATCACCTACGTGCTCAGTGCCATCGGAGAGTACAGCTCGCACTTTGTTGTTCTCTTCGATGATGTTGACGACACGAGCGTGCTCTATGACTTTAGACTTGTCGGGCAGCTGTTCGTACAAGGTCTTCAGATATGCTCTCCTCTCCATTGTGAGAGCTATATATCCAGTCCTACAAGTATAAATTATGTTAGCTGGTGTCGAGAAGGACACAAAAGCAGTATTTGATGACTAAACCTGCCTACCTTCGATTCACAAAATGAATAAAGTCTTGGGCAAGGTAGCATTTTCCATCTTGGTCTCTGTGCCAGAATTTGCGCATCTCAGTGCACTGAGCTTCAACAGCTGGGAGTAAACCAAGTTGGTCCAAGATTCGTGCACTTTGGGTATGAATGGTGATGCTTGCACCCCATTCTGGTGCCACGGGGTGTTTGTCAAGGATCACATAGTCTATGTCAGCCTTGTGGAGACTGTGAGCCAGAGTCAAGCCACCAACACCGGCGCCGATGATGATGACTTTGAAATATGGTTCGACGTGGCCGTTCATGATGGTCAGGCGTAGGAGGAAAAGTCTAAAAAAAAAAATAAAAAAATAGCAACAACAGAGGATCTGGCCAGCAGCAAGTACTTGCTTTGACCAGGGTACACGATAGATGGACCAAGAAACCGCTTATAAGTAAAATTCAGACACGAGAGACACATACATGGCCTGATCTACAACCACAATCAAGAGCATTGCATTCGAGCTTGCCGTGTTCCACCTGGACAATAGACGGGGCGGAGAATCGCAAGAGTGGCCGGCCCAACGGCCGGCGATGTCCTGTGCACTGCAAGTGCGTCTTTGGCATCGAGCAACATTCTAGTAATTCCGGTAATTGATGGTGGTTACGCAGACAGCCGGTTGGTCATGACTGGTGCGGAACAGGGCGCGGACGGCTGAGATCTGCGCGCGCTATCGGACAGCCAAGGCCCGAGCCGAACAGCGATTAGCAACGACTGACTCCGTCCGCCCAACCTGCGCGGATACTGACCAGTGCGCAGTCCTCATGTCCGTTCTCCCATACGCGCAATGCTGGCGACCGTATTCCACCCACCCGGTCAGCAGGAACCGTGGGCCCTGACACCAATCCTGCGTCGCAACCGGGAAGCGCATGTCCATGTCTAGCATGTCCGCAAGGGACCCGCGTTAACTTCACGATACTCAAAGGCATTTCAAAAGTCCAGAGCAGAATCGTTCCAGCTTTGGGGCGAATGTTTGGTTATAAGACCAGGCATGTACCTTGAACGCTTTCAGCAGGGACGAAAGTCTTGCAGTTACTACCTACTCCAGTTTCTTCTACCTTCGGCTTGTCTTGCCTTGTATTGTCGATATGCCTTTCCTTGGCTCCTCTCCAGACCTGTCCCCTAGTGGGTCAGACACACGATCTGAGTACGATGCGTCTCAACAGGCGCAGAACATTATCAAAGATGATGACTACGCCGCGAGGATGCTTCCCGGGAGCAGTGAGAAGCCGCTTAGTCAACAACTTGAGCCTATTGCTGTAGTAGGCATGGGTATGTACTGGCATTCTTGAGCTGGTCGGTCGCAAAGCTGACGATCACTGCTAGGATGCCACCTGCCGGGCGATGTGCGGTCCGCATCGGGCTTCTGGGATATGATGATGTCGAATAGGTCAGGGCAGACACCCAAGGTTCCAAAGAGTCGATTCGATGTCGATGCACACATCCATGAAAACAATGATCGGCCTGGTAGCTTCAGTGTATTGGGCGGTTATTTTCTGAACGAAACCCTCCAAGAATTCGACCCTTCATTCTTCGGCATAACCCCAATCGAAGCCATGTGGATGGACCCCCAACAACGCAAGCTGCTCGAGGTCGTATACGAGTCCCTCGAATCAGCGGGAGTTACACTTGACGACATTGCAGGAACAAAGACTGCGGTATTTGCAGCTTGCTTCACAGCTGACTTCCAGCAAATGTGCTTCAAGGAGCCTGCTTTCCGCCATTCCCTGGCCGCCACCGGTGTCGATCCAGGAATCCTGAGCAATCGAATTAGTCACGTCTTCAACCTGAGAGGGCCATCTATCGTAGTAAATACCGCTTGCTCTTCGAGCGTGTATGCTTTGCACAATGCTTCTAACGCTCTGAGAAATGGCGAGTGTACCGCTGCGATCGTTGCTGGCGTGAATCTGGTCTTGGCAGTCGATCAGCACATGAACACCGCGAAGCTTGGCGTGCTGTCACCAACTTCGACATGTCATACGTTTGATGAATCAGCAGATGGCTATGGCCGTGCAGAAGGAGTTGGTTCGGTATATCTCAAACGCCTTAGCGATGCCATTCGTGATGGCGATCCGATTCGCGGTGTCATTCGATCAAGCGCCACCAACAACAACGGGCGGGTGCCTGCTGTCGGCATCACACATCCCAACCTGGAAGGCCAAGCTGAAGTCATATCTACAGCTTACAAGCGTGGAGGTGATCTCGATCCGCGATTGACAGGGTATTTCGAATGCCACGGCACAGGTACAGCTGTCGGTGACCCGCTTGAAGTACGAGCCGTCTCTCTTGCTATGAACCAGTCCAGGCAGCACAGTGACGGACCATTGATGATTGGGGCCGTCAAGACTAACATTGGGCATAGTGAGGCAGCTTCGGGGCTGTCTGCACTGATCAAAGGCATTTTGACTGTCGAGAGAGGCATTGTGCCACCCACGCACGGCCTGGTGAAACCGAGTCCCGCCATCCAATGGAAGGACTGGAAAGTCACAGTGCCAGTGGTACCCTCGCCGTTCCCCAAATTGCCTCTCAAGCGAGTCAGCATCAACTCTTTCGGTTACGGAGGAACTAATGCTCATATCGTCGTTGAGAGCGCAGACTCTCTCTTGGTCCAGAAGCAATCCTACAAGTATCTAATTGATACCGACAAGACGATAAAACCACCAAGAGGAGCCTTTAAACGTAGTCGGAGTCACCTTCTTCTCTTTTCCGCTCATGATAAGTCTGCGTTGCAGAGAAATTTTGCTGCCCATAGCGAGGTTGCCAAAAACTACGAGCTCTTGGACCTGGCCTATACACTAGGCAACCGACGTACAGCATTTTCAAGCCGCGGCTACACAGTTGTCAGTCCGATGACACAACGCCAGACCAATTTGGGCGAGTTGTTTGTTGCCGAAAACAAGAAGACACCGACAATCGGCTTTGTCTTTACTGGGCAAGGCGCGCAATGGGCTCGTATGGGCGCGGAACTTATGACCTACTACCCAAGCTTTCTCCACAGTATTCGAATGCTTGACACAGCTTTGGACGAACTTGAAGATGCGCCAGACTGGACCATTGAGGATACCCTTCTCCTTCCGGATGACATTTCCCCAGTCAGCGAAGCCGAATATGCCCAGCCACTCACCACGGCTGTTCAGATTGCTCTCGTACAGCTGCTGAGGCTCTGGGACATTAATCCTACTGTCACGGTGGGCCATTCATCAGGAGAAATTGCGGCAGCCTTTGCTGCCGGATACATCTCTGCATCACAAGCGATTGTATTTGCGTACTACCGCGGCCTTGTGGTTCGAGACGTCAGCAACGAAGGCGCGATGCTTGCTGTTGGTCTCGGCGCTGAAGCAGTCGAACCGTACCTGGTTGAATTGAAGGGCAAGGTTCTCGTGGCCTGCCATAACTCCCCAGCTGGAGTCACTTTATCAGGAGACGCATCTGCAATTGCTGATATCCAAAAAAGGCTAAGCGCAGACAATGTGTTTGCGCGGCTAGTCAAGACAGGCGGAAAGGCATACCACTCTCATCACATGGAGCCCGCTTCGTCCAAGTATGAGAGCCGCATTCGCCGTGCTAGAGAGGTATCCATGCAATTGGATATTCCACTGAAGACCAATGCTAGAATGGTGTCTTCTGTGACAAACAGCGTGATTGCCAAGGATGCTGTTCTGGACGAATTCTATTTCAGCAGGAACCTGAAACAGCCTGTTCTCTTTAACCAAGCTGTTCAGTCAATTTTGACCGACCCCATGTTTGTACATGTCAACACGTTGATTGAGATTGGCCCACACAACGCAATGGCCGGGCCGATCAGCCAGATCAAGACAGCTTTAGGACTATCTCAGCTCGAGTATCTGCCGTCGTTGCTCCGTGGCCAAGACGCTGCGTCGCAGATGTTGAAGCTTGCAGGAGAGCTTTTCTTACGAGATTATCCACTAGATATTGTAACGATCACAGCGGAAGAGAAGTCCAGCAAGAGTGGCAAAATCGATCTCAAGCACGGTTGTCTGATCGTCGATTTGCCGCCTTATCAGTGGGGCAAGAAAGCTTATTGGGCTGAAGCGCGACACAGTGACGAGCTTCGTCATCCAAAGTACCCACGTCATGATCTTCTTGGCTCCATACTCCCAGGAGGCTCTTTATCGCAACCGACATGGCGCAACATACTTCGCATTCGGGATGTACCTTGGCTAGTAGACCACTCGTTGGGTGGTGAGGCTGTGTTTCCAGCTGCTGCTTACTTCTCAATGGCCATGGAAGCAATCACACAACTTACCGAAACCAGTGGTGAAAACGTTCACATCGCCAACTACGTGCTCCGGGATGTGACAATCAAAAAAGCCCTGGTCATTCCAGACGATGACACAGGGATTGAGTTACTGTTCAGCATGCGACGCGCAAACAATCTAGAGGACGAGGAGCAGCGTCCTTGGTGGAGCTTTAACGTGTGTTCCATCAACCAAGATGGGTTGACCAACGATCACATGAGTGGCAGCATCGCAATCAATGCTCGTGCAGAGCGTCCTGCACCAAGACCATCCCTTCATCTTCCCCAGCGAGCGTCTGGGAGAGAATGGAATCGGGCTCTCCGCTCGGTGGGATTTGATTACGGCCCAACATTCGCCGACATGACCGACATTGAGTTCAATGGCGTTGACTTCATCTGTCAAAGCAAGACGCAAGTCAAAACCATGGCTGGAAATATCATTGGCGAGTCTCGTCATGTACTTCATCCGGCAACTGTCGATTCATGCCTCCAATTGATGATTGCTAGTATCTTTGCTGGAAGAACACAAGCCATGTCTGCGGCTATTGCACCCACTCAAGTAGACGAGGTCTCTATCTGGCCACCTACAAGGGACCAGCTGAACGACGGCTTTGCGACAGCCTGGACAGACGAGCGCGGATTACGATCATTTGTCTGTGGTAATCAACTGGTGGCAAAGAATGGCCAAGTTCTAATGGAGATGAACAACATGCGCGGCACTCTTTACGAAGCAGCTGTTCCCCAGTCGTTATTGGCTGACATGAAGTCAATGCCTTATGGTAAAATGACATGGAAGGTCGATATTGACTCGCTCAAAACTGTCCAGAGTGTTGAAAAGTTCATCGAATTGGCTCATTTCAAGGACCCTACTGCCAAGATACTAGACACTACTGGATCCTTACGCCTAAACATCCTAGAGAGATTCCCCGAACTGAACTACACAATCATCATGACAGATACCAACGCCAAAGAGAAGGACACCAGCCAATTCAAGAATGCCAAAGTTGTCACAGCTGATGCGAGTACCAGTCTTCTTGACCAAGGCCTTCAAAAAACAGTGTACAGCGTAGTCGTCGCTCAGAAGAATAACGCCAACGTCTTCGAGCTTTCTCAGATGCTCTCCTCAAATGGAAAGCTTCTCCTGGAGTCTGGTGACGCTGTGGTGGTGAATCAAATGAGCCCCCCGAAGAATGAAGAGAACGCATCGAAGGGGATCGTGCAGATTGTCCACCGTGAGGCCGACACAACCATGCTGGAGAGAGTACAAAGGTATGTTCCCAATATTCATCATACTAGTTGTCGTTCTCTTACCTAAGCAGATCCCTTTCTCAACTCGACTACGCGTCCACGACTGTACCGCTCACAAGCGTCGTAGATGTCAGCGCTCATGTCATTGTGCTGGACCTCTCCAAATCCATGCTTGTCAACTTGACACAGCCCGAGTTTGAGGCTCTACAGAAGGTTCTCGATTCGGCTCAGACACTGCTATGGGCTACCTCTGGAGGTCTCTTGGATGGGAGAATTCCAGAGGCAGGCATGGCTGCGGGTCTCTTGAGAGTCATCCGAGCTGAGCAAGCTAGCATCAACGTTGTAACCATTGATTTTAATCCCGACAATACCACAACTGCTCAAGCTGCAGACAGTGTTGCGGCAAACGTTGCGCGCCAGATCGAGGATCCCTCCAGGATCGAGCACGAATACTGTATTTCAGGTGGTCAGACATACATCAGCCGACTAGAACCGAATGAGGAAGTCAACGCTGTCGCAATACTTGACAAGCAAGGGCCAGAAGACGTTTTGCTAAATGCCGACATGCGACTTGAAGGCGATGTCCGATCTGGCCAAGTGGTTTTCAGTCGTATCAATGAGCAACCCAGGATCGCTGCCGAGGCTGTCGAAGTAGCTGTAACCATGACCGGCTTGAACAAGGAGGGTGTCCAGGTGATCAATGGGACTGACACCAACACAATCTTCAGTCATGAGATTGCCGGTGTTGTTCAGCGTGTTGGAGATTCTGTACGACAATTTGGTATCGGCGATCGCGTCGTTGGCTTCAGCTTTGATCATCTCAGCACTCACCAAGTGATACCCGCCAAGATGCTACAGAAACTTGATGAAGAAGAGTCTTTACTAGACATGGTTGGCCTACCCATGCCGTACGCCACTGCGCTTCACGGCTTGAAGACCTTGGCTGTCGTCCAGCGCGGCGAAAGGGTTCTTATCCTCGAAGGCACTGCTGCTGTATCTGGCGCAGCCATTGAGATATCGTATCTGTTAGGTGCCATACCATATGTCGCAACTGCAAGCCGAGAAGAAGCCGAACGTGTCACTCAGCAGTTCAGGCTCGGCCGCGATCAGGTTTTCGCGTCCCAGGAGGAGTTGTTCATGTTTCTACGCCGTTACAGTGATCGGAACGATGTGGATGTTGTTTTCAGCTCTGCGGCGACTTCTGAGACTGCCACTCGCGAAGCCTGGCGTACCATATCGTCGTATGGTCGCTTCGTTAGCTATGGCAAGAAGAGCGCGCACAGGCGTACCGCTGTCGACTCAGTGCCCTTCTCTCGCGGTGCGAATTACTATTCTTACGATGTTGTTGATCTCTACAAGCAAAAACCGGTGGTTATGTCGAGCCTTCTTGCAGAAACAATCAAGTTCTACCGCGAGGGTCGAATTGCAGCCCCACAGAACCTTGTGGTCCGCAACGTCGCAGAAGTAGACGATGCAGTGAGCAGATTTGGGGACAATTTTAGGGCCGGAAAGACTGTGCTTGAGTACAAGCCATCAGAGAGGCCTGTGAAAGTTGTGCGAGTTTCTGCTGAATCGAAGCTTGATCCCGAAGGCACTTACTTACTTGTCGGATGCTTGGGTGGCCTTGGGCGCAGTCTGACCATGTGGATGATGAAAAGGGGAGCTCGAAACTTCTGCTTCCTGTCGCGCTCGGGTGTCGATGCTAGAGACGCTGCTCAGCTGGTCAAAGATCTCGAGACAGCTGGTGCGGTTATCAAGATTGTGAGAGGAGATGTCTCGGTTCGTGCAGACGTTCAACGAGCCGTTTCAGAAATATCTGCCCATCGTCCTATTAAGGGAGTTGTTCATGCTGCCATGGTTCTCCGGGTAAGTTCCATATTATGTGCTTGTTCCAGTCCTGACGGCCATTGACAAACATTCCATAGGATAGCATATTCGCTAGAATGACTTTCGAAGATTGGCAAACATCTGTCAAGCCTAAGGTTCACGGTGCAAGCAACCTCCAGGCTGTGCTTGGAAAAACCCCTCTTGACTTTTGGCTAATGACTAGTTCCGTGTCTGGAATCCTCGGAACCCCAGGTCAGGCCAACTACGCAGCTGGTAATGCATACATGGATGCGCTCGCCAGCCACCGTCGCAGTCTTGGTCTGCCCGCTTGTGCTGCCATCATCCCTATGGTCCTTGGTGTCGGAGTTGTGGCTGAGAACACCGAACTCGAAGCAGCGCTGACACGCAAGGGCATGTATGGTATCGATGAAGAACATCTCCTGCGGTCCTTCGAGCTCGCCATCAACATGCAAAAGGCTGGTGAGACCAACAGGGCCATCGACCACTTGGTCATTGGTCTTGATCCTGCTATGCTTTCACAAGCAGTCAAAGATGCCGGCAATGTCGAGCCCTTCTACTTGGCTGATGAGCGGTTCCGCACCCTGGTTCACTACATGAACGGTAGTACGGCTGTGGGTGGTGATGCTGGTGCCAATGTTTTGGCTTCCATGCTGAGTGCAGGCACGCCGGCTGAGGCTATACAGATGGCTCGTGACCATGTTGTTGGCAAAATGTCGCGCATGTTGTTACTGGACTTTGATGTTTTCGAGGGCGATGGTCGTTCGATCGCAAGCTACGGAATTGATAGTATGATTGGTGCGGAGTTGCGCAACTGGATCTTCAAGGAGTTTGCAATGGACATTCCGTTTCAGCAACTTTTGGGCCCCACGCTGACTACAGTGGAGCTGGCAAAGAAGGTTTGCATCAAGCACAGTATCTTGAAGGAGGAGTAGGCGTTTTGGCCCTGTGGTGGCATAGATGCCAGCATATATGTCAGCATAGCAGATCGCGTGTTCCTGTTGATTCTGCGCATGTATTTCCTTATAGCGGCGTTTGCGAATTTTAACTTTTGCTATGTAGTTAGTTATGTTACGTTTTCTCTAGCATTCTTCGAAGATTACCCCTTTTATGTTTGAAGCTTGGTCGATTGACGAGACACGAGTCTTCTTTAAGGAAGCGAGATTTCTAACATTGACTTGTTTTGATGTATTATGTACCTGCCTATACCATCGTGCGATCCAGCCATTGTCATGATGTGTAGTCGGTCAGATGCATGATATGATGTAGAAGCAAATTGTGAAAAAAAAGAAAAAAAAGACAACATCATGTTTGTGAAATCTGCAAGCAGCGAACAACGACAACAGTTTCGAATCATGATTCTTTATTCAATCTGTCAATCTAGGCATCTTGTGCTTTCAACGTGCGTCAATGTCTCAAATTCTATACTCTTCGTCCGGGTCCTGTCCAACCGCCTACATAGTTTTCACAGCCGGCACCATGGCCCTCATTCGATTTTCTCTCACCGCCAACGCAAAGGAGCCTGCTGCGCCAGGCCCCAAGGCGACCGTGCCTAGCAGATTCCACAACAAGGCCGTTTTCTTGGCCTTTTCGGTAAGCCTTGGCGCACTCTTTTCCAACAAGTGGTTTGTGATGATGAAGCATGCAGCCGCGACAATGATCCAATCGAACTGGGTGAACAAATGTGCGCCTTCCACTAGGGCCGCCATTGAGCCTCGTGGCTGGGCGAACACGCTGCGCGGCGATGGCACGTAGAGTCTCAAGATGCCAAGGTCAGTGTTGCGGGTAAAAGACGCAGCAAGCGCGGACAGTACAACGGATACATGGACAGCAGCGGACAGAACGCCTGTTGCGACCAACGAGGCAACGATCCATGGCGCGTCTTCATCTGGCGCACTCTTTCGCTTTGGAGTTTCGAACTGCGTGAGCGATGTTCCCGGACGGCTGGCCAGGACGACGGTGACGATCATGAGCATCGGATTTAGATGGTACCACGCGACAAGGCTTTGTTGAGTATGTGCAGACCAGCCTAGCCATGATGCTGCGTACATGATTACAGGGAAGAGGGCGTTTACCACAAGTGTTGGGGGAAAGCCGCGGGCCTCGTTGAGTGGGATTGTGCAGTCGCGCGTGGTGTAGGCGGATTTTGCGAGGAGGCAGAAGAACAGAGGGGTCACTACAGCGGCACCGGCCATGTTCCAGAGAAACATGAAGAAGACGATACTAAAATAAGGGATTAGCCGGGCAGTACTACTGCTGACGAAGGAGAGATGACTGACTGTCGGAGCAAAAAGCTCCTCACGCCTCGACGTCGGCTTTCAATCAGGACCCACGTGTTTATTGCTCCAAGAACATTGCACATTTCGAAGAACAGCCATCGTGGTGCGTGCACGTCACGGGCCGTGATCAGCATGTCGAAGAAGGCGACTACAACGACGAGATTGCCGTCTACGCTGGGATATCCCGTGAAGGTTTGGCGAAGTGGACGGCCATCAGGAAAGTATCCGTGTTTTGCGGCGAGCGAGACGCCGTCGAGCGTACCGTTGATGAGCATGGTGCCCCAGAGCAGGACCACACTGGCGCCACTCAGCAGCAGCAAGGATTGAGCTGGCGCCATCTCTGTTTCTTTTTTTTCTTGCAAGCTCACTGTCGAAGAAGGCTGAGATGTACCAGCTGGCATATACACTTGTCGTCCACGTCTGTCGTCCGGTTTTACACAGCATGCCGTGAGCAGCGCCCAATGAGGACTGGACCTCCCGCGCAGCGCGCCAATCAGCAGGCCCCGAGCCGCGGACTTGTGCGGCCGACCAAAGTCCGCTGGAGTAAAACGTCCACCCCATCCGGCCTTAGCGTCTCTATCAACCTCTTGGATACTTTTGTTTCTGTAGAGCGAGTCGTGACGCTCCACCATGTACGGCATGCCAACCGACGCAACGCAAGGATCAAAGCCCTGTACAGCCCACGCCTCGACCCCACTATCGCACAACATAAGAAGCTGTCCGCACCTGCATGCGCAGCCGCAAAAAGGCCACATTTGTCCGCACTCCCGGCATTCGCTCCCCGTGCCGAAGCCTGCCGTACACATTGGCGCATAATGGCAAAATCCATACACGTTGTGTCCAAGCTGGATAATGCCAAACATGCCGTATTCCACATCGACGAAGACCCTCCAAGCCTGGCGGCATCTTCAGTCCGTGTCCAGACGTGGCTTGTTTCCCTCACCTACAACAACTTGACGTACGCCCGATCGGGAACCCCTCTGCACTGGTGGGATACCTATCCCGTCCCCGAAGCGAGTCCAACACCCTTCAACAGTTGGGAAAAATGGGGTATCGTGCCAGCTTGGGGCTACGGCCGCGTCCTTGAGAGCACAAACGATGCCATAGCACCAGGGTCGCTGCTGTGGGGCATGTGGCCTACTTCAGAGCACACCGTCGACCTCCAACTTGAAGCAATTGAGCCATCGGGTCATTGGTTGGAGCGTAGCGCACAACGAAGTAAGCTCATGACGGTTTACAACAGCTACGAGCAAGTTAGCGAAAGCGATGCGCAGACCATGCGCATGACCGCGCTCTGCAAACCTCTCTGGCAGGGTCCGCATTTGCTCAACACGAGCGTATTTTCTGCACGACGTATCCACCCATTTGGTTTCGGTGCGCCATGGTCCCAAGAGGATGCCGACTTGTCGTCGGCTGTGGTCGTCAGCCTCTCCGCCTCAAGTAAGACCGGCCGAAGCTTTGGCTGGGAAATGGCAAGGAATCGAGATGTGTCCAAACACGGACCTCGTGCCTTGATACAGATGACATCAGTCCCCAACACATTGTCTGAGTACGACTCGTCCCTGCCAATGAGGGCAGCTGCATACGACGACACGAGCGCCATGGCGTGGGCCGAGCATTTCAAGCCATCACGAGTGGTCATTGTCGACTTTGGCGCATCTGACGCAGTTCTAGAGTCAGTCAGAGCCACAGCATCAAAGCTTGCTCCAAAAGTCACTGTCGTTGCTGTCGGCTACGAAGCCAAAGTCTATACACAAGAGGAGATTGCAGCCAGGATGGCGACTGCCAGTACCAAGGTCCCGGTCAACACAAGTGGGATGCGAGATCGGGTCATCGAATCTCAAGGCGCGTTGGAATTCTCGAAGGAGCTGGACGGCACATGGAACAAGTGTTTGAAAGAAGAGGCTTTTAGCAGCCTGCAGGTAAAAGTCTTGAAGACCGTCCAAGGGGAACAAGGCATCGAGGGAGCATGGAGTGCCTTGTGTAATCGCAAGGTTATAGCAGACGTCGGCATAGTAGTTGACTTTTCTGTAAGATATACCTAGTGTGTAACGAATTCTTCACATGATGGCGTTTGGCGTCGAAGTCGTTGCAATCAACGTTAACATCCTTGCCAAGCATCAAGTCCATCAGAGACCCTTATACTTTCCGAGAAGGCCATTACAATGAGTCCCTTCCTCTCAAATTCGGTCTATGACTGAAACTTTTTGCGCTTCTGATGGGAGCGCAGGTGTTCCCTACATGCCGAGGAGTCAACGCTTTGAGTACGACACAACTGTACTTTGCATAATGAGAGATGAGATAGGTAATTTACACCTGTCGGATCTTTCGATTGCGCCTTGAGTTTCTTACACGACTCGATGAGCCGTTCTGAATTTTACGTGGTCTTCTCGCTCGCACGCTAAGGGACCTACTTCCTAACCACAGACGTTGTGCGGTGCTGTAGAGAGTGTCTTTCAGCAGCCCCTTGCTGACATTCAACCATGAAATCAAGCACATATTGGCAATTAGAGACTAGGGTCGGTGACATAACTCACTGTATGGTGAGCTCAGAGATAACCCCGCAATCGAATCCTACGCGAGGTTTGACCTCACACTTCCTCCAGATCTATCTCTACGAAGGCCAAGCACTCTATCGGCGCCAAAACCTTGATTGGAGAATCAACTATTTCTGTTCCGATACTGTCAACTACAATGTCTTCGTAGTTCCAACAGCCTTGTTGTTTTTGTCACATGGACGTGCGGCCACTTGGCCAGAACTTGACCCCACTAAGCTGCGCCGCATAGTGGCATAAACCACTCTATGCACATGAAGAATCTGATGTGCATTGAGCCAACTTCTGTCACGGGGAGAGGTCTAGCGCCATTGAATGAATGCACGCCAGCTCCTTCGTATCTCCCAAAAGTCTAGCTTACAAGCAAGATGACCTGGCCAGAGACTTCTATGTAGCTAAGGATGGACAGATACGTAGACGATGTCCTGGACGGCACGTGTTCAAGTATCAGCGAGTTGCTATAGGGAGAGCTTTTTTCACTCTAGACAGCTCTTCTCCATCCTCTCCACCCTCTCCTGGTCCACAATCACGCAGCATTCCACTTACCATTCCAAAGTCCCCGATACCGTATTGCGCTCTCACTGTCCCTATAAAGTGCCCAGGTGTGTAATAGTCAAAATGTGCCCTTCTTAGTGCAGTCGATGACACAAACACCTCTCTTCCTCCTTTTCTATGCTGACTTAGCTTCACCAAGACACTCATCGATATGGTCACCCACACCACTATCCTCACCGCAATCATTGGCTTCAGTCTCCTGGCTGTGCCAGGAGTCGCTGCTCCAGCAGCCCTCGTTGCACCCTCCGTTGCTGCTGGCGAGTGGCTCGGCGGCATCGACATGCCTCGGGTCTGTAGGGGTCAGTACGATGCCAGCGCCATAGATCTCCGAGTAGGAGACACATGCAATGACTGGCGTTGCGGCGTTCGTTATTATCCTTTCGTCACCGACGTGAACACTCCTGCGACATGCACGAGGCAGTATGGTCCTGGTGTTTATGCTTGGTGCTCTGGTGGATGGGACAAGTGGTTTTGCTATAGGGCATGAACGGAAATGTAACAAATCACATGCAATTGGGCGCCATAAAATGATTTCTCATCGAACAACTGTCGGCGCATATAGACTGCGAGAACTTTGCGAACGTCGTCTTGGCCAACGATCCTCTTGCCTAGTTGATTGTATTGACTTCGATAAGCGAACCCAAGTCGCAAAGTTGGCCAGGCCTTGGTCGACAGGGTATGACAGCCATCAATTGAATCCTTGTGCCTAACGTGAGCGTGCCTCTGAACCGCGCTACTTGCATGTTACGGAACTTCGGCCAGGAGCGACCTATTTGCACGACGGAGATCTGAGTGTATGAGAGAACTAGAGTTGTTTACGTGCTATGCTTCCAACATCCTACCCAATATGGGTCACGGATCCGACACCTCATGCGTTCAATACTTTCTCTCGATGCTTGGTTTCACCCAATGCGCTCCCTCTTCGCAGGTTCTCTCAAAGCTTTGAGTTTGTATCTTCGTGTTATCCCAACCACTGACATACTTCCTATCTTCCGGGTCGTGATGGCCATCTGGCTGTTTCGCATTACCAATATACAACGCTTTCGCGTAATAGCAGTGCCGTCCATGCCAGGTGTACTGCATACAATCGTTGTGTTGAAAACACCCGGTTCTGCAAGAATCGAGGCTTGTGTGAACAGTGGAATTGTCAGGCAGCTGAAAGCCTGCGTCGAATGCTGCATCCCAGTTCTCGCGCTGAGAGAAGTTGCCGTGGAAAGAGAAAAGTAGATCACGATAGAGCACGGGGTGCTCACTGGCTGATCGTCGTTCGTTCTCCCAGGACCAAAGGTCTTTATAGAGTAATGGATGAGTCTTGTGTAGGCTGATGACAGGTTCGCACCAGTAGTCTTTGCCGAACGGGATGTTCTCGAGCCGATGAGGGCTGAACATGGGCCAGAGGCCACCGATACTAATTCCAGCTTTGTCGTGCAGAGCCCATCCCAGTATACTGTCGCCACAGCAATCGGCTCTGATGTCTTCCATGTATTCGATAGCAAGCCGGGGACCCTTGAGGCCGATGCTATTGCTTGGACGATCCACCAGTCGGTGCGCAGCGGCCGTGGAGAGTATGAAGCCAGCGCCTCCGTATGCAAACCACACCTGCCCTTCGTTCTCAGGATCCGAACCAGATTGGTACTTTCTGCCAGGCGATGGCGATCCGAAGTAGTAAGGCGCTGAGCTATTATAGTTCTCTAAAAGACGGAAAACGTTGTCCCAGAACATGTACGTATCGCTTTCAAGAAACACGTACCACTCGGCCGCATTGTTGCGCTCAATCGCCTTCTCCACTTCCGGCAAGAACTTGTACTTGTCGATCACCCAGCCTTTATGACCCTGCTGCAGCTTCCTGCCCTCACGGCTTGCATTCTTTTGCGCCTCGTAGACGAGGTAATCCTCGGGTTTCAAGTACGTGTTCGGCGGCAGATCTGCGAGAGTGTCGATAGTTTGGTGGTCACGACCGTAGGTATGATTTCCGTCCGAAACGATCAGGATGTTGGAGATGCATTTTATGACCGTCGAAAGCTGCGCATTGGTCCGCGACTCATCATCTGCTGCCCCAGTTTTCAGAACCACCTGAATCTTCGCGAGAAGGTGCATTGGAAATAGAGCGCATTCGTCTGCGACGCCGCCCTGTTGGCCAACACTTTCTCTTGTCTTGAATTGCGTCTTTGTGTCCCATGTCCAGAAGTCAAGTCCATTGTCGGCTTGCGACTCCGAGCCCTGCGCTGTCGATACGAAAGGCTTGGGGTGGAAAGCTTGATTTCCCAGGATATCGCTTGGTAAGGTTTCGACGTAGGTCCAGTTGAACAGGACGAAGATATTGATACAGATGGCTATGCCAACCAAAGCGCATAGTAAACGAAGCCATTTATGGTGGTTACAAGTTGTTTTTGGTGAACATCCGATTGTGCGCTCGTTCAGAGAATGATCAGCACTCCGTTGGAAGCGGCGTGAACCTGTTAACATGTTGGATGTGGGCGCAAGTGTGACGTCGAGGTGTTACGTCATGTTCAGTTTGTCGAGCAGGTTCCGAAGACCGCGTTCAGCTGTAGGGTGAGTGTTGGTCGACGAGCGCAGCGTCGACAGACTGCTGAAGAGATGGCAGCGTGCACAAAATTGTTCGTGAGACAATTGACTGCGGGAAGAAGAAACACTAGGCGCGCTTCTTCTTGGGTGGTTGCCTTACGTGATACCCCTTGCAGCAAACGGTGGCGCAAGGCAGCAGTTAGCGAGGATTTTCCATCTTCGTTTGCTAGCAACGATGCCGCTACCCGCGCCAATGATCTAATCTGTGGAGCTGAAAGTGTCCCACAAATCCGAAGGGTCTGCTCGAGGTGAACGCTGAAATGACCAAAAGAGCAGCTGATGTCGCTTTCAGATGTTACTATTGCCTAGCGGGCGTCGCGACAGTGATGAGATTTGTGCTTTGGTGTGCTGAATGATCGTAACAGCGTCCAACATAACGACGAACAGAAAACGCCTCCATGTGAAAAAGGGCGATAATCTGTGGCCAAACAACATCGATGAGAAAGGCGAGAGTAGAGGTTCGTCGCATTCAGCACCAAAGCGTTCCCAAAGAAATGGTTGGCCGGGCGGAACGTGTGCCACTACAAGCTAGCGTCGGGCGTCATCACGTGCACAGATGCTGGGTCGGATCGCTGTGGGGCTTCGACCTCCAGTCCACCACTCTCCGACACCGCCGAGCACACAATCAGGAGTCAGCCACACCAGGCCTGACGCTCGTATATATACTTGCTGGCTATGCAGCCGTGACCAGGAAGCTGCTAGGCGCTAGCAGTCCTTCGTTTCGATCGAGCCTCACGATATCGAAGGGCGCTTTCACAGATCCGTCCACCGTACGGAAACTCACGAACGAGCAAATAACAAACCGATCGACCGCCTCAGGCAGGGCTTTGGTATAGCTACCCTCCCAATAGCCGCATAGGAACGTCCCACTACTGGCGCACACACCTCCACGATTCGCGACGCTGCCACTACATCGTTTCCTGATGGGACACTTAGCATGTGGCAGCTATGGATGTCGGTTGATTGGAACAATGTAATCGAGCGACAAGATCACATGTAGCAAGACGCGACTGTGGTCGACGTTCAAGTAGATCGGGATGTGAAGCACAACCGTAGTTGCTAGGTAATAATGCATTTGGAAGGATGTGTGCGAGCTTGTCAATGACAGGTCCAGTAATGCATACGCTTAAGGGCAAGGGAATGGTGTTAAGGGCCATCACATGTGCGTTGCATCGACCCATTCAATCCACGGCGCATGCAGCCTTCGTCTGACATGCCCTTGACATGGCTCAGCCCGTGCATCTCAGTTATCGATATTCGACGGCATGCAGTACTCGATCATAGGTGAGGGGAGAAGCTACTACTGTTCTCTGAATACGGCTCAGATCGGTGTCGATTAGCCTGTGCTACTTCAAGCTAGCGTCAAGCGTCAGCATGTGTGATAGAGGCGGGGCATATACGGCGCTTCGTCCTCCACACTCCCCGAATATCGATTGTGCCCTAACGAGCGAGCGACTTCAGCTTCAAATATAGTTCAGCTAGAAGCCTGGGCTACATACGAAAACCGCCTCTCGTTTTTCTGTCGTAATCTTTCCTCCTTCTCGAAACCCCGTCCCAAGCGCTACGAATCACCGTCCCGGATATCACAATCAACAATCCGATCACGTCGATCGACGGCGACGCTGCTGAGAGCAGGTCTGTGTAGACATTTGGCAAGCCGCGCTCGGATATCAACAGAACAACAGTCTTTGGTTCATTGGGATAGGTGGTGCAACCGAAGCATGAACGTAACAGGTGGACTGGAATGTCTTCGCTGTTCTACAATCGATTGGGAAAGATTACGACCAGAACTCAATGAAAGGGTACTTGTCTGCGCTATCGAGGAAAGCGTTACAGAACTAAAGCAGTCTTCTTGTCCCACTTGTAACGTGCTTGGAACTGCTTTAGAAGCTCGACAGTTGGCCAGACACATGCCAGATGCGAAGGAATTTGGTCTGTGTCTAGTATACTCACGCGGGGTATTCTCCCTCCGGCGGAAAACCAGCCATATAAGAACCAGCTTCACTTTGTCTTTGAAGCTTGGTGAGAAAGATGATCCATACCTCACCGACTTACAGGCTGAAGCTTTCAATCGCGTTGATTTCGAGTCCTTAAAGTATTGGATGGCAAATTGTAAAATGCACGAGAAATGCAATATTTCACCAACGTCAGGTATAAATGACTTGAAGGTAATTGATTGTCATCACAGAAGAGTCATACTAGCTCCAGAGAAGTGTATATTCATTGCACTCTCCTATGTTTGGGGCCCGTCGATGTTGGAGGACTATACGCAGTTCCCCGACCTACCAAGCCGACTTCCTCGCACAGTGGAGGACAGTATTGAAGCTACTACCATGCTGGGTTTTCAGTTTCTATGGGTCGACCGATATGTGAGTTCCACATGATATTACTTTGAGAAAGTAGCTGACTTGGCAGTGTATCAATCAGGCAGATCATGATGTTCAACGACAGCAGATCCAACAGATGGGACTCATTTACTCTTCAGCTCAGATCACTTTGATCGCAGCGTTCGGTTCAGACGCTGATTCCGGTCTACCAGGCGTCACACGTGACCGCCAGCGTTGGAAACTCCTCACACATGCTGTTACCGATCGTCTACTGCTAGTCATAAAATTGCCGCCTAAGATAAGGGGAGCACGTCAGATTGTCGCAGCGTCAACTTGGTTCTCGAGAGCGTGGACTTTTCAGGAAGGTTATCTCTCTCGAAAACGGATATATTTCTTAGAAGACCAAGACTTATACCTTTGCGATGAAGATTCGGGAGTGAACATGACAGGAGAGCTTACAGATCAACTTGCTGCGTCCCTGCCGAATTCTGCCGAGATACAAAACCGAGTGGGAGCAATCATGCGTGAATATACGCGACGCCAACTCACCTATGATTCAGACGCGCTCAACGCTATCTTGGGTGCCCTTGGAACCCTGGAGAGAACTGATCATATCTGGGGGGTGAGTCTTGCACGGGGAGAGGATATACGGAGCTATAAAGTACCTGAGGTAGGCATGGCTTTGGATTGGGAGCACCTACTGCCATGTTCGCGACGCAAAGGCTTCCCAAGCTGGTCACCCCTTGGTTGGCGCGGCACTGTCAATCATTGCGCTTTTGTCCCAAGCGTTTCATCAACATGCTCCGTCGAGCTCTGGTACGACGGAGAGTTCAAACTACCTTGCAAAGCCTTTGGCAGGCTAGCCGAACGTTCAAGTGATTTACTAGAGGATTCGAAGCTCCTTAAACTGACAGCCACCGTGCTGAGGTTAGATCTGGAGCACCTGGAAGACGGCCACACAAACACAGCCGGCTTATATGTCAAGGTTCCGTATAGTCATGAGATCGACCTATTTGTGTGGCCATCATGGGACGTCGACTATAAGAGCAAAAGGAGTCTCAACAAGGCTAGGATGCGATTGCCATGTGTCGTCATCCTGCAACATCCGGATGACTCATGTCTCGAGAGAGTCACACATGAAGGCAAACGAATCTTTGAAGAAAGATCGGTGTTGTTCATATTGCAGAACCATGGTAGTCACTATGAGCGTATCGGGCGTTTCTCCATGCAAAACCATAAACGAGGCAGTGTGTTTGCCCGTGATAAGCAAGGCAGGCCCGTGGAACTTACCTTTCCCTATGACGCTGATCTCCATAGATATCGCGACGCTACATCCTGGATGGAAAGCGGTGTGAGGGATACATTCCTCCTAGGTTAGTACGACCACAGTGGCCACAAAGCGACACAGCTTTAGAACGCATTGATTGGGAAACGGTTCGTAACTCTCGAGTCTTTCACCACCGTCGATCGCTCAAGAACAAGAACGAATGAGAGACTTGCTGCGAGTGAGGTCAAAAGTTTCAGTACAGCGAGCATCGACCACAACGAGCATATTTGTTGATTATGTACCACCTTTGGAAGACAGGTTTGAGGATATGCAATGAGCAGGGACAACGACTAAATCAAAAGTTGCCCATAAGAGATAATGTCTAGCGGTCGGCTTGATCGTGCTGAGAGGATCGGAGAATCGGTCGAATTGTTCATGGCGGGCATGGCGAAGGACCAGACTATCTTGAAATCTTTGACAGTTTACTGTATACACACCCACCTATCCTGAAATCCTACAATCCCGATCTCGCAACCTACAACATCGCAACAACAGTCGACACAACTCCACCTATTATGCCCCGATCATCACGGATCTCAAGTCTGCCCTGTACCTCTGGTTCATCACTTTCAGATTATCCATCAATGTCATTTGAAGAATCGCGCTAGGTGTCATCGTTTTGGGGGCCAAACCATGCGGACAAACCCTGTCTCCGCTCTCATAAGCGACTCGCGGCGCGGGAGCGCGTCGGCGACCGTGTTCTGCTGTCATCGTGATGCATACGGCTTTTGTATTAACTAATTTAATCCGTGAGGCATACAGTGTTCCTCCGGCACTATCTTTTGTACGACCTTACCCTGGGTCTTGAGGGTCACGGCCTTGCTTGGTATAGCTTGACCCGTGCCAAATAAGGCTAGCATCAGGCGACGGCACGTGCAAAATGGTGGGTAAGCCTTTCGCGATCTTTTAACACGCACATCTTGTTCTTCTCTAGGTTACCGCGCAAACCGGCGATCATAGCGTTGAATTCAGTTACCTACGCGCTGTGGACTATCTTGACCTCGTTTCTTCAGTGGATTTCACACTACCACAGCGCATGCGCCCGCGAGCCTCGGCGCTACGGTAGCCTCGCCTCTCAACAGTTGAACTCGGTGCGCTGAACTTGATCGCGTCAGCAGATGGATGATAAAACCTTAATCTGAATCGAGGAACACTTCGTACATGTGTTGAATCGTTCCAAACGTGTTCCAGCATTATTACCTAGCCTAACTAGATTGCGTTCAGCAGTCTTGAGGGCTTGATTGAGCACTTTAAACCCCCACATTTCTTGGTTCATCAAGGGCGCAACTGGTCACTGGTAATTACCTAGGTACACCGCGACTCTATCCCTTACTGCGCGACCTGCTTTCGTTTCGAATACGCTGCGTTTCATGGTCTTTCAAGCTTCGCCATATCGGCTGAGGCTCTCGCAGAAACGCAATTCATTTCGTGGAACCCTCGCATCGATCAATCGGTACCGCTTCTGATCAGCGCTTACTACGGTACATAATCCTATAAGACGTGGAGTGCGCATAATACCGAGATTGCTCAAATTCAACCTTCCATCTTTCGACACCCCCGTTCAATCAACGAGATCTCAGTAGCATCAGCTTGAAGTCTCTCTGGCCCAGACCTCACACGGCTCTTTCTCAAGTGGCATCCAAGCGTCATACGTCTTACCGCACCTGCTAGACACAGCCACGAGTTACATCGCCCGCACAGGGTTATCTCTACCCTAGAACGCGAAGAACAGCCTACCAATGGCTCCACGTCGATTACCCTATCTTGATACATTGGTGTTGAGGAAGCAAGTTCTGGAAGATCGGACTGAAGGATCCAAGCAACGCAAAGCAAATTCAATCGCGCGAGGCATAGGACATGGGATCTCACAAGGCACAAGAGATGCAATTGCGCGAGGGATGCAAGAGGTGAAAGGAAACCTTGCACGGCTGCGACCCCACTCGGACGTGGTGTGTAGCAATCTATGCGAACGTTGCTCCAAAATACCATGGGTTGAACTCGTCACGGCGGGGGATAAGGTGAAATTTCAGTTGATTGGAATGACGAAGCCACTAGAAGAATTGCAAGTCTCTGCCTGCCCAAGTTGTCGAATTCTTGGCTCCAACCTCCCAAGTTTTGATGTCACCTTCTTGAGTATGGAAGATCGATACTACCTTCGATTTAGAGACAAACACGACAAGTATTGGTATCCATCATCTTTGAGGATCATCCACAAAGAAAATCCGTCTCTTCTTGACAGATCCTCAGCTTTCATCGATAAAAGAGGATATGTCAATGCACTAGAAATGAAGGGGAGAATTGAGGATTGCATAGATAATCACAAACAGTGTAGACCGCAGCCATGCGATAGTTTGAGAGATTTGAAAGTCATCGATTGCTACGAGCGGACTGTCGTCTTGGCTCCAGAGAGCTGTCGATTCGTTGCACTCTCCTATGTGTGGGGTCGACCTACACAGGAGGCAGAATCGATTGATAGACCACAGTTTCCAATGCTCTTAGATGTATTCCCTCGCACCGTAGAGGACAGCATCGTAACAACCATTGCGCTTGGCTTCCAATACCTATGGGTGGATAGATACGTACGTTCCTGAAATGCTTAATGAGCACAAGCTGATCAAACAGTGTATTGACCAACATAACGCCGACGACCAAAGTCACCAAATTAATCAGATGGGGGCCATATACTCTTCAGCCCAGGTTACGCTTATTGCAGCGGCCGGCACAGATGCCAATTTTGGTCTACCAGGAATCAGCAGAGAGTTCAGCTATCCAGAATCGTGTTCCGTTACCAAGAATCTATGTCTGGTCAACGCCTCTCAATCAGTCACACGATCGGTTTCAGCATCCACCTGGTACTCTCGAGCATGGACGTTGCAGGAAGGTTACCTCTCGAAAAGGCGACTGTTCTTTGTAGAACACGGGATAGATTACATTTGCGATGAAGACCTTCAGGATGAAGACCTGAGAGGCGGCCTGATTGCAAGTGAACTTGCTGCCTCGCTACCTAGTAAGATGAATGCTTGGGATCGTGCAAATCACATGATGCGCCAGTTCGCAGGACGAAGTCTTACATACGAAGGAGATGCTCTCAACGCTATCATCGGCGCGCTAGGAACTCTCGAAGGTGTTGATCATACAGAGGGGGTAACTATCCAAAGGTCTAACTCTTCCGAGACATCTAGTACGTACATGGCTCTGAACTGGTGTCACGATCTGCCTTGTTCCCGGCGTGAAGGGTTTCCCAGTTGGTCGCCTCTCGGCTGGAGAGGGGAAATTGATTATCTCGACTACCAAACCACGATCTCATCCGGCTGCTCGCTCGAAGTCTGGCACGACGGAGGATTTAGGCATGTTTCCGACGCTTTCGGGAAATTATCGGAAGGCCATCGCGCACACAGGCCAACACAAGAGAGGTACCTCAGACTGAACACCACTGTGGTAATGCTAGATTTCGTATATCTCGACCACGAGCCTGGTATACCCAGTGGATTTTATGTGAGGGTTCCGTATGCCTCCAACCTCGACCTCTTTGTTCTGCCGTTTTGGGATGCAGACGATATGCGACAGGGCAGTATACAGCTGCCTTGTGCTGTTGCCGTGCGGCGCAGGACACTCATGCAAAAGACTTGGAGATGCGAGCAAGAGTCACAAATACTCATCATGCGACAGCACAGCACACATTACGAACGCGTTGGATGTTTCAATTTGCATTGGTCTCATCGTCATATCTATGCCCGAGAGAAGCAAGGCCGGATCTTTTCCCTGGACTTTACCTATGGCAATCCGCTTCTGGAATATGGTGACGGTACCTACTGGAAGAAGAATGGCGAAGAACGCACGTTTCTTCTCGGCTAGCTCGACCTTGAAACTCTCCGCGAAGCTTCAACCTACCTGAAAGGCATCGGTGTATACAGACATGGAATAAAATCAAAGTTCGTAGCGTTACCATCAAGAGCGGTAGACACGTAGAGTCTGAAGTCGTATACATCGCGTGAGAGAGTAAGATGGAAGGACAATAACGAAGAGATATTCATATTTCCAATGGTCATCTACAACTTCGCTCCGCCAGTTGCAGCTCAAAGATCAATGTACTTTAACGAATTACATTGTGTGTCCGACGCGATGGGTTTGCCGTTAAATGCAATCTTGAGATGTCCCTCCCACGTACCCCCATGATCCATCTTGAAGCACGCCGAGTCGTACCCATTCTCCTGCATCCACTTGAGCTCGCGCTCCACAGCGTTCTCAATCGTCTTCGTCTCCGAGGTAGTGTCGCATTTCGGGCCAGACGTCGTCGCGTAGTATTGCCAAGCAGCGCCATCAACATTTCCAGATATCACCGAGCAGCTGTTGACATCGGATTGGCCTTTGATGTATACAGCAAGGTAGTTGGCAATGGAAACGATGGCGAGAGTGGCAGTCGCGCCTTGACTCACAAAGCCGGCCGCAAGTTCAATGTCTCGGCGAGCCTCTAGGGGAGCAGCGATATCCTTGCCGAGGCCGTATCTACAGCTTTCTGGTTAGCGAGTTGCAATAACCAATATACATTGTTGGTAGAGCAACAACATACTCCTCGCCACTGCTATGCCGCTTCTCGTAATCACCGATAGCGAGTGCCTCGGCAGTTCCGAGCAAGCAGAGTATGTGAACGAGCTGGAAGCGCATCGTGAATAAGTGAATTGTATTGGAACAAGAGTCTTGTTGAAGATTTTTACAGTCGCGTGATATATGGGTTGGAAAGAACTATTGATCTGGCGGAAGAAAACCCTTTCAGGTGCTTCAATTGTCTTATATAAGTAGATAGATACAGCACAAGACCTACAAAAGGCCCGCGGTCTACCTCCCCTTCTCAGAAAGTTCAAGCTTTCGACGACGATTATGCCTCGTTGATCCGAGCCCGATAGGGCCTCCAAAGGACTGGTGGCCTTGAGGAAGAGTCAAGAGGGTCATTTTGAGAGACGGCGACGTGAATCCATGTAGTAGAGTCGATTCGACAAACCGGCAGTGATGGATGCTGGGCGCCTAAAGAATGATGAGTGAACACGATCGAGTATTACAGTACAAAACTAAGCGCCAGCCACAAAGCTTATGTCGATCCATGAGATTTTGGTCCAAGAGTCGGAAAGTCGGTCGGAGCAAGAGCATGGGTAGTATACGGACCGAAGACGGAACGCCTTGTACTCACAGCCCCGTGCGGCTATGAAAAACAAATTAAGAATGGATGCCTAAGCCACACTGATGTAGATGATCGATGTAGAGAGACGTTAATCTCAAAAGCTTGAAACTTTGTCAAGGCTAGAGTGTTTGAAACAAGGGTGGTAAAGGTGGGCTAGACAGCCTAATTCGGCCCTTTGCACAGACCAGAGATCGAACGCCTGATAGACGGCGAAGTAGAACAACAGGACCGATCTAGGATACGCAAGTTTTCAGGTACAATCGAATCAGTCTACTGACTTGAGAGACATGCATATTGCGTCTCTCAAGCATGCTGCTGCCCTATCGTGAGCCTTGGACATGATTTCCGGCCAATGACCCCGTCAGGCGTACCATGAGGGCGGGCAGTTGAACACTATAGCCTCAGGCGTGCATCAAGTCAATCCATACTTGACTATGAGTATCTCGATAGTCGGGGCGACTTGGAATGTGAATGCATATATAGCTGGCAGTAGACCCCAGTTTTCGTACAACACCTTCATAACTTGGCAATCACACTTCTGCTACGCTTCTACAGTTTGTGATAGTTCCACTACCGACCCGTTCTGCCGCCCATCATGCGTCTTTCCACAATTGCTGCTACTGCCCTCTGCCTCAGCTACAACGCAGTGGCTATCCATCTTCCAGAGCGGGAGGCGCTGCCAGTATTGAGCGAGAAACCTCACAGCAGGTACGACGAAGAAAACACCCTCAATCTTAGATTCTTGTTGCATCAGAGCTGCACGGCGTCTCTCATTCACCCTGCTAACAAGCTGCCATAGTGACAGTCTCGACAAACGTCTTACCATCGAAGAACAGGTAGCCATCCTCGGTGCAGGCTCCATGGTGGCGCTCAACGTAAATGCAATTGCCACGTACGTTTCCAACTTGATGAAGGCGCAGAGCGAAGCCAACACCTGTGGCGTGATATCTGGCACAGTCGACGGGTATGTCTTGTCCTCTCTCTCCCATCTCAGACACCATGTCCAAAATTTTCGATACTATACCCTTCCTCTCTACATTCTTCGATGGCTACTAACGTGGTTGCCCAAGTGTCAACTATCAGTACCATGCGGCAACAACAGGCAAGAACTGCGACACTACAGCTGAGACCAAGACGATGAATGATGCCGTCGCTCGGGCATTGGAGTTTATGCAAATTCACAATATCAATCAAGCCTGCTTCAATATGCAGCATGGCGGCACGTGGAGAGGATTACTACAATTGGCAAGTGGTGGTAGGACAATCATCAACGGCAAATGCGACAGTGTGACATACACATTGACCGTGACATAAGGAGTTTGATACGAAGACCCGGGCCTGATATCGAACGGATAGATAGATGTAAACGATCTGATTTTTCCATCACTAATGGTGTGCGCATTATTTGGTGCCTTGCGACCTTCCTCTCCTTGTTTTGTCTTTTTTTTTTCTCACTTCGCCAAACGGACATTTTATTAGAACGTCCAAGGTGATGTCTCTTGAACGTTTCTCGTAGATCTCACTTCCCGGTCGGACACGGAGGGAGGTAGAAAACGTAGACGAAGGAGTTGGCTTAACGAAGGTATTTGATCTTGCCGATCAAAACGATCATTTGCAGATGAATGGATATGAATGTAGATATAAGACGAGCCACGTTGCTGAGATAGGAGATGGTGAATATGTTATAGTTGGGACATGTAACAACAATCCTACATGTCACATGCCAACAACTCAGCATGGTGTTGAGAACGAGACTCAAGTGGGGATGCTTACATGCATTTAGGCATGCCGATAACAGTGTGGGGGAACCGAGCTATACCAAGCTTGAAGTCTCCCACAAGAGCCCATGTTCATCTCCACATACCCTCCCTGTATATCGTTCACCCATATAATCTGATAGAAGATTGATCGCGACAACCAAGTGTTTGATGCATTTGGGTAGCTTTCGCAATATATTCCGCTACTCACCAGCGAAAACTCACGAAACCACAATCCCTTTCACAACAATGAAACAAACCATCCCGTAACTGATTTCCGAGATTGGGCAAATAGCTGCAAATGGGGGTATCTGTTGCATTCGGTACTAATTCCTTGTCGCATTGGGACATTTATCCGCTCGTAGGCGGTTTCACTTCATCATGTAATAGAAAACTTACACATCTACTCTTACCACCAGACATTATAATTCCTCATCACATCCTCGCACGCTTACAACCTCTCCTTCTGCAGACCCTTCCAGCCCCATTCTTGGGCAATCAGCTCAGCCGCACGCTCACCGATACCAAGTACAGTCAACATGGGGTTGATAGTCGGCATCTCAGGGAAACATCCCGCATCTGCGATCCTGACACCTTGCAGGCCTCTAATCTTGAGTTCGGGGTCCACAACGGCCATGTCGTCCTTGGTCACATCACCCATCTTGGTGGTACCAGCAGGGTGGTACACAGTGTGTGCGACGCGGCGACCGTACTCGGACAGCTCCTCGTCCGTGTTGACATTCGGTCCGGGAGCGACCTCGCGCTTGATCCAGTTGGAGAAGGGGGCTTGCTTTGCGATTTCACGTGCGGCTTTGAGGCCGGCGACGATGGTGGCGGCGTCGTAGCCTTCGGGGTCGGTGAAGTAGCGGAAGTCGAGGGCGGGTTTGACAGTGGGGTCGGATGAGGTGAGGTAGATGCGGCCGCGAGAGCGGGGGCGGGGGATGTTGGGAGTCATGCAGAAGGCATCGATGGGAGAGTCGTAACCCATGCTGATGAACACGTTAGTTTTTAATGCCAAGACGATGGGGGTTGCATTTGGAAGAACCTACCGAGCAGTGTTTAGGCAAAAGGGGATTTGGTAGCAGTGCATCATGATATCAGCAATGTCACCGTCACCGCCGGCTGCGTTGGGCACCTCGCGGCGGAGGAAGATACCAGCGTCAGAGTCCATGGTGGTCTGGTTCGCAGGTACGGGCTTGTTGAGCTCCCAAAGGATGATGCTCTCGGGGTGGTCAAGCAGGTTCTCACCAACACCGGGGATATCCTTAACAACGGGGATACCGAGGTCAGAGAGCTGTTGCTTAGGGCCAAGACCAGAGAGGAGCATCAGGCGAGGGGTATCTACGGCGCCAGCGCAGAGAATGGTCTCGCACTTGGGGTTGAGGGTACGCTTCTCGCCGGATTGGAATGTGAGGTCAATGCCAGTAACCTTGTCGCCCTTGACGTTGACCTTGCTGACCCACGCGTTGGTGAGGACAGTCAAGTTGTCGCGCTTCTCCTCGCCACGAAGGATAGGGTGAATGTAGGCAACACTAGCGCTGCTTCGTCGGCCGTCGTCGGGGTTGTATGAGACTGAGAAGAAACCAACCGAGGGCTTGAGCGCGCCCTTTGTCTTGATTTCGTGGTTGAAGTCGTGGATGACGGGGATGTCCATGGCGGTTGAGCACGAGTCGATCCAGTCGAGGCAGAGCTGGTTCCGGTGCTTCTCGTGCACGGGCTGAACAGTGTTGCGCAGGTTGTCAAGCACGCGCATGAAGGTCTTGAAGCTCCAGCCCTTGCAGCCTTGAGCTTCCCACCTCTTGCAGTCGTACTCGAACGGCCTAAAGGAAATGAGAGTGTTGTGTGATGAGCAGCCACCAAGGACCTTTGCACGTGAGTGACGGATGTGAGAGTTGCCGTTGGGCTGTTCGGTGGTGCCGTAGTCGTAGTCGAGCTCGCCTCCAAGGAGGTTGAGCCAGTCCTTGAGCAGCAATACACGGTCGTCCATGAAGTCGCTTGGGCCGGCCTCAATCAAGAGGACCTTCTTGTTGGGCAAGTACTCTGTGAGTCGCGAGGCAATGACACAGCCAGCTGTGCCTCCTCCGACAATGACAAAGTCATACTCGGCATCCTTGGGAATGGAGGTCACGGTCTCGAAAACCATTGTGTAGTTGCGTATGGGTGTTGTGGCTTGGGGTGGTGGCGAGACTATAGTCGAGAATACAATTCTGCTGGAGAAGGGCTGTTTCACGTAAGAGGCAAGCTTATATATCTATACCGGACTATCGCTCTTGGGTACGATGTTGTCTAGACGGGCCGGGGGTCGCGATCGGGCGGTCGGCAGAAGGTCGGACAAGCAAAAAGTTGAGCTGTACGGGAGGTTGGTGTACGGGCTGAGAGTCGTGTGGCCGCTGCAGGATATGTAGTTTGCCTTCCAGATAAGACTGTGCTAAATAGGCCCGTTTGCGCGGTTGGACCAGGCGCTTGCACGTGCTCAACCGGCGCTCCAGTACGTCAGCGACGTTGCGAGAGTGAAGCGAGGAAAGATTGGCGAGAGGCCGAACTATGGTTGCGCTGTACGCTGTGCGCAGAGCATGGACGTGATTGATGGATTGATGTCTTCTAGAAGACCGACGCTACGGTTGCGACGATATGGTATCGCTCGCGATCCCCAGGTCAAGAGAGAAAAAAAAGGCGTCGTAAAAGATTCCGATGATGTGATGGCCGCATTGGCGCTAGTACGACCCCGCTGGGCTGCAGGCTCCGAGCAGGCGATCCCTGTCCGCCCATGCCGCACCTTCCCCGATATTCGGGCGGTGAGCGCGGCAGCCATCGGACCACCTTTTTTATGCCAGACACCAGCGTCGACAAGAAAGAAGGCCATTCCGCGTGAAAGCGAGTGAAACAATCTTGATCCTGCACCTTGCTCTTATCAGCTGACGCACCTCATCGGCGACACTCCGAAGGATTGCAGAGCCGTGAAAGGAAAACGAGGCGCAACAGCTGCATCACAGTTCCCCCCCACTGCTATCGCTGTATACAAATGTTAGTCGAGGTTACATCACCGCGCCAGTCTTTGAGCGCTTGGCTGACAGACTGCAGACCAAATTGTGCATAAAGATTCTACCGGTGCATGTCGCCCATTGTGACCAGACTCGTGCAGCATCACATCATCACCAGAAGCGCCCTACCCAGATATCTGGCTCATCCATTGCGCCAACAAGCCACCCTCACCATGTCTCTCCCATATGCGCCCCGATCAGCCTACTACGACGGCAAGCTCCAGTCTGCCCCTTCCACCTCAACCTTCCAGACCATCGACCCCGCGACCGCCCAGCCTGTCGCAAACATCCACACCACCTCAAACGCCGGCATCGACGCTGCCATTGCCTCGGCACAACGCGCCTTTCCCTCCTGGTCCTCAACGCCCCCAATCGAGCGCGCGCGCATCCTCCAACGAGCCGCCTCCCTCCTGCGCGCGCGCAATGACGAGCTCGCACGCATCGAAACCAGCGACACGGGCAAGCCCTTCTCCGAGACGTCCACCGTCGACGTGGTGACGGGCGCCGATGTGCTCGAGTACTTTGCGAATCTCGTTGGAGGCGGTGGCATGAACGGCGAGACGGCACAACTGCGACCAGACGCGTGGGTCTACACGACCAAGAATTCGCTGGGCGTATGTGCAGGAATTGGCGCATGGAACTACCCTATTCAGATTGCATTATGGAAGTCGGCGCCCTGTCTCGCGGCAGGTAACTGCATGGTCTACAAGCCGTCAGAGTTCACTCCACTGCACTCGACTGTTCTGGCGGATATCTACGCCGAAGCTGGCGTGCCGCCCGGCGTCTTCAATGTCGTCCAGGGTGGCGGCGAAGTCGGCGCATACCTCACCAAGCACTCTGGCATCGCCAAAGTCAGCTTCACCGGACAAGTCTCGACTGGCAAGAAAGTCGCAGGCAGCGCATCGGGCGAGATGAAGTACGTGACGATGGAGCTAGGCGGCAAGTCCGCCTGTGTGATCCTCCCCGACGCCGACGTAGACCAAGCCGTCGACGGCGCCATGCTCGCCAACTTCTTCTCCACAGGTCAAGTCTGCACCAACGGCACCCGCGTCTTCATTCCCGAAAGCATCAAATCCGACTTCGAGAAGAGGTTGCTGGAGAAGATGCAATACATCCGTCCCGGCGACCTCCACGACCCAGCCACAAACTTCGGCCCCTTGGTATCCAAGCCACACTACGACAAGGTGATTCAGTACATCAAGCACGGCCGCGACAATGACAAGGCGAAGCTGCTCTGTGGCGGTCCAGAAACACCTTCCTGGGTCTCTTCGCACAGCGACAAGGCCTACCACAACGGCTACTGGGTCCAACCCACCGTCTTCACAAACTGCACCGACGACATGAAGATTGTGCGCGAAGAGATCTTTGGTCCCGTCATGTCTATCCTCACGTACAAGACTGTGGAGGAAGTCGTCGAGCGTGCAAATGCTACCGACGTGGGACTCGCGGCAGGTGTCTTCACCAAGGATCTTAATCTCGCGCATAAAGTCATTGCTCAGCTTGAAGCTGGCATTACATGGGTCAACACGTGGGGCGAGAGTCCCGCTGAGATGAGCGTGGGTGGGTGGAAGCAGAGTGGTGTGGGTGTGGAGAACGGCAAGAAGGGGTTAGAGGCTTGGGTGCGGAATAAGAGCACGCTTGTGGAGATGGGCGGAAGTGTGCCGACTGTTTTCGCGAAGTTGTAGGTGAGGAATGATATGGCTGTAGTGAGATTTGTATATAGTCACCATGTTACATTGCAAAGATTTCTATAGTGTTATGCGTCACCACTATCATCGGCATGCGTAACCAGGTCTACGCTGGGGGTCAAGGATGCGGATATTTCCAGACGGGACTCTCATACCACCAGCAATTCAAAACGAGTACACAAAGAAAGGGTGCCGCTAAACTGACATCTCTAGTCTCTCACTCGAACAGCACCGCGACAACAAAACATTTGTTTAGCAGTGCGCCAAGTTGTACGAACAATGTGCTCGCAGCATGAGGTCCTAGGACCCTCGTGGGATCATGAGTAAAATATTATCACAAACTTGTAGCATGACAGTAACGAGGTTTTCACACAAGTAGGATTTGTTCCATACAAAGATACATTACGACACTTCATAGAGATTTTCGTGACATGAATGAGTTTGTATTCTGCAGTATCATCCTTCACACTACGGAGTTCTAGATACATCTCTCTCATCATCATGTCATTCAAGGTCGGACTGATTGCTGGTGACAATGAGCGCGACCAAAACATTTCCCCAACGACGGGGTAACTTCCATCACTGCCAATGCACTTTCATCTCGGAACCTACAATGTTTAGTATCGATCTCTCAAAGACGTCTGTCAACCGTCTTCGCACTTACCAGGAAACATGTGCGGAGGCATAGCACGAACTAGATTCTCGTCCCCAGGTAGCACACCAATGTGGAACCCTTCATTCGAGTCAGTGACTTAAATCCCCAACCCCCAATCCCCACACCCCACCCACCATCCGCTATCACAAGGGCTTCACATACCTCTCGATTCAAAAATTCGGGGGGAGTTCTCTTCTCCAGTATAATTACACGGCTGCACCATGCTCTGTTCGGGGATCCAGTATACAGGCATGGGCATAAAGGCAAGCGGCTCGACAACGAAACGGCCAAAGTGCATAGGGGGTCCTTGTCCGCCAACTTTGCGCAAGTAGCCCTCGCTGAGCTCGAACACGGCGGCGTTCGAACGGTCACCGACGCTGGCTGGTACGCGTCCGTCAAAGGCCATGTTGTCGTCCATGCGGGGGTTGACTACGAATTGGCCATTGAATTCAATGAGAAATGGGCGCGAGAGGTTTTGGTTTTCCATTGTGGTATTGTGAAGAGTTTGGTTGATATGATACTGAGAAGTAGCTAGACGATACAAGAGTCGATGCCCGCTTTTCGGGCTTCTTGCCCTCCCTTTATACACTCCGCTTTGCTCATCAGGCCTAAACAAAGTCACTCGACTTGAACACAACCAATGCAACGTGTCTTGCTCGTTGCAGCAGGTTGGACTTCCGTTAGTCTCATGAGACCGAAGTGCGTTAAAAGCAATCAAGTCCCTCCAGTCAAATTGCTACCTTACAGAGTGGATTTTTCTGGGCATGGTCGCTTGCTTTTTGATAATGTAGTGTGTGACGCATGTCTCTGACTTCTATGCTAAACGATTCGACGTGCAACCCAGCTATGATCGTGTGGATCAAAGCGAATTCAATCTCTCCATGAAAGTAGGAGGTATCTTCTTTTACCAGATTCATATACGAAACAGACATTATGTTATTGATAGTCAACATACCCAGATGACAGAAGACGAGGAATATTGATTGCATCAAGTGTGTATGCTTCCCATACGACCTGCTAGCTCTCTGGTCTAACACCTCACGGAAATGAAGTGCACTTCGTGTCTTACGGGTGGTGCAAAGACTTTCTTGCATTAGTACGTACGTTGGAGAGCTGTGTCAGCTGAATGCGCCGGATCGGGAAAATGGGCTCGAAGAAGTAATTACACCTGCAGTGTACGAGGCGAAAGAGCGGGGGAATACAGCGCACCACTTGACTTTCTCAATGGGTGAGAACTTCGCAATATCCATTTTTCGAGGTGTGCAGTAAGTCGAGGTGCTCTCGCAAATCTCGTGCGATGGCAAGTATTGCTTCAAGTCGCTCCAACCAAGCATACAATACAGCTGCACAAGCCCCTTATCGTCTTATTCACCAGATACAGCACATGCCACCAGTTTGGTACGGCCCGAAGCTCGGGCATACCCGTAATCATGTTTTTTGTAGCGTCGGTCCGTCCCTAATTTAACCGCCAAAAACGTCCACATGCTCAACTGCGTGATGCACTGCATGCGCTCGGACTTACACACTGTAGCTCCTATATTCTTTCACATGTCGCGTCGTCCACCATTGGTGACCTCGGAAGCGCACACCAAGTGTACATCGCTTCTTCAACTAGCTACATGTCCCCTACAAATCTCAGGTGCATGCGAAGTATGACAAGTCTTGGAAGAGCCGTTTACGTCTCCATACCGCAAGACAGAGAGAAGCCGCTGGTGGCCTTGGGAGAATCGCGACTTAACTAGAAAAGGTAAACGTCAAGTCAGGCCAGCACGATAGCTGCTTTTGCGCAGAGTACGTGGCAAAGACACCGACTCATCGGGTGGAGCTCGCGCAGGTTGATCTACGTCTTTGACTACAAGTCAAGACAGTTAGCTATATACCTAGTGTTTCTGTAGGCCTGATGTGTAGGCTTGTCAATCAAATTGTTTTCTTCTTTTATCAGGCACGATGCCTATCTTGGGAACTCCACTACCGGATCACAAAGCGCTGCGATACGGCCAGCAGAAGGTCACTCATACGACGGTGGCTACCACCAAACAGACTCTGGTTTAGTTTCCCCTACCTTGTGAACTCGAAAAGGTTGCCAACCTCCCTACCGCATATTACCATCGCTTCGATCGATAGACCAGTGATGTTGTCTCAACATCTGATTTGTACAACTCGAATTCCATTACCAATGATACCATCGGCGAGCCTTTTTACCGCATCATGTCTTCAGGATGTCCTACATTGTAGTCAAACGCCGGAGCAATGGTGACAGCGCCATTGCAGAACGGGAGAGAACAGTTGCAGCCCAGGGCGCTCACCTTGCGTAGACAATCTGAAGCGGCGTCCGCAAACCCAGAGGGTCACGCGTGTACTTTTATCACAAACCTGTCGCCGATTTTGGTGATAACTTTCTAACAGACCGATAAGTAGTACTGCTAGAGGTATAATAAGTTTAAATATATTTCTAGAATCTTCTAATCCTACTCTCAGAGAATGTGCTTGATCCCACTTGAATTAATGACATCCTCTTAGGTAGGTTCACTACAGTCTATGAGATTGATTGGAAATGTGTTATATTTGTTTCTCCTATCTGGAAGTGCTTTTAGACGTTGGCAAGTTGTTCTTATATCATGTTCTCATAGCGGGATACGGGACTCTCTGCTCAAAGGAGACACATTTCAGCCGTTTACAGCCTATATGAATGCGGTAAAGCAAATGATATTGAAATGGTAATGCCTAGGCAGGGAAGACCAAGCTCACTGCAGCATCGCATCCAAGGCAGCGCCAGCTCTGATCTGTGCTGGGGCAAGCCTTAGGACCTCCTTGCTCGTTGTCTCAGCCTTACACAATCCGGCCCACGCCGTCTGACATGCAGTCTTGAGAGATGAGATAACGTTCTTAGACTCTGTTGTAGCAGTAACCATAGGATCGAGGACTGACATGTCCTTGAACGAAACATCCTTGACTTTCGCTCCAATACGCTCTTCCACCATTGCCACCACATCCTCGCCGTTGATGTCCTCAGGACCGTTCAGGACGTACCTGACTTTGTTGTGCGGGGACGTGTCTTCCTCAAGCAAAAGCTTCGCTGCGAAACGACTAACATCGTACGGGTCTATAATACCGACGGGTGCATCCTCGCTTGCAACTAGATGGAGCGTGCCTTGCTCGTTGCCAGCTCGCACGTTCTTGATAAACTCTGCGGAAGCTCCAAGGAACATGTTAAAGAACATGTTCGCCCGTAGGGATGTCCAGTGCATGCTCTGGTAGGCTGGCGTGTCAAGCATCGTTTCGATAGCCCAATGCGTGCGCGTGTAGTAGGCTTCATTGTCCGGGCGGACGTTCGCTGCTGTCGTAGAGATGCGTACCACGTACTTGACGCCAGCGCGCAGCGCTGCCCAGTGGAATGTCGTTTCTTCGGCGAAGAAGTTGGTGTTATTGTGGGAAGCGATAAATGCCCGGACTACGTCTTGCTCGCGAAGCCATTGAGGGGTAATATCAGGCCAGTTGTTTTCGACGATCTCGACATTGCGCAACTTAGCGAGTTCTTTTGCTACCGAGCCGCCAGCAGAACGTGTTTGGGCTAGAATGCGGTAGTTCGAGAAGGTCTGGCTAGACTGAATGTTCTCTGAGAGAAGTTCGACAAGGCCACGGCCAGTATTGCCCGTTGCGCCAATGATAAGAAATGATGGCGACATGATGTTTCAAGTAGTTGCTCTTGTTGAAAACCCCGAAGAGGTAAAGACGATATTTCAAGCAAATGCGGAATTCCATGATGTTTATATCATTTTGCTAAGTGCTTGTGCCCTTACGTCATACCTTAATATTTCGTCCGTACGCGGAGTTGCGTCGAGATTACTCATCACGATGGTCAACACGGTAAATATGGTGTAGTAAGCATATTGCAGCAATCAACGTCTGCAAGTAGGAACAAAGGAGGTTGCCTGGATAAGGACTTGGTTATTGTTCGGGTTGAGTTCGTTAACTGCATTGGATAGCTGCTCATCGTCGCTGAGAAGACGTATCTAAGGCCACTGAGAACACAGGCTCCGCTGAAGTTTTCTCCATGCGCTCGGTCGCAATCTTGTTTGCTTCTTTGGTAGCTGTGACCGTAGCTTCGGCAGCGGCTTATTGCCGTGATCCGATAACTACAGAGGTAGCACTAGCCTTATGCGGGTCTCTTTCTTCTCAGTAAGCTTTTTGCACTTTATCCTACAAACCTTCGTTGTCACACTAGTGTTCTTCGTAGTAGCAACGGCAACTAGGCGCTATTCGATAATGTCCAATCAGTGTGCAGACGACGACATAGAGAGCACTGTATTACTATGCACAGGTTCGACAGCAGGCGTGACTGCATGGAAGGATGTTGTGCGCAATTAAGAGCTATACTACGTACTCGGAGCGTTCCAGTTAGCCGGCGTCACTAGAGCATGTAAAACTGTCGGTTCGTCTGCATCACATGTGTCTAGTGGAGCAATTAAAGGAGCTTTCGCTCAAAGTATAGCGAACTCTCATAACCAGCTTTAGAAGCTCTTTCTCAAGAGTAAGGGAATAATCCGCCAATAGCGTGACACTCTTTACGGCAGGCAGTGGCGTGTGTTGTAAGCTTGTAGCCCGATTTTCCCCGTGATAGGCGAGCGCGGATCCTTGACTTGTCAGGGACAGGCCAGTGCACCCCAAGTTGCGGCAGAGGCGACCACTACTTAGCAAGAACGGGCCTCAACTCTAGGGAAATATATGTAGAGCCGCGCCCCCTCCATGTACATCACCAATAGTGATCTTCCTGCCTTCGAAAGCAGGAACTCGGATCGGATTCGAGCTCATAGTATCGTTCCTGCCCTCAAGACCTCGAAGAAGGATCTTGAGTTGGCCGATGAAGCTGAGTATCAGCGTAAAGATGCATCAGTTTCGGTGGAGACAGTGGTGAAAAGTCCTGAGCTTATCTTCGCCAATACCAAGGACGAGACGACGTTCCAAACCCAGGCAGACAACATCATTGACGCCAGCAAAACCTACCCTGATGTCAAGCACGCCTCGACTTCTTCTCCTGTTGCTGCCATGACGATCACGAAGGACACCACTGCTACCGTTATTTCCAGCACCTTGAACTCAAGCCAGGCTTCAAGTGTCTCCATGTTTCCGTCTTCCGTAGCAACCAAACAAGCGCTACAGGACACACCTGAGTCTACCTTCTTTAGCCAATCTCAGGAAGTCTTGACCCAGTCCCGGGGCCACACCATCACTCGAACAATCGACCCAAAAGACCTTCAGCCGCCCACTTCATCGATGGAAAGACGCCAGAAGCGGGCGCTCAAGGCTGCAAAGAAGGACGCCGCTGTGGAAATCAACCCTCGCCGCTCTGCGAGATTGGCTGCCAAGCCTAAACCCGCATGCGCAACTACTGCAACCAAAGAACGACAGGCGCCGAGACCAACTGCGAAAAACGTTCTTTTGCTATATCCAGTGCTTGAACGTGGATCAAAGCGTGGCCGCAAAGATTCTGAGGAAGAGGAAGAGGATGATTATGAGAAGGGAGGATATGAAAGTGGCCGTAAGAAGAAGATTGTGTCTAAGGCAACGGTTGAAAGGCAGCGTGAGACGAGAGGCAACACGACGAAGCGCGGTGGTAATGGGCTCCACCGGAGGACTGCGCTGGAACGTTATGACCTCTAGACTATATGTCTATGTGGGTCGTATCGTGGTGCAGGTATGTGAATGTTGCTCGAAAACACTCTATAGCCGGTGGTTAAGATGGCTGGAAGCTCAAAGGGCTTTTGTCGTACACCAGCACCACAACAGCACCTAATTGCTACGATAGACGAGACGGTGGTTCAATAGCACGGCCTTGGAGCATGTGAGACGCGTCGAGGTTGTTGCCCACCTGGACATTTAGTGGGATGCATGGTTAGTTGTTCATTTAGTCCTTTCTGTTTCTGCCAGCTTGCAATATAACCTTGCTTGATTCTGCATCCGTTGGATGTCCAGGCGCCAGTCCATATTCAGCTGCGAATAGTATGTTCGAAGCAATGAAATTGTTGTAAAAGTCGCGCATTATGTCCACTGCGTGATGTGGCTCGGGTTGATCTCGGCTCTCCGCCCGTGTTCTTCGAATTCCGCATGCGCGTCACGTTGGCGCACGAATACGCGGTCAGCATCACCACTACATGCATACTTCAACCCTCTTCTACAGTACCTTGCAGCGAAGTAAGCCGGATAGATCTTGCTGCCTGACTTGGCCATGCGTCTTTCTTTCTCTTTCCTCACGGTCCTCCTAAACCTTCACCCAACCATTTGCACCAACATGAACCCTAATCAACCCCCGGCAGCATCATCCACACCAGGCTCCACAGCCTACGCCCCAGTAACCCGCATAGCGACTTTCCGCTTCCACCCGAACGTCACCGCAGAGCAAAAAGGTGACCGCGCATCAGCCTTTCTCGCACTTTACGCCGAGCATCCTGAATTGCTAGTCGAAGCACCCGTAGGAGGGAGACCGTTGAATACGCCGTTGAATTTGACGAATGTAAAGAGGGAGAGCATCTGGGATTTGGGATTCGTTGTTAAGTTTAAGGTATGTAGAAATTGAGGTCTGCAGTGTGGAAGGTAGGGTGGAGTGGCCATGCGATTGGATGGCATGGTGGGGGATGTGAGGGAGATGTGAGGGTGACGGAACGGTAGAGATGGAGTACGAATCCTAACGGCGACTAGGACGAAGCATCGAGACAGAAATTCGACCTTGATCCTGGACATGATAGGCTGAAGGTACGCGTCCCAATCATCTTAGTAGATGGGATTGAGCTGACATGCTAGAAGAACGAGACGGATCCATTGCTCGAGCAGGTATTCGTGTATGACTTTGTCGCGCAGCCGAATCTGGGCTGGTAGTGGTACTCCTCGCGCAGAGGTCGTGATTGTTCCGTCGAGCTAAGAAGACGAAAGATGGAGGGCAGACGTCGCAAGGAACGGGTCGCAGGTACGATTGGGACGATCTAGACTTTTGATTATTTCGGAATCGGAACGCTCCGATGCGCTAGAAATGCTGCCGCCTCCGCACCTGTGACACTTTCGATCTTTGCGCGGGGACACTTCATCATACTCTACTACCATGACTTTGTGCTTGAACCCGCCTATACCTACTGAACCAAGGTGAGAGAGCACTAGAAAAAAAGCTCGCGATTTCGGCAACGCAGGAAACTGCAGCGCTAATTATGCCGGTGAACGCGACGGGCCTCAGCCCACCTTATCTACGCTAGTAAAGCAATACTCCCTCGTTCTCTCCATTGCGAAGCTCAGCTCTGGCCATTCTTTTTCGCGAAGTGCTTCTGCTAGCGGCACACTTATTCTAATGTAAAGGGATTGAAATGCACCAACCGCGGGGAGTTTGCCGAATCAGGTGGTGACAATGCGGCATAGCAGCCAGCCACAAGCGCGATGTCCCCGCCAGCCACGAGCTGATGCTCAGCTCGTCGGCTGGACTAACTTTCCACCACGACCACTTTCAGTCATCGCATCGATAGTGTTCGCTGTCCCTGCACTGAATTGGAATTCTTAGCTCTTTTATGCCGCCTGACCCAGTAGTACACCCTCAGCTCTGTCGAAAATGCAGCCTAGAATGCATAGGCGCAGTCGTTGTGGCTGTCCTCCGAACGACCTCTGACTCGGGACTCTCCAGCTGTCCTGCCACTTTTCGGTGTGTGGATTGCATCCGATACTGGCATATATCTATCTCCATCCTCGCCGAGGTCGAACAAAATTCCTCAATTCTCTAAGCCTTCTCTTTGCGGCGATTTTCATATCACATTGTCCACAATGTCTCACTCTGTTGACGAGGCAGCTAAAGATTGCACGCATACTCCCAGGAAGCTTGTCCTCTGTTTCGATGGCACTGGAAATGTGTTCAACGGAAACACTTCGGACACCAACATAGTTAAACTGTACGACAAGTTTGACAGAAAAGACCCTATGCAGTACCATTACTATCAACGTAAGTAATTGGCAGACCCTCTGTACGAATTGAACTGAGTGTTTAACCTCGAAGCCGGCATTGGGACATACAGTGCTGATGGAGGACCAATCAACAAAAGCCCCATTGGCAACATCAAATCCAAGATCTCGAAAACCATTGACAGCGGTTTCGCCACCACCTTTGATGCCCATGTAATCGCTGGCTATCGTTTTATCATGCGATACTACAAAGAAGGCGATAAGATCTTCATGTTCGGCTTCTCGAGAGGTGCTTTTACTGCTCGCTTTCTTGCACGCATGATTCATGGACTCGGCCTGCTCTCCGAAGGCAATGAAGAGATGGTTCCTTTCGCATATGATCTGTACCAGCAGTACGAGAGAGGACTGCTACCCGATGCTCAGCAGAAGCAAACGGATTCTTCACGGGATCCTGGGTCAAAGAACGCGACTTCCACCAGCGAGGAACGTCGGCCTCTTCTCCACCAAGATGACGAAACCGATGAGCAACAGCTCAAGAGACATAAGCTCGAAGCTTTCACATCGACGTTCTGCCGGTTAGAAGGCGCTGCGAATCAGCGTATCAAAGTACACTTCCTGGGCCTCTTTGACTGTGTCAGTAGTGTCGCAGTTCTAGACAGCCCCTTTGGCAAGGCCCCCAAAGTTGTCTCCGTCCTCGGAACCGCCCACCACGTTCGCCATGCCGTCGCCGTTGACGAGCATCGCGTCAAGTTCAAGGCAGCTTTGTTGCATCAAGACGTTAAAGATGCTAAAGCGTTGAACGAAGACATCAAGGAGGTTTGGTTCCCTGGGAACCACGGTGACGTTGGTGGAGGTTGGCCTGCTCCACAGCCTCAGGGGCTCAGCTGGTGGCGAAGAATATTCACATCCGACAAGCAGGAGGAACCCTCTATTCCGAGCCAAGATCCCTATCAGATGAGCGATGTGCCTCTGGCTTGGATGATCCGCGAATTGGAGCAACTAGGAGCAGATGACGACAAGTCGGCCATCAAATGGAACAAGAAGAAAAATGGATTTAAGAAGAGCTTTTTCCGCAAGATCAACGAGGCGTACGAAAGCCCCATGCATGACACACTCACGGTAGGGGGCGGTTCCTCTTTCTTCAAGGTCATGCTTTGGAAATTCATGGGTAAGTACACGCGCATACTCTAAGACGACCTGTGACTAAGCAAATCGAAACAGAAATCCTGCCCTTTCATCGTTGGGAACTGCAATGGAACGAAGCAAAGAACGCGTTTGGGTGGGTCTATACCTGGCGGCCGTTGAATTTAGCATCGGGGCGAGACATTCCCAGGGGGGCACTTTTGCACGACTCTCTCCTAAAGAGATTAACAAGTGAGAAGCATTCGAAAGCGGGAAAGGTATCGAAATATCTTCCATGCAACAACTCAGGCGACAAAGGGAAAAAGAAATCGCCGGAGTGTTTGCTAAACACTAAGTTCGACCTCGTGAAGAAACTCGAGGACAGAGGTGTAACGAAAACAAAAGCCGACGACCTCGCTGAGCCTGCTGGTATCCACAACATCTACACTATTGAAGGTCAGATCGAGTCTAGTGGCTGGGGTGTTAAGCTGGTCAGACCATAGAATGTGAACCTGCACACGTATCATAAGTTTCTTTTGCGTCAACGTCTTCTACTATCAAAACCTGTATACAAATTGTCGCCACAAGAAGGACGAAGTCTTGCCTCCGTATCCATCCTTCCAAAGTTGTGTCTACACAGCTTCAGCTTCCACGCATGCATCAATCAAAGCTCTCCAAGTAAGTCGAGTGTATCAGACATGCTTTTCCCAGAGAAGGAATTGAAGTCTTGCTCACAGACAGTGCCTTCTTCGGGCATAGTTCCATTTACGAAATAATCTGCGCTAGCAGAGATCGCGCATATCCCCGGGCTATACATGACAGTATGCTACCAGTCTCGTTAGCGAACTTCTCACTTGGAGATTCTTCACCCATGTAACGGAGTGAGAAAAGTAGAGCGACTTACCCCGAGACCATTATGTTGTAGTACAACACTTCCTTCGAGAGTTTTGTTCGCTGCAAACGCCCCAGAAATTGGAGTGCGGCCGTCGTATGGCGAACCGATGAGCAGTACGGGATTTCTAGTCTTGGCTCCAAAATCACCCTCATAGCGTTCTTTTGCCTGAATCTTCCACCGTGAACATAGTATGTAGGAGCTTATGATGTAATCACTGTTCCAGTCACCCAAATCTGTTAGATTTTGGACGCGGTGCTCGATATCGGCGAGCTCTTCAGCACGTAACATGGCGTCGGAACAACGGATGGTCTGCGTACTGTCTGCATTGAAGGTACTGTCCCGCAGGATCATCGATCGGTTCGCCAAATATTGGGTGTGATCGTATTCGGGAGTATCGTGAATCATGATACTGTTGAGGTAGCCAGCCAGGTAAGGCCCCAACAGTAGACCAGAACGGAGCGCTGTATCACTAGCCTCTGCAATTTTCTCGTAGGTGGCGATATCGGTCGTGACGTTAGGACCCATGACGATGGGGAGGTGCTTAGCACTCTCTTTAAGGTCCAGGATTCGCGTGTATAATGCATCTGCGGAGAGGTTGGCACGAAACAGAGCACAGAAGGGTCCAGCATCAATGCACTGCTTTGCGAATTCTTTCAAGCTCACTGATGCAGAGATAGATGGACCAGTCTCCCTGTTTCTTGGTCAATATGTGCTACCTTCATTGGTAGGAAAACACGAACCATCCTTGTTGGTATTCAAGCGGATTAAGAACTCCATCAAGCATCATTCGTTCAATCTTGTCTGGAAACATAGCAGCGAGTACCTGTCCGAGGTATGTGCCATAGGATATTCCTAAGGTTGGAAAGTCAGTACATGGTAGCTCTACAGTTGGAGAGTGCCTCCATCTTACCCCAGTACCGCAGCAGACCGTCTTCGCCTTCCAACGTAAGAGCATCGACTATTTTCATGAAGTCTCTGGCAACGAATGCTGTGCTCATCATGGATCCAGCCACCTTTTCGTTCTGGAAACAGCGTTCAGCGTACTGTTCGCTATATGACCAAACAGCACCCAATGCAACGTCAGATGAATTAGTGCTCGAAGGTGTTAGCAACCAAGCACGCGTTCTCTCCTCGGAGTCGTTGTAGCAGTCGACGGGTAACGTCGTTCCAGTGCCTCTTGGGTCAGCACCAATGATGTCATATTGCCCGCCAGTCGTACTACGTACACGAGTTCGTCAGCACATTCTCTTTCAGCAAAGCTACAGACATGTGTCTGATGAGACAATACTTACGCAAGGACATAACGAGCCTGCTGGGTAAGCCAATACTGTGCATCCAAGCCGGGACCACCCCAATTGGTCAAGACGCTTCCCAATTTCGGCTCTTTTGTTGCATCGATTTTTAAAATGTTGAGAGTGAGCGTATTGTTTCCTGACTGGGGCGTACTATAGTCGAGGGGAACAGCCAGCGTTCCGTACGAACCGGGCATGCCCAGATCGTCGGATGCATCTGTCCAGTTGATAGCGATTGTTTGAGGATTACCAGAACTTTCGAGGTGTTTGTTAGATGTTTGTCTTGTCGTTGCTGCGACGGCCAGTGACGTGTAAAACGTAAGGACAATGGGCGTTCTGAAAAACATCTTGGAGCGTTCCAAATTTCGTCAAATGAATTGTTTCGCGATGTTGTTCAATGTCACCTGCTGACTTCCTGATGCTTTGATCGAGGGTTCATCCTATCCTTTTATACCAGTCCGACAACGATAGGTTGATACGGATAAAACGTCATAGCCTCGAATATTGAGCCTTGCATCTACGGGGCAAGAAGAGAGCCTTAGGTTCCCACGCCACCGGTCCGTACCGAAACCAAGACTTTGCGGTTACCAGACATGTTCCACAAAGACACAAGGTGCATACATCCACGATGCTGTGGTCACGGAATTTGACGTCAGCGTTATGTGACAGTCAACCTCAGGTAGCACTAACAAAGGCAGAGCGCAAATACGGTAGATGCGACTGGCATGTGATTGGAACCTTGTTGTTCTAGGCTATCCCTAAGCGGGTGGTCCAATGGCCAAGCCTTCGTAAGAAGCGAGATCAGCCTCTAGGCGTTTCAAAATAGCACAACGGATCGAATCAAACTGCCTGTCATCTACTCTAACCATTTCAGGAAACCAACAGGGCCGAGACTTGCAACTACGAATCATAGGAAGCAGCCCCGACGATTGCAGTCACAGATCGCGTCGGGTGGCCGATTGCGACGAGCAATTTTTCCTTCTTTTCATACAGTCGGCCCGCCTTACGATCCTGCTGCCAATATGGGCAAGTGTGTGTTTTCTTCGGGCTCTCGGTCTCTCGGTGATGCAAAGCACTGGTGGAACTCATGCGCAATGAAATGCGGAAACTCGCTTGGAAGTCACAGGAGTAATTGAAGAACAACACTCAATAGCTGAGCGAATTTCATAGGTAGCTGATCATGCCACGTCAGGACTGTTCAGCTGTCGAACGTGCCACCGAAAGCCTAGATACAACAGATGTCACACGTTGCAGCATGAGGATGTATTGCTTGGATTTTCGGGCTTACTATCATGCCTGTCTGTTAACCACAATTAGCTCGATTGCGAGGATCTAAGTATGAAAGTCTTCATCCGTGTAAGCATTTCGGTGTGGACGATGAGACTGGCAGAGAAGTCATAACAGTCTGCGTTAGATATACCGACATATTGTCCGTGGGCACAATATAGTCAGCCGAGTTCCACGCTCTCGCTAAGTAGGACGTCTGACTGTGCCAATGCCGTCCATAACAATCAGCAGGCACCTGCTGGCACAAGAATCGTGAATCTATGAACTAAGTCAGACCTCCAATCTGGACAGAATTGAGAAAAGCACATACGGCTCGTCAAAACACTCGTTCCAGCCAGGCTTGTTTCGCCGCCAATATCTTCTTAGTACTGCTCGCGCTTTCAAAGGGCTGCTGGTACCAAGAAGGTGAGCGTGTTCTTCCAATTGTCGTTCAATCCACAGTCGAGTATATTGCTGGTCGTGATAGCCTGCTTCTACTCCGAGTACACACAACGGAAACATTGCAATCTTCTTCAGCTGTTTCAAATGTACGGCAGCCTTCATATCTTCCAACAAACGCTTCGCGTGGTTGGTCCGCATAGTACCCATCTCAGTGTCAGCAGGAAGAACCACGAGAGCCTGCAGTGACATGGCGCAGTAAAGTGCGATAGCAGATTGATAGATTGATCCGATCAGCTGCCAGTCGTCTTGATTCTCACCGGCTTGCGCCCAATCTCCAGGGGCAAACCCTTCAATACGAGCAAGGATGCCTTTTGCTTCCGAAGTATGCTGGTACTGGTTCGCAAAGGACGAGAGGGCGACTTCTTGACGTAGGCGATTAATGCGAACGATGTCGATGAACAACGTTACTGGACACAATGTGTAAGGAAACACAAGGCTATACACTTTCTCCACTTCCTTGATGTGCTGTTCAAGCGGCCCTGTGATGCTGAGATGATGTGATGCTGGACCAAGGCTGTTAGAAAAGGTTACGATGCTGGAGATCGTCAGTCACAGCTCTCACAAAGACTGGTCCATACTAACATCAAAAACACCACTAGCGCTGAAGTCAGATGAGGTGCTGTCCGTAGGAGTGACTCAAAACCTCCACGTATATCTATCAATCGCTTCATGCCATCCGCATGGGACCTCCAGTCTCCATTTCTCGAGTCGTGTACCTGAGTTCAACAGTCAGCATAACTATAGTTTCTATGTCGTCAGAGTCGGATCAATACCTCCATCGCCATAAACATGAGTATGCTCGTAATAGTAAGGTCGCTGCTGCGGGTCTCTTTGCCCGCTATGCTCTCATTGAGGGCACGGATGGCAAGGCCTCTGTAGTTGTAGATCTTCAGTCGCTGTTGTCCAACCACCACACGACTTGATCCTGGAGGTAACGAGTGCATGTAATGGTTCAGACTCAAGCAGATAGTGGTATAATGCGCTGCAGGAGGCAATACGTGCAATGCCCAAACAGGAAAGTGGATGATCGCCGGATTGGGTGCTAAGACGTCGGTTTCCTTGATATATGGGTATATCCTGGTGTTAACTAGCGACTTTAGTATGAAGATACTGTGTGGGTGGGCGCACGTACAGTAATTGACAGCATGCACTACCTCGCATGTTTCATCCGACAGAAAGTCGTACGAAGGCAGTTTGTTGACCTGCATGATTCGTAGCAGTCGTTGTATCTTAGCGAGAGGATCTTGATTAGACTGTAACAGTGCCGCAGCTTCCCAGTGCTGGCCCCTTTCTACGACTTCCCTGATCTGGTCTTGGTTGCCGATCCGCATGATACGTTCGCCCGCCCCAGAGGAGCAGCGACTGGAACGCTTGCGACGATTGCTGCGCTCGTTCCGGAGGTCCTTGGTCGGAAGGTGAGCCCTTTTGGTGGGCTGGTCCTCTTCCTCGACCGTAGAGACACTTTCCCCGGCTCTAACCACTGCAATGGCTTTTGCTCGTTATATCCGGGACACTCCTTGCCAGCCTTGGGACATTTCTTACATAGCGGCAAGGTGCGATCGCACACCAGGCGTCGCTTGAGGCATTCCCAACATTGACGGTCTGCCACTCTTTCCCCATTCCCAGCTTCCTGCATGATATAATCAATGTACAGAGGCTTCTTATGTCACGCAATACCAACTCAGACAGACGCGATTGTGACCCAGCATCAGTCTGGACGGTCGTTGCGTGTTTCCCCGCATCCAATTGTTCTTGGATTCTGATGTAAGCACTGGTGACGGGCTTAAGCGATGTCAGCAACCAATTTCTTGGCCTCAATTCCACCCAAATTCGGACGAACTAGGTGGAAGCCATAGCTGCCGCATTTCCGATGCGGGAGTTGGTGGGATGACCCACCCGTGCCCATCGGCCTTGGCAGCCATCCGCGCCTCGTTTTCACCTTACAGTAAATGCTCGACATACAAGGTGTTTTTTGTCAAGAGGAATCCAGTTCTTTGATTCATTGACCTACAGATCTCAAGAATGGGCGCATGAACTCCGACGGTGACCGGAGACGACGATCAGCAATTGTTCGGCTACCTCGCTGGTTGGTTGGACACGTTACTTATACAAGACTTATGACAGGTTTTCATCTGACAACGCAAAAAGGACTACATGACATGGGCGAGGATGGAACAGGACTTGTGAAACGTTGTTTCGCATGGAGCGCCTGTGTGCACAAACTGTAGCAGATGGTCTAGAACTGTCGGTTAGTCGCAGTTGCAAATCTCCGTCGATCGATAAGCCACTCACAGCATGTGCAAAGGTGGGTCTCTAATTAGAACTATCTGCCATAGGCCCAGCTAACGTCCGTATCAATGTCTTCTGCGCATTCGGCATATCTCTATCTCCGGAAACATTGACCTTGTGAGAGGACGGAGGGAAGACAAAGTGAAAACGTAGGCATACTTGGTCAGAAACTTCGGCATACAGCCAATCATCCTCCGCCCTCTCCGTACTACAACATAGCGCGCGACGCAACCGACATCAGTCACCACAACATTCCGGACGGCTATACCATTTCCACGGACGATGCCATCGAGCGCAAATGCTGAGGCCAATTTGGAAGAATTGCTTTCTCCCTCCAGACATGAGGCGCAACGCGAGTCCCGCAGCACCAAGATACGGAGCTTAACCGAGGAGGATATAGCGCAAGTCATCAGTATTGGTACAAAGCGCGAGTTTACAAGAGAGGGGTTAGAAAGGATACTGTTGGTCGTCCTCGATACAGCTGCGCAGGAAGGGGGTGTCGCGTCTGGTACACCGATTGATCGTGCAGGCGATGTCAAAGTACAGCTTGAGGAATGTACGGATGATTTTGACTCCATCGCGTGTGAAAATGCGCGTTCCGCGCTACTACTACTGGAAACTGATCTGATCGTGTAGTGAGCGTCGAAGAACTGCCATCGTCTGCGGGTTTATCACTAACAGCATCAGCGGCATCCGAGCACTGTATCAAACGTGATCCGGGTATCTGGGAGGCTTTCGATACCACGGTCAAGCGCGCGAGGAAAAACAAGGATGTATCTGCCAACTCTGACACACTTCAAAAAGCTGAATCAGCTTGGTCTGTAAGTCTGACAGCACCTGGACATATCCTTTTCGGCCCTACTATCCCAGAACATCTGCTCTACGTCGATCCTACCCCATGGCATCCAGAATTCCGAGAAAGCTGGGCTGGTATGAGTAAAGATCCAGACCACCCTGCGTTCTTTACAAAGGACGAGTTAGGATTTTATATCCCTAAGGAGATGCTATCGACACAAGAAACGAATGACGGGCTGGAGCCGCTTCCAAAAATGCCACTCGAGCTTTCCGTCCAGATCCGCCGTAAGATCGGTGCAGACTTCATACAAGGATGGAAGAGTATAGAGCGATACGGTGACATGATACTGTTCCAGACACGGAATTTTGGGACGAGCAGTCATTGTTTGAGCGACTTCACGATTAGACGGAAACGTGGACCGAGCACACGCGTGCAGTCTAAAGGAAACGTATGGAGCGCTTGCGACTTCTGCATCGATACTCGCCGTCTTTGTCTAAGGATGATCAAAGTGAACCACCAAGAAACAGAGAAGGTCGTCTTTCCCCTGCCACCTCAATTGCGCGTTGGCAGGCACTGGACAGAGATGGGGTTCTGGGTCCGTGATGCTACGGAATCGGCAGGTAGAAGAACGGCTACTGACACTTAATGAAATTCTTTTCATCACTTCGCGCCTTCCGTTTGCTCTTTCCTTGTGCACGTGCTTTCAACGGCGACTCTCTGGCGCCGCGCCTGACAGACACAAATAGGTCTTTCATTTGCTCCGCTTCCCATAAACAATCCACTGTCGCATCTACAACGCCCGCCATGTCGACGATTGATTCCTACCTTGAAGCCTTAATTGCGCTATCGGGCGACGAGCAGCTCGTAAGCCCTCGCCGGGCCTTACTACAAAGCCTCAACGATGAGGACCTCGCAGGACTTGTAAAGAAAGCCGTAGGACGCGAGTTCGCACGAGGTGATCTAGAAGACATCGCCTCTGTCCTTTTAGATATCATCGTCAAAGACCCAGCTTCAGTCTACAGTCATGATGCTGGCGAAGATCAAGCGACTCAGGTGAAGGTCGAAAAAGATCCATGTCGCATTCCAATAGTATACTAATTGTAGCAAAGTTCGTTCTAGAGGAGCAGTATCTCTCACACCACCAGTTCCTCGATCGACAAGCCAGGCGTCTACATCGGGTGTGCAATCACAAATTGGCCACCCTGCCCGTACTGTAGCAGTCTCGCTGCGATGTCAAACCGAGCAAGTCATAGCCAACAAAGTTACCCCACTTATCCAGTACGTTCGCTGGGACGAGCAGTCAGGCGACTACATCGACTTGTCTTTTGGCTCTCACAATACTGCGGAGGAGACGTCTCTGGCAGACAGATTTGATAGGAGCTACCTATCCACTGAGGGTCACATTACAGAGTGGGGAAAGCTACTGAGGCTACGGGAAATGAGAGTCGCAGTTGCTAGGCAGTGCTGTGTGGATAATACTGTTATTGTAAGGACCGGACTTTCCTGTCATCTTGAAGGTCAATCGGCATGCTATGGCTGCATCAAGGCTAGGCATCTGTGTGCACTACTCATTAGAACGGCAGATGGGGTGATCAAGCTTGCTTTCTTCCCTTTGCCATTGCCACTTTGGGCTCAGGATGACGTGGACCCGCTTAGCAAGTGGATCCGTTCGTCAGCTATTAGTGATAGATTGATGATGAGCTATTTGAACAAGCGCCACTGAGTCGCTCCAGGTGTACTTAGTTCTGAGGCATGACATGCACATATGCGAGGGTTATGTAACGATACTCGCGCTACAAGGCTAGCACTATGGGCAACACCCCATAGCAATGATGGTACCTTTCCCACTCTACTTACTTCTTGCGAAGCTAGATATCATTGCTGTATTCAAGATCCACTTTGTAAACTCAGAGCTTGATGACTTTGTCGTTAGTTGTCAAGAAGCCCCGATTAAAGTGCTCGCGCGTATGCTTAGTGTGATGTAGTAGATAATCACGTGATATTTGAAGCCGGATACCATATTTGGAGCAAGAAGCAAGCTTGCCAGCTCCTGCTGTGGCCAGGCTTCGATCGAGGTCAGAATGACAAGGAGGCAACCGATCGCTGTTTCTAGCTGAGGCAGGTGGGAGGACGACGACTAAACGTTCGACGTGTGAGTAACGAGATTTCGTGAAAGAAAAGGAACAGCATAGCTAGATGTACACTATTCGAACAAGACCCCATCACACCTTCCTACCATCCACGCAGCCACCACCTAACAGTCCCCCAACAACGCAAACCCACTCCCTTCCAACCTCCCCTGCGCCCTCACCTCAGCCTTCTTCTTCTTCCTCTCCTGTTCCCTCGCCATCTTCTTCTTCTTCTTATTACTGACCCCATCCTCGCTCAGCACCTGCGCCCCATTCGACCGATAAATCTCTTCGACCAACCCCTTCAGCACATCATGCTGCGCCACCACCTTCTTCGCCTGCCCAGGCACACCAAGTACATCAGGTATGGAAGGGAAGTCGACCATGTGAGTTGCTAAGCTGGAAAGGACAGCGTGTAGTTTGGTCTTTTCAGTCGAGTAGGTGGGTGCAGTAGGGTGGAGAGCGAGCCACACGCGTATAATCTGGCTCAACACGCGCAATGAATAAATTGCTGCGTGCAGCCTCGCAGTTAGATGGACAAACGCCCAGCTGTTATCAAACTCGCCGTTGAGTACGCGCTGGACGAGAAGGATCGCAGGCGGCGTGTTGAATTCTGCAAGGACGAAGCTGAGTCCAAATAACGGCCATAGAAGTGCTGGTTTGACAATATCCGACTGCGCTGCTGCCCATTCTCTCAGAGTACACAGCTGTCGTTCTAGATCTGCTGCGGAAGTTGCAAGATCCGCGGAAGAGTATATAGAGATTTCTTGAACACTAATACCTTGGGCTTTCCGCCGGTATTCGTGTACAATCATGTTTGGCTTTCGAGCGAGGAGAGAGTATGCTATCGTACGAATATCTTGTCCCACGTTCCATGCGGACGCTTGATTAGGGTCTTCGACCAACAGAGGCATGTATACGAATGGAGATTCGAGTCCATTGAGGGCTTGGTGGACGTATTCTGATATGCGAACATCTGACACTGGTAGATTAGATGTCGCGCTGTGACTCGGAGCCTTTGCAACGTAGCGCTTGGCGAAATCAACATAAGATGTTGACCTCTGATCTATTGCCTGGGCTGTGTGAGCTAGGAGCTTTGAACTGTCTTGTGGGCCATCAAGTAGAGCATATGCAAAGGTCACTAGGCTTTTGAGTTGTAATTGCTTGCTGATCTCGTCGGGTGAATATGCTTTGATGCCCGTGGCCACATCGGCATCGTGAAGGAACACAATCAGTGTGTCGAAGCTGTAGTCGTACAAAACAAGATCCGTATCGCTCGTAAAGATGATAGATTTTGCATTCTCCTTTGCATGCAATGCACACCAATCATCTGCTTCTCCAGGTACGGTCTTCGTTTTGGAAGAAAACGGCGAATCCAGCAACGCTTCTTGCAGTGCAGGTGCAAGAAAGGCGTACGATATCGAGCCTAGATATGTCGGAATAGGACATGAGACAGTAGCATAGTTATTGCGGAATTGCTGCACCCGTCTGTTGTTCGCTTCCGTCCTGGACAAGCGCTCTGTGCGCTTTGATATGGGGAGGGCTCCGTCAAAGTAGATGGCAGACCTGAGAAGGTGCGATCAGCAGTGGACGGCAGGAACATCACATGGCACCTGCATAAGGTGCATTCAACGGTCAAGCACAAAGCAATGCCTTCACATATCGACTTTGCGATATGGAAGAGTTTGAGACCCCTGCGCTAATGGCGGTGAAGTGAAGAACATATGTGCGCACCTTATTGGCCTGCCGTGATGGTTCCGTGCGAAAAGCAACTGTGGTCTACTCACACCTTGATGTTGCTCTTCTCCAGCGAGGCCAGCCAGTGTATTGCTTCAGCAACGATGTCCGCATAAGAAGGTATTCTGGACGCGCTAGTGGCCGAAGCGAGAGCCAATTTGTGAGCGTAGTAGGCGAGCGCAGGGCCGTCTACCACGGCTGAGTAGCCGTCCAGCTGCTCGGAGGAATACCGCGTCGCGTAGGGCTCGAGACGCCTAGCCAGTCCCTGGATACCCATTTTGTCTGATGGCCGAGGTGGCGGATCCCGAAGAAGAAGACCGGGACAACTGTTGAGAAGATGGACAATGTTGTCGCAACGGGAAGGAAATGTGGTATGCACACAGCCAGGATACCCCCGCAAAGCGTCTGGGGCGAAGCGAGGCGGGGACTGGTCAGCAAGAGGTGTTGTGCAGCGTCTCGCCCTCGATTGCAGGATTAGCGCATGGGCGCAGCGACTGTTGGGACATTGACGAGGGAAAAACTTGAGATGATAGCCAGCGTGGCGTTGTTCTTTCCCGTTGATGAGCTAGCGCCGGCGTCATCCCGCGTGGTGGGGGAAGCTGGGCCCCTCAGCAGCTCAAAAGTTGCCCTGCTGCCACCTTTGTAAACTCTGCAATTGCTTCAATCTCCCTCTAAATCAGCTTCCAGCACATATACCGTCAACATGAGCGTCCGAACCGTCGAATTGAAGCCATTTCAGGACCAGAAGCCCGGAACGTAAGTGCAATGTCCCCAGACGAGCTTGGGAGGGCGCATGGAGCTATGGCGTCGAGGCATGATAGCTGACTTGGATTGCTGCAGTTCTGGTCTCCGCAAGAAGGTCAAGGTCTTCCAGCAGGAGCACTACTCAGAGTCGTTTGTTGCCAGCATCCTCCAGTCCATCCCTGAGGGCGCTGACGGCGCCTTCCTCGTCGTCGGTGGTGATGGCCGTTACTGGAACCCCGAGGTCACCCAGACCATCGCCAAAATGAGCGCTGCCTACGGTGTCAAGAAGCTCTTGATCGGCCAGAACGGAATCATGAGCACACCTGCCGCCAGTCACATCATCCGGATACGAAAGGCGACCGGTGGCATCCTCCTCACTGCCAGCCACAACCCTGGTGGTAAGTTCTCCCAGACGCATCGACTCGTTCCCCTCACCTGACGCATCTAGGCCCCGACGAGGACTTTGGCATGAAGTACAACCTCGCCAACGGTGCCCCAGCTCCCGAGAGCGTCACCAACAAGATCTACGAAACCTCCAAGACCCTCTCGTCGTACAAGATCGCCGACATCCCCGACATCGACTTGAGCACAATTGGCACACAAAAGTATGGAAGCCTCGAGGTTGAGATTGTCCACTCAACAGAGGATTACCTGAAGATGCTCAAGGACATCTTCGACTTTGACCTCATCAAGTCGTTCCTCAAGCAGCACTCGGACTTCAAGGTCCTCTTCGACGGCCTGAGCGGTGTCACCGGCTCATACGGTGTGGACATCTTCGAGAAGGAGCTCGGCATCCCCAACAGCACACAAAACTGCGTCCCCAAGCCAGACTTTGGCGGCCACCACCCAGACCCCAACCTTGTCTACGCCAAGTCGCTGGTCGACGCTGTTGACAAGAACGGGATCCACTTTGGTGCTGCCAGTGATGGTGATGGTGACCGAAACATGATCTACGGCGCAAACTCGTTCGTCTCACCTGGTGACAGCTTGGCCATCATCGCACACCACGCCGAGCTTATCCCGTACTTCAAGAAGCAGGGCATCTATGGTCTCGCCCGCAGCATGCCGACCTCTGGCGCGATTGACCTGGTCGCAAAGAAGAAGGGCGTCGAGTGCTACGAGGTGCCTACGGGCTGGAAATTCTTCTGCGGTCTCTTCGACTCTGACAAGATGAACATTTGCGGTGAGGAGAGTTTCGGCACAGGCAGCAACCACATCCGTGAGAAGGACGGTCTGTGGGCTGTCGTTGCCTGGTTGAACATCCTGGCCGGTGTCGGACAGCAGACGGGTAGCACACCCAGCATTGCCTCAATCCAAAAGGACTTTTGGAAGACGTATGGCCGCACATTCTTCACTCGTTACGACTATGAGGGCTGCGAGACTGAGGGCGCAAACAAGGTCACCAGCCACATGAAGGAACTCATCACCACCAAGAAGGACGAGTTCATCGGCTCTACCGTCGCTGGCCGCAAGGTTGTCGAGGCAGACGACTTCTCCTACACCGACCTGGACGGTAGCGTCAGCAAGAACCAGGGTATCTTTGTCAAGTTTGATGATGGAAGCCGCATTGTTGTTCGTCTGTCTGGCACAGGTAGCAGCGGCGCCACCATTCGTCTCTACATTGAGAAGCATACTAGCGACGAGTCGACATACGACATGGACGCTCAGGATTACCTCAAGGACAACGTCAAGCTTGCGACTGACCTCCTGAAGCTCCAAGAGTACGTTGGCCGCACCGAGCCCGATGTCAAGACGTAAGCGCGTTGGTTGAAGTGGAGAACGCGGAGATGTAATTAGCATGATTAGACGACTTGTACACGAGAATACCAGTAAAAACAGATTTGTTTTGGTCGACAAAACGGTAGTAATGATGATAAGTCGCGTGGCAATATGTCATGATCCCCTAATGTGTTTGCGCGTGTGGCTTAGCAGCACTAGCTCGGCGACGTCATTTCCCAATCTAAACATGCCTCCGTCTCCACCCCATAACAATGCCGTTCCCCACCCCAGTTACCTAGATCTCGACAACCCCCCGCCTTTCACACATCCCTACACACGCGCATAGACTCCCGTGAGAGGTTTCCTTGGCTTTTCAAACCCATCACCTCTAATTTTACGTCGCCATCATGGCTGAGAAAGAAGGCTCCGCTGTGCCACCCCAGGCAAAGGGCTCTTGGTCGAGCTTCCTAAAGGTATGTAGCTACGCGCTGTACAGAATGGCGGTCGACTAACATGCACATAGTCCATCGCATCCTTCAATGGCGACCTCTCCACCATGACGGCGCCTGCCTTTATCCTCTCGACGAAATCCCTTACCGAGTTCTCGTCGTACTGGACTGAACACCCCTCCGTCTTCGTCGCCCCTGCAGCCGAGAAGGACCCTGCCAAACGGGCCATGCTAGTGCTGAAGTGGTTCCTGAGCACATTGAAGCAGCAGTATGCGAGTCGGTCAGAGAAGCTGGGCAGCGAGAAGAAGCCGCTCAACCCTTTCCTAGGAGAGCTTTTCCTGGGCAAGTGGGAGGACCAGGCAGGCACAACCCAGCTTGTCAGTGAGCAAGTCAGGTACGCGCATCCAAGACAAGGCGTAAAGTACGGGAGTGCTAATGCAATGCGCGCAGTCATCACCCACCCGTCACGGCTTACTCCATCTGGAACGACCAACACGGCGTCCGCTTAGAGGGTTACAACGCGCAAAAGGCGTCGTTCAAGACGACCATCAATGTTAAGGTACACACACCCCGACAGTATTGGCAGTATAATACTAACACGTTGTCTCCATAGCAAATCGGCCACGCAATGCTGCACCTAGACGCCTACAATGAAAGCTACCTCATTACCCTCCCTGCGCTCCACATCGAAGGCCTCATCACAGGCTCACCCTACGTCGAGCTCAACAGCAGCACTTACATCCAGTCGTCTACCGGATACACCGCGCGCATCGATTACAGCGGCAAGGGCTGGGTCTCTGGAAAGAAGAACAGCTTCACCGCCGTCCTGTACCCAGAGGGCAAAGAGAAGGAAGCCATCTACAAAGCCGACGGACAGTGGACCGACTCGTTCCAAATCAAGGATGCCAAGACCAAGGCCGTGGTCGAAACTTTTGACCACAAGGCTGTGAAAACGACGCCCCTGACCGTCGCAGACATTGAGCAGCAAGACGACTTTGAAACCCGGCGCGCATGGAAAAAAGTCAGCGACGCGATTAACAAGGGTAACATGGACTTGACGTCGTCGGAAAAAACTATCATTGAGACGCGCCAGCGCGAGATGCGTCAGCAAGAAAAGGATGCGGGCAAGGAGTGGGAGCGCAAGTTCTTCTCGCGCGCGCCGCAGTATCCCCTGTTTGAGCAGCTGGCCAAGAAGATTGGCGAGGGCATCAATGATGGCCAGACTAATGGCGTTTGGAGTTTTGATAAGCAGAAGGCGGATGCCGCCAAGTCGCCATTTCACCCAGATGTTGTGCCTCCGATTTATGAGAGAAAGTAAAGAGTATAAGCTGGCCGTTGGAAGTCGTTTTACTTGGCCGGAAACGAGTAGTGGGAGTGAGAGAGGGGCTGTGATGAGACTGGGGAAATGGAAACTCTAGTGTAATGGTACTGATGGAAGAAAATGGCGACTTCCAAGAAACGAAGTTATGTTTGGCTTGACGACTGAAAACATGGAATGACATGGAAAGCGGGGAGCTACTTATGCCAAATGTATGGACTGTCGGCATTAGGGTGGTTTCCTATTTGGAATCTTACTATCCCTACACTCGTCTTCTGGTTCTACAGTAGTCATACACTCCTTTTCCATTTTTGCTAATACACATACAACTTGATCTTACAATCGGCTTGATGCGCAAGACCGAGATTGCTTTTTCTCTCTCTCTACTTATGAAGCATCTTTGGAATCAGTCCTCTTATCGTTGCCATGACGCTGCCAGCATTGTCGGAAAATCTCCATCTAAAAGGCGTGATAAATCGTGTTTTGTCAGTTGATGATTTCTCTTCTTCCTTTACAGCTTGCAACAAGATTTCGGCTTCTTCTCGGGCTTTGTGAACGAACCGAGAGCAGCCTAGAAGCAGCGCAGAAGCAATAATGTGTGTGGTTTTTAACCACTTGGGAACAACAACAACAACAACAACACCAAATTAACTCACCTCCTGCTTGCATGCTCGCCAGTCTTTCTTGTCGTAGTAGCAGTCTGTCAGTTTTGCATTTTCGTCTGCGCAGCCGGTGCTGAAGATACGCTTGTCCCTGTGTTTGTTGGTCTTGGGTTAGCTCAATAGTTCTACGACGCAAAGTTGCAGTTCTTTCGCTCCGCCAACCCGGATCTCCGCATTGCGAGACTAAAGGTTCAAAGTAACGCACCAGTCATCGGGTTCATCGTCAATTACCAACTGCGCTGCTGCCGCACGCGCCTTGTCTTCGTTGGACATATCTCAAGGAGGCCGGGGGAATCGACAGGTATTGTATGAGTGTGTGTGTGTGTGTGTGTGTGTGTGTGTGTGTGTGTGTGTGTGTGTGTGCGTGTGCAAAAGAGCATAAGAGTCGGACACTTGCGCAGGGTCTTTTGGACACAGAGTTACTTGGAACACGATCGGCACAATCTCGGTCCGCGCGTCTCGCCCATCGATTTTCAGCGTCACCATTCAAAATCACGAATATTGTTATTAATCACGACATCATGGCAACCAAGCGGATGAACATCTTGGTGTACTCTGGTATGCGGCCATTTGTAGCGTTAGTCGCAAATCCCACAGTCCACCCCACTAATCCGCACCCACCCCTTTAGGCAACGGAAGTACCACCGAATCTGTCCGCCATTGCATGTACACCCTGCGCCGTCTGCTCTCGCCTTCTTACGCTGTCATACCTGTAACTGGCGATACTCTGATCAAAGAACCCTGGTTCAGCACCTGCGCTCTTCTTGTCTTTCCTGGCGGCGCTGACCTAGGTTATTGCCGTACGCTCAATGGTGAGGGGAATCGAAGGATCAGCCGGTATGTGAATGCCGGGGGTTCATATCTAGGATTCTGCGCTGGTGGGTATTACGGAAGTGCGAGATGTGAGTTTGAGCTTGATGATCCGAAGATGGCTGTTGAGGGAGAGAGGGAGTTGGCGTTCTTCCCGGGTGTGTGTAGGGGATTGGCCTTTGAGGGGTTCAAGTATGCGAGTGAGGCTGGGGCGAGGGCTGCTGAAATCAAGATTGAGAAGGAGGCGTTTGAGAGTGTTGATGAGGGTGTGGCGGAGACGTTCAAGAGCTATTATAATGGTGGGGGTGTGTTTGTTGATGCGAAGAAGCTCGAGAGTAGGGGCGTACAGATCCTGGCGAGCTATACCGAGGATCTGCACGTCGAATCTGGAGAAGGCCAAGCGGCTGTTGTCTATCGTAAGGTGGGTGAGGGTCACGCTGTAGTCACGGGGCCACATCCAGAGTAAGCTCAGATTCGACATCCAGAACACCTTCACTCGCTAAGACTGTATAGATTCGCACCGCAAAACCTCAGCAAGATCCCCAGTCTACCATCTTACGCGACCATTATCAATGATATCGCTGCCACGGACGCAACACGACTTGCCTTTATGCGCTTGATCCTCGGGAAACTTGGTTTGCAGGTTAACGAACAGGAACAAGCGGTACCATCCCTATCCCGCCTGCATCTCACTGCTCATAGCTTGGCAGACGTCTCTGACCTCGTTGCGACGTGGAGCGAAATCATTACTGTGATGGACGGCGATGAGTATATCAAGGGCGAGAACGACGTGTTTCGGATTGAGAAAGAGGGTACGGCGTGGAGCGTAAAGGAACTGAAGAGGGCTGTCAGTGCCATGTCGGAGAAACTGCCTACACTAGCGTCAGTGACGAACAGTGACGAGAAGAGTGTTGGAGAGCAAGGCCAGGAGAAGGAAGATGACAGCAAGAAGAAGAGGACCAAGACACCAGAAGAGGAGGTTCACGACTGTATCGAGTACACGGCCAACACCTCGCCCGACGAGATCATCGACTACGCCAAGATCGTCAAGGTCATAATACCCCATGAGAAAGCTCTTCCATCGGCTCAAGAGACACCGTTCCATCATGATGCCTTTTATGCAAACCTCCATCACTACCATACCAAGCTCCGCAACCCTGACGCTTCTTTTGGAAAACACCTCATGTATGGTGAAGTCGTAACATCGACCAACACTCTTCTCGAAAAGAATCCGTCTTTGCTGCGGAACCTCCCCAATGGCTTCACAATAACAGCAACAACACAAATCGCAGGTCGCGGTCGCGGAAACAACGTCTGGATCGCACCGCCTGGCGCACTAATGTTCAGCACTGTGTTGCATCATTCTTTTGCACTAAGTCAAAGTGCACCAGTAGTGTTTATCCAGTATCTCGCAGCTCTGGCCATTGTGCAAGGCATCAAGGTAAGTTTTCCTTGAAACTTTCCAACACAAAGTCGAATATAGCCCAAGAAACAAGTAGTCAACTAACTTCGTCTCCCCTTCACCCCGCAATAGAACTATGCGCCTGGGTACGAGAAAATCCCTATAAAGCTCAAGTGGCCAAACGACATCTATGCGCAACTCCCCGGCTCTAGCGCAAACCCTGTCGTCAAGATAGGAGGTATCCTGGTGAATAGCAGTTATTCCGGCTCCACGTACGACGTCATACCAGGAATTGGGTTGAATCTGAGTAATGCGCTGCCGACGACGAGTCTGAATCAGCTTGCCAAGGGCATGAATCCGCCACTCAAGGACTTTACGCCAGAGAAGCTGCTGGCGAGCATTCTAGCGCACTTCGAGGTGAGTCATACTTCCGCTTGGATATCCAAAAATTGCAAAGGATGATGGCATGCTGACTATGTCGTTTTTTTTCTTCTGTGCGTATAGACACTGTACTCGACGTTCTGCCAGGAAGGTTTCAACCGCGACATGGAGTCGTGCTACTATGAGAACTGGCTGCATACTGATCAGCTTGTGACGCTCGAGGACCAACAGGGGGTGCAGAGTGGGTGTAAGGCGAGGATAAAGGGTATCACGAGGGATTGGGGCTTACTTCTCGCTGAGGAGGTGCGCGAGATTGATGGGCGAGGAACGGGCAAGATTATTCAGATCCAGAGTGATGGGAATAGCTTTGACTTCTTCAGGGGCCTGGTCAGGCGCAAGGTTTAGTGTGGGATGTGTATGGAATGTCGCTGTGGAAGCTTCAAAATGATTAGACTATCCACAAGACCCAGAATGCAGGTTGAGAACATCTGCAAATACTCCCTTCGCTACGATATCGTTACCATTGCCTTGCCGATACGGTTACTTATAGAAACCCAAGCTCTATCACAGTCTCAAAATCATCTCTTTCCAGCTCACGATTCGTTGCCGGCATGTCCAAATCATGCTCTTCACAGAGCTCTTCTAAAGCCTGTCGCGCAGCTGCCATACTCCTCTTCCGAAACTTCTCTTTGTTCTCTCCCTTGTATAACACAGCTTGGTGGTACAACGCGCGCGCATATTGCGCTTGTCCCTGTTTACTATCTTGCTCCTCGAAGTGGGTGGTTACTTCTTTGATAAGTGCACTGAAGAGGAGTTAATCAGTATCCCGGCATGCTTTGTATCTACTTACTGTGCTCCCTTCCAATCACTTTGCGTCATATTGCAATTCGATAGACGAAGCTTGGAGATGGCGGCCAAGTCAGCGATATCTCCTTCTTGATCTTCGTCGATGGCATCGATGTTCTTGCGATAAGTGTTCAATGCATCTGATGTATTCCCACTTGCGATGAAAACATCTCCTTTCACGATGCGCAGTTGAGCCATGCTAAAATGGTAAGCCATACTGAGTTTAAAACTTGTTAAGGTGCTTACATGGTAGCGAAGTTATTCTCTCGACTCTCCCCTATCTCCTTCGACACCTTGACATTGTTGAGCAGATCCATAGCGGCTTCTGCGCTACCATCTGTAAGAAATATGCGTGCGAGATACGTCGCTGCTTGGAGATCGACTCGTAATGCATCATATGATGCCATGCATGGTGCCTTGATCAGTTCTCGGGCTCGTACCAGTTTCGTAACGGCTCGAAGTTTGTTGTTGTGTGAGTAGTCTTCTACACCTTCATTAATGCACGACCACGCAGTAGCGATTGCATACGGTTCGTGACTGGCGTCTTCGTTTGGTTTTTCCGATGAGGATGACTCCTCAGTTGGTTCGAGGGTGATATCGTTGCTAGGCTTTGTTGGTCGTTCCAAAAGCGGCTGCGTTTTGCCGCTGGCCTGGGGCGCGAGTGTATCAGACATCGATAGAAATTCGCTACAGGAAAAAGCATCCACATTGCTTTCAACATATGGTTCGATGTTGGCGAAAACTTCTGGACCGACGGCAGAAGCGAGGCTTTTGAGACTGTTCGGTCTGATCAGGCACTCTTGGATATGCCAGAGTCGTTTTTGAAGTGATGATTGCCCACACAGCACATCGTAGCGACCCCAATTGACCTGATTGCGTTGGAGTTTTAGTTGAGAATGAGGGAAGATCGTTACGGCAGCACTCTGATATATGTTCGCTATATTGCCGACTTCACATGCTGTTTCCTCGTGATTGCTTTGATCGATGCAGAGTGTGTCTATCCATATGTATCTGGTTAGGCACAATCCGGAGAAAACACACGCATCGCGAAATGATTTCGGCATTTGCGATAATGCGACGCCTTCCCGAAATGTGTGGAGATTGGATTCGGTCAGCACCGGATCGCCTTCGTTACAGTTGAAGTCAAGACCGAGAGCAAGATAGCTCAGTGTCCTACCTCCGGTATCTACGAGCTTCCATCTTTGACGCCGATGGTTGATACGTACGAGACGCCGTGGCATGTACGACACTTTCGATGTGGGTTGACCCGAATCCTCTAAGCGCATCTTGGGAAGCTCGATCAATGCCGCTGCACAGCGTGCCAAGTTGCGGTAGTCATTGTTGTTTTTGCGGACTCTCCGATCGTACCTAATCATGTCAACGTCGAGCAAAACGGTGTGCAAAACGAAACTACTTACCATATACAACCGAGGGCAGTCCTTGGAAAGGACTCATCGATATACTCGTCGAGAGCATTTAGAGACAGTACTGATGAAGATACATGATCGGTCATGCGCCATAGCTGATTCATGATATCGTCAAACTCCGCCCAGAATCCATGTAGAACGTTTGGGAACTTTCGATCACTAGGCCATTGCGTACCCCAAACGTATGTGAGGGCTTTATAGATTTCACGTGTCTCATTTTGACTAATATACTGCCGCGTTACCATTTGCATGAGTCTGTGCATCGTGAAGACAGTGCCTCCTTCGGGTTTGTCGATCAATGCGAGATTTGCGAGATCATGGGATGCTTCGATGAAACGCAAGTCAACGCTATCTGAATCTTCTGGAGAGAGAGTTCTTTCAAAAACAGCCCGGACTAGGGAGGTATGAGCAGCATCAGGATCCATGTAGGATAGAACAGCCATGAGCCGCCTGGCATCGGGAGATAGCTTCGCTAACGGGGGAGTCCATATATTGTTGACGACTGATGCATCTGAAGGCATCTGAGAAGCTTCATGACCGCCAGTTTTCTTTTTCTGCTCATAAATTTTCCAAAAGTCTTCGATACTCAGCCGTCTAAGCTCGATATAACTCGATATCACAGCCAACGCTAGGGGAAGTCCATCCAATAGTCTCAAGAGTTCATGCCCTTGCTCGGTGTTTACGTCTTCCAACTTTAGATGTGTGGATCGTTGGAGAAAGCTTTGGCTGTCGGTGATTGATAAAGGTTGAACGTGGTAGAAGGCAGGCGAGGTAGCACTTGGTGATCTTAGTTCTGGATGCCTAGTTGTGATGACAGTCGCCCCGTTCTTGCTTTCTGGGATGTAAGGCGCGATGATGTCGACTTCATCCGCGTTGTCAAATATGAGAAGCCATTGTGTTTCAGGTTTTGCGAGCCACTCCATAACCAGTCCAGCACTTTGCGTGTGACTGTAGTTTCGTCGACCATTTATGAGTCGAAGTGCAATGGCAATATCATGGAAACTCTGGAGAATGCTTTGTTTGCTGTCTGCTCTCAACCAGAAAACTGCATCGAAACGCGACTGTGCTGATCGTGCAAAATTAAGGGCTATTTGCGTTTTGCCCACGCCAGCCGTGCCATGAAGCACTGCGACTGTTGTAGCATTCCTCATCAATGCTTGATTTCCTTGCCCAGAAGACTCCTGAAACAGCAGCCGTTCTAGCCATGTGGTCGCATCTTTGCGAGGAAAGTAAAACCCACATGTAGGTGGTAACGAAAGTCTCAGCGGAAGTGGTCGAGATCGCTGACGTGCGATATTGGGTGCTTCCACAAAGATACCATGAGATATATCAGGTGATGATAGATCTTTGCTTGTGCTCGATTGTGACGTCGTACTTCTCAACAGAATAGAGGGTGATTCCATATCTCGATCTACGTTTTCGATGTCAGACGTGTACAGATCTGTACATTCCGAAAGCGGATCAATGCGGCCTCCAATCAAGTCGTGATCAGAGTTAACGCTCGATGGAGCAGTAGGAGATGTCTCCACAGAATGTTGATGAACCATCATCGACCTTGAGCCATTTTCGGTGATGGGATGACCCCCACTGACATGGTTTCCAGACTCCACAGAGATATGCTTGTCCGAAGCTTGGCTCACGACATCCGGTGGGACTGCTGCTTCTGTACATGCTGTCACAGTAGCGCCAGCGTGGTTCACCGGATTACAGGGAGCTGTCTCCATTATGACGCTTTCTGTTCTGGTGGAAGCAACATCGGCGACTGCTAGAGGTGCATTTTCCTCCGTAGCTGGAAGACGCTCCTTGACCCATTCACCTGCTGTGATTAACCCTAGAAGTCCGCGCCATCCACTTTTCGAGCTGAAGATACATTTGCTGTTGTTTTCAAGTCCTTCGATAACTGCCTCGTCGTCGTCCTGAGTCGTCCACAATCTAACGTTCACACTACCATCACACACACAATTCTTGGCTTTGAGCCTGGTGCGGTGAAGGCCTTTCCGTTTGGATGGCTTTCCTGAGACCTGAAAGAACTGTGAGTTGATCTGAAGTTGCTCAAACTTCTCTTCAATGAATTTGAGACATGTAAGAGCTTCTACAGAGAATGTCTCGGGCAATGATCCCTTCGTAGACTCCAGGCTGTCTTGCACGAGTGAAGACCATTGTGTGCGATCCTCACTGTCCAGGTATGGCTCACCGATCATGATGAGAGTGCGCAAAGCTTCGAATAGTGATATGTATTGTTCGTGATGTTTTTGGCGATAAGCAAGTAACAAAGCCTTGTCTCGAATTAGCTTTGCTGAATTCGGAGGAATGCTGTATATACCTTTTTCAAGATGAAAGCTCCGAGACGATGGCCTATCAGCACAAATTCCAGCTGCGACTAAGGTCAGCTTATGCGGTCAGAAGGTTGAGGTCAATATACCTGAGGTTGCTGCTCGATGAGGCTGAGCAATTCGGACAAGAGATCCTCACCGCAATCGCAAAAAGGATTCCAACTTTGTGGGGTATCCAGATGGACGCCATGATCATAGACCCAAACGTTAGGTGCGGCACACCAATTTTTCATGAGTTCTTCGAAGTGGTAGCAGGTATGCTTGTCCAGTGCATCGGCTGAGACGCCTGGAACGATAATCACGCTAGCGGCACTGCTGGCTGGAGTGTCAGTACAGTAGCTTCCGTCGACTAGACAAGCAACCTACTTTGGAGTCACCCCACCCGCTTGGGGTCGATCTTTCCACCTCCTAAATCGTGTCATATTCGAGATGACCCAGAATGGATAGCTGTGAGGTGTGTAAAGAGCGGACAACGCGAATGTGGGCGGCCATCTCATTTGTATGGAGGTGGGGAGGGGGGTGCATGCGTAGCGGCCGCCACGAACCTCAGCCTCGAGCGCAGTGCTGCACAGCCGCCACAGGAAGTGAGATCAGCCGTAGGCGATGAGTCCAGATGTAGCAGTGTTCTGTATGGTATGCATTGTTTGCTACGTCATTATTTGCAGGGTTTATATGTAAAGATGATGCCTTCCCTTCGTCATATGCAAAGGCGAAGCCTCATTGTTTGGTTTTTCTAAACAAGATAGATCTGCCACACCGCAGGCTGCGACCACCCCACTCGCTGATGAATATACAGACTAATAGAAGCGGCACACTAACAGCCGCCCAAAGGGTTATGCTCAACGGTCCCTGGCCAAGTTGTTTAAAATTCATGCCGAACACGGATGTGACCAGTGAAATGGGGAGGAATATGAGCGTAATCCGATTGGTAGTCTTGGTGAGTTGAGTCACTAAGCTGGACTCTTTTTGTGCGCGCTTTGATGCGTAGACCGAAAAGCTGCTCATAATGGTAGCCTTGCCTGATTCACAAAGGTTGATGAGCGTTTCGGCCTCTTTCTGCAGATACTCTATATCCTTTTTGATGGGTGAGAATGACGTTTGGCGGAGTCGCCTTTGCTCAGGGGTGAGTTCCGGATCATGAGATAGGTGGTCTTCAAGACGCAGTAGTAACATATCAAAGTGTGTGGACCAACGAACCAGTACCGTTTTCGTGTATTCAAAGTGTATGATAAATTCCATGGTCGGATCACTGTCACCAGTGGGATGCAGCTGTGCAGTCCAGCCGCTAATGAGCTTGCGGAGCATGTCAAGATACTGGCAAGCAGCAGCCGTCTGGAAATAGAAGAGTTCTTGTAGCATCAGCAAAGGGTCGGCACGAGTCGTTGTCCAGTCCATAGTCTCGCCATAACGCGAAGGCAATACTGCCAGTGGCTGCAGAGTAGACCTAGAGTTATCATTTTGATCAACAGCAGTCTGTAATCCGAAAGATTGTGACATATCTCTCTCAAAGAAAATTGGGCAATGTTCGATGGTCTTAGACGTGTTTCCTGGTTTAGGTATCGGTGAATGACCTTTGAAATCCGGCGTATCTGGGATTGGGATATCGCCTGCATCGGCGCCAGCATCTGACCAGACAATGACTGTGCGAGTGTTATTGGCGATATGAAGGTAGTAGAGACAAAAGGTTTACCTTTCCGAGCTTTGCCAATTCCTGTTACCGCTATCGATATAATCTGCTCCACAACAATGGCGTCCCCACGGTGGACATTAACCTGCCTGAATATCGACTGGCCATGAGGTTTTGCCCCACCTGAGAGTAAAACATTGGCTCTTTTCTCAAGCTGAGAAGCACAGGATCTCCGAGCAGCGTGCAACTGATCGACTGAAAGACTGTTGCCTTCAGTTCCCACAAAGACTATAGACGGAATGAGTAATCGAAAGTCTTGCCGGTTGCGCGAGGGCAGATTAGAGCCCGTATGCCAATCGCGCTGTGCATTGGGAATAAAGTCGAGATGGCTGTGAAGAAAGCGCACATCCACATGAAGACGATCGACTAGTACTTCCATCCATTCCGAAGATGGAGAACCAGTGAAGAACAAAAGGTCCAGATCCGCTTGATTGACATTCTTCGTCAGAAAATCGGATGCTTGGGAGTATGAAATAGCTTGCGGTAGACGAGATTCGGGGATCTTGTATGCGTAGAGAAAGTTGCTCTCTTTTGGCGTAGGTGACGGTACTCGATAGCGAGCCGAGGCTGGAGGCTTGTCACCCAGGTATCTGACAACGTCGTTCAGATAGGCCGCTGAATGTAGAGGCTCAGTCGTGAATGATTGGACGCGCTTTCGCATGAGTTCCGATACGCTTCCCTCGCTAGGTGGTTCAAGATCTGGCATTGTGACAAAGTTCACGCGTGAGTTGATGGTGGGCGAGCTGTGTTGCGCAAGACTTTGAGAGAAAGCATGGTTAAGAGAAGCAGAGCCACCGAAGTCCTTCGTGGCTATGATTCAGCCCCCTTATCGCATCCACACACCGTCCTGGACTGCCAAAATGATGCATGTGGCTGGAGGCTGAGTTGTGCAGGCAACAGATTGCGCAGCGCGCGATAGGCAATGATTTCGCCGACTTCCCCGCGCCCACCTTCCTGGCGATCAGCCGCTCACTCTCCTCCCCCAAAGCCTCGCGCGATGAACTTGATATCATATACTTAGAACTCAAGGTCAATCTAAGCTAAGAAAGACGCGTGAGTAGTAATTATAATAGTCTTATTTTCGGCATAAAGAACGAGACAACAACTTCATACCCTCCGCGAAATGCAATAAAGCTGTTAGTATACCTACATGAGATTTGTTACATAGACACTCTTTAGTAGTGTATTAGTTTATATATTGATACTAAGTCTATAAGAAAGCTTAGTGTAGTAAGTTATACTTACTAGATACTGCCTATGTAAAACCAACTCTAAAGATATACGTAGTAATATATACTATAATTGCGCAAAGCGCAATCTAAAAAGCAACTATAACTTACCCCGCACTATGTCTTCCGTGCCTGTCGTAGGCTTGCTTTACTTAAATTCTGAGCAAAGGCATAACAAGTTTAAACCAAGTTTTCCCTCCCTCTTCAACTCTATACTACTTTGTAGCGAAACAACCTGTATACCTAGTATGAAGGAAATCAAAACAGAGATCATAAACACGACGGAGCAAATTGGTGATCTAGTCGATTGGCTCGTCTTCCGCCATGAACCGCCAGTTTCGCTCCCACCAACCATGTACATAGATCTCGAAGGCGTAAACCTCTGCCGTGAGGGCTCCATTTCCATCCTTACCCTTCTAATCGATAACGGCGTTCCGACCCGGCGCGTCGGCCTGATCGATGTGCATACACTAGGCGCACAAGCGTTCAACACTGCTGGTGCCAAACGGAAGACGCTAAAGGATATCCTCCAAGACGAAAAGATTCCAAAGGTCTTCTTTGACGTTCGCAACGATTCAGATGCGCTGTTTGCGCATTTTGGCGTGGCGCTGCAGGGGGTCGAGGACGTCCAGCTTATGGAGAGTGCGACAAGGAAGACAACGGCATCTCGGAAGTTCCTGAACGGTCTGACCAAATGTGTTGAGAACAACTTGCCCATGTCCATTGGTGGTATCGGACTAGTCAGCTGGAAGCTGGCAAAGGAGAAAGGCGAGCGATTGTTCAAGCCCGAATATGGCGGCTCGTATGACGTGTTCAACCAGCGACCGATTCCAGAGGATATATCATCTTACTGTGTCGGTGACGTCCGGTACCTCCCTGAGTTACGGGATAAGTTTTACACACACAGGGCCTATCCGTGGCAAGACCTAGTCGGTGAAGAAACCAAAAAGCGCATTGCGACGTCTCAGAAATCGGACTACCAGCCTCACGGCCCAGATAAGGTGATGGCTCCATGGAGCAAAGAACAGAACATGCTTTTGGATCAGTGGAATTATGTTCCTCCTCGCAATGACTTTGACGAGGACTTTGACGAGTCCTTCGACTCAGATGATTGGTACGATGACGGGCCGACCAGCTGTAGGGACGTCATCGACGATTGCGACTACGACTTTTATTATTCAGACTAAGCCTCGCAAACTAGTTACCAAAAGTTAGATACTTAGGTTATGTGTTAGCTTTCTACTTGTTGTGGGACATGTCAAGGAATCTTCAGGCTGCCATTAATGTAACTGGGGTCCTAAGCTCATCGGGTTGCGATACGTGTAAGAGTTATGCTCGCGCAAGATGATGGAAAAGTGGAAATAAGTCTGATTCTAGTACCTACACAGACTGTCAAATGCACGACTGCGCCATCTAAAGCCACTTTTGCTTCTGCAAGGCCTTTTCCTCGCAGAGCCGGTGTCAGCCTAAGATTCTATAACATCTTTGAACCGAAAGAAAAGGAAATTCGTCTCAATATGCGTGCGTGTTAACCCTCTCTCTCTCTCTCTCTCTCTCTCTCTCTCTCTTCATCCGCCTCTTCCCCTTCCCTTCACCTTGCGAAATAATCCCTCGCCCCATCTCTACTAGGACTATACGGCGTATACTGCTCCTGTCCCCTATGTCCCCTACCACCACCACCACTACTTCCCATGGGCGCCGCCCCCGACACCAACCTCCCCTGATCATTGTTATTCCCCATCTCATAATAAGGACTCGCGTCCCTAGAATCCACGCCCCTCAAATCAAGACTGGGACTAGGACTATACTCCCTCAGTGCACTAGGCGTCTGGTGATACCCCTGAGGATACAAGACACCAGGGTCCTCTCCATTATTAAAAGTGCGCTGTGAGTCCTGACTCGAAGGACGGCCCCTCTCGCTACCACCACGTCCCCAATGGCTACTACCAGCAGGGCTATCAGGTCTTCCTCCGCCACCACCACCACCACCAACTGTGCTGCCGCCGTAGACCGAACCCTCGCCACCATGTTCATCGCTAAACTCGGGTCTATTTTTGTAATTCTCAAAATCCATATTCGACTCGGACACAAACTCAAACGGCGCAGGCGCAGTAGCAGCGGCAGTTGTTGATGTCGCCATCTTCCCAGGATGCTCTTTGCTCATACGCTTCATGTAAATGTCGCTGAAAGCAGCGCTGTCGCCGATATCGCCGTCGAGACGCCCGCGGTAGATTTCTGCGAGGAGATGCTTACTCTTCTCATGCACCATTGGCACAGTCAACTTCTGGTACAGCGCGGGGTGCCCAAATCGCACCGCGACACGGTCTCTGCGGCGGGACTCCTTGTCGATGGGGGTCGGGGCTTCGGTGCCCTTTGCTCTGGTGGTGCCTTGAGTGTAGTATTTAAGCGAGTGGTCAAAAGTGTTCTTGCAGTAGAATTTGAAGGCGATGAGACCAAGGGGCAACGGGGCCATGGCAGCCAGCATCTTCCATTTATGTTCGTAGCCGCGGGCGACGACGAGGAGAGCGACGATGCAGTTTGACAGAAAAGTGCCAACAAGCATGCGGTTGAAGAGAACGCGCCAGAATGCACCACCAGATTCATTCTTCGTGCAGAAGACGTACCTATCCCACATTAGTCAACAAACTGCGTTTTCATATTCAAATGCTGAGGACTTACATCAAGAGATACTTCTTCATCCAACTATCCAACGTAAAGTAGATGGCAACAATGACGAGGGTAATGGGTTGCAAAGGCGCAAAACACAACGCCACCGTCGAGTAAAACAAAAAGTAATTGTAATAACTCGCATAATCAAACGGCGGCGGCGCAGTCCTTGAGATGAGTTCCCTGGGCGTTGGATTCAAAAACTTGCGGGAAAAACTGCCCCACGCGAGATTCACAGCTTGCGCGAGATCAATCGCAGCACCTAGATTGCGCTGCACAAGCCATGTGACCCAAAACGGACTGACTTCACACAGCGTGCGCATAGTCGTGTCGAAGAAAGCAATCTGACGCAGGATATCCATAAACGGGACGTGTTGCTCAGCCGCGAGATTGATAATCATGACGACCATGCCAAACACGGCGCTGAAGAGCGAGAAGACGAAGAGATTGTTGAAGACGAAGAAGGCGTATAATTGCGCCGTCACGTGACGTTCTCGGCTCGTCTTTGTCAAATCACCTGCTTTGATACTCAAGCGCCGAAAGATAATGGGCAGAAAGTAGTAGAACAGCGACGTTAGAGCAGGCGCAGCGAGACCTTGTACCACGGCCCAGAAATCAGAGTGTTTTCCGAGTTCAACCTGGAATTCCGGCCACACGAAACCGAGATTGCTGAGCTTGGACAGGAAAACAGCGATGAGGGCGTTGGGAATAAAGTATAGCAGTGTCAGCAGCGTGATCCAGAAGTTGTTTACGATACGCCTCCAGCGGCGCGTTTTAGGATCCAGAGTCAGGTTCTTCCAGATGATATCCTTGGGCTTGGGAGCGAGGCGCACAGTGGTGCCCTTGACGTGTTTGCTACGGGCTGCGAAGGCGACCATGTGCGCGGAGTCGATGGTCTCGTAGCTAGCGAATCCATATGACAGAGCATCGCGCTTATCGATTGTTTCGCGGACTTCTTTGATCTGAGTTTCCAGGCGCTTGATGCGTGCTGTGAGGTAGTCGATTGCGTCCACCTTTTGCGTTCGGTCGGTGTACTCTGGGTCTTTCTTCGAGGGGGTGCAGAGTGGGCGTTCGGCGGGGAGCTTGTTCGGGTTCTTTAGGTACTTGGCTAAAATCTTCTCTAGTTCAATGACCGCTTCTTCGTGCGCCTCGATCAAGTCTGGGATATCCTTCACATTGCGTCCAACCGACGCGCGGGGCACCTCGGGCGTAGTCTTCAAGCTATCCGTGACCTCTACAATACCCTGGTCGCTCCGAAAGCTGCGGCCAATGTCCGTGATCATCAGCGTGCGTGCATACAGACTGTTTTGGTAGTCCGGGTGCTCCAGGTACTGGCGTCTCAGCCGATGTACAGCACGGTACATCCACCACAAGAAGCCGCACACAATGATGTCGATGATGTATGCCAGCACGACGAAAGCCCAGAAGACCTGACCGAATAAATCCCTGGGTGTCATCAGGAAGATGGCCTTGCTCGACATGTCTCCGTCAAAGTTCTTCTGGAACTCGACCGACTTTATTACGTTGACGGGTACTATGATGGCACAGGCGACAATGGCAAGCACAACGAACATGTTCCTGCACATGCGCGCAAAGCGTAGAAAGATGGTCGCATCGAGCCCAATCTTCTCGACATACTCGGGTTCGTTTGTCTTGAACACGGGGTGATACCACGCAAACAGTGACTTGTCCAGCGGCGGCGGTCGGTGTTTCTCGTCGGTATGTCGGAGACGGGGCGCGTAAACAATGGTATTAAAAGGGCGTAGTAGGAGGAAAAGTACGAAGATAGCGGCAGTGATGCCAAAGGATGTGCCGATAGCGATAAGGACTGAATCTTGGGATACCTGGCCTTGTCAGAGGTGCATGCAATTGACCGGGTTTTGGACGTACCGAGGCGCCCAATGGATTATCCGACATTAATTGCTCAAACTTTTGCTCTATGCTCAGGTCCCGCCGGAGCAGCGTATTCGGTAGTGGTGATGCCATGGTGAGTGTGGCGGGCACAGTGGACGTCGTGTAACGTGCGCAGCGAATGTGGTTGTAATGTGTAATGAGCGTTGTGAATGCCGTGGGTGTAGCACGTGCTGTGTGTGCACGTTGACGTACGTTCGTATCGAGGGACGATCTTGGGTCAGACAGCTCAGCGCATGTCTTCCTGCGATGATCCTGCTCTCACAGTATCTCTCTATCGGAAAGTTGGCTCTTGGTCGTATTCGATTCCCCTCTTACGGTCTCCGCAAACAAAGAAAACGTGGATGGGTATATGCGCTAAAGAGAATGAGTGTACAAAGCAGAGAAAGCCAAGAGACAAGCAGCAGTAACAGTAACAGCAACAGTAGTGAGAGATACGAGTTGTCGTCGCGTCCCTCGACGTGAAAGAGGATAGCGCAGTGCAAAGGAAAAAGGGCCGCTGATCCCTGTCAGGTCGACTGGACCGCAAGGGAAATCGGCAAGGGTCTCGGCTGGCGAGTCGTCCTGGCGTCTCAGGCACGTGCTCTGATTGGCTGCCTCGACGCGCCGTTTTAACGCCGGGTACGCGGCTCTCTCGCACGCTGGCGCTGGCGCAGCTCTGGCGGCTTGATTTTATTTTTGGCTTCTAGGCCTGGCCATGAGGATGTGCGAGCTGTTGGGCAGGGTAAAGAGGACATGATCGCCCCTTAGCACTCGGAGTAGTTTGCGGAGGAGCTTCGACTTGCGAGAATGTGCGCTAACCCTTCGCACTGCCACTCCGCTCTGCCGGCATCCATCAGCTTTGTTCAGCATCATTGAGGATGCATAAATCGATGAATGATGTGGCGGTGCGCAGGCGCCTCTTCGGATGAAGCTGCCCACTTGCTCGTTTCAAATATGCATGTTTCGGCGCATATGAGATGGGCCACGTTCATGCTTGAGATTCGTGGGCAACGTCGACTTTTATTGGGCAGAGTTGGAACGGAAGCACCGATACCCTTGTCGGTGTTGATACTGGTCGACGAGGAGAGTGGGGTGGATGAGGGGATAAGACCACAACCATTTAACTGCTTCTTTGAATCCTTGCACTCTCAGCGTGCTGATCCAACTGCAATGACTTCGAGACAAATTCGAGGTAGAGTACCTGGCTGATGATATAGGTTTCTCGGCCGCGAAAGCCTCTCGTGGGAAACCTGGAAGAATTATCGCGTTATGGAAAGCTGTTTTTCATGGATTGTACCCATCACCATAATGTGCTGTAAAAGTATGCACTGTGGTTTCTCCTTTATGATTGTAGCGTACACTACCACGCATATCTTTAGCGTCAGTTTTACGTAGGCAATATCTAGCGAATACAACTCACTAGGCCAAGCTTCTTCATAGACCGAGCATAAATACACAGGCTAACACACCGTTGAAAAGTATTCATGTAACGAATCCAATCCACATATACTACCCAGGTCCACAATCGCCACAGACATGCAAGCCAAGATCTACAAACCATCCCTCCATCTCGATTCAGAATCCAACCGCTTATTCTTTGTCGGCTCATCCAAGACTTCAGCCTACCTCGCTATATTGGCAATTGACCCTGGTACCTCTTTCTTTACCCGCCCCGAATGACTTATCACGTCAGAATCTAAACCTCTCGAATCATAGCATGTGCCTGGATTGCCTGATCATGTCGATAAGAAAAAACATCAGAAGCCAGCGAACCAAGACCCTTACATCATCATTGCTACCTCCAAAGAGACATGCTAAAGCCATCGTACAACAAGCACGGTAATTTCGCGAATGCTGATTCGCCGATACTAACGAAGGAAAAACAAAAAACAGACAAAAGTCCTAGTGATAATTGTAGTCGACATTCTTTCCTAGTATAACTTTTTATTCATCTTTCCCATCCATCCATCCCTTCCCCAACGATAGCAAGCTTGATGAAACAAATCATTCATCCAACGTCCAAAAAAAACAACCCCCAATCATAATATTTCATCTCTCTCTCCCCCCAATTCTTACGCCCCCGCCCCCTCCACAAGCCCCGCAACCTTCCTCGCCAAATCCTCCGCCTCCGCCTTGGTCTCCGCCTCGGCATAAACCCTAACCGCATCTTCCGTCCCACTCGCCCTCGCAAAGCTCCTCCCCTGCCTAACCTTCTGCACCTCCTTATCAATCTTGTCCTGCAAGCCCTCCGGACTCGTAAGTTTCCTCTCCGCATCCCTCGTCTTGAAAACATAACGATCTTTAACCAACACCTTCAAAAGGCGGTTAGGCAGATCCGAATACGTCGACAACCACTCCTGCGGTCCCCACCGCTTATGCGCCAGCACAACTTCTACGAGCAAAAAGTCTGAAAGCGCATCTCCCACGGCTTGATTGATCAGCTCGATGCACGCCCTCAGCACATCGAGCGCCTCCTTCTCCCCCGGGTTCCGGGGCTCATGGCTCGCAATCGTGGCCAACGTGTCGTGGCTAAAGATGACAGTCCCGTGGCCATTCGCTTCAAAGTAGACGCCAATGTCCAGTTTCTCAGCCGCGTGGTGCAGGTACTTGACGCCCGTGGGTGTGCAATCGACTTTGAGTTTGAGATTGTCTTCGACGTACTTTGTCGCAGCGCCGTTGGCGTAGGCCGTCTGGACGACGCCAATCTTCAGCTTGTCGGCCAGATTACTCTGTCGCACCAGGTCGCCGAGAAAAGAGGCGACGAGCGTGGCGATGCGGTCTCCGTCTAGGAGCCGGAATACGTTCTTCTCGTCTTTGAAGTAGTAGACGACGCGGTCGGCGTCGCCGTCGAGCGAGCAGCAGCGGTCGCCAGGCCCGGCCTTGGAAGAGGGAGGGGCACGTTGGTTGGTTTTTACAAAGTCTGCTCCGCACTGGGTGGGAGAAATAGATTAGCGTTATTGTTTCGGTGTGCATCTTTCGTGGACGAGAGGACTTACGTCGACGTTGAGGCTCTCAGGCTTGATGACGTTGTCGTTGATTACAGAAATGTCGAGACCGCCTTGGTCTTTGGACGGAAGATACTTGACCAGCTTGTTCAGCGCTGGCCCACCGACACCGTTGGCACAGTCCACTGTCAGACTGCCAGAAGGCTGCTTTCCCTTCAGTGCCGTCTTGAAAGCCGCACTGAACTTCTCGTAGTAGCCCTTCTCGGTTGGCTCACCGTAGGCATCCTTGGTGCCCTCGGTATTCAAGCACCGTACCATGTAGTGTAACTGCGGCGTGGTCAAGAAGCCATAGTCCTTGGTCTCGGCACCAGCGCTGTTCAAGCCGTCCTTGAGGCATTCGAGAAGCCTCGAGCCGGACGCTCTTGTGTCTCGGGCTACTACGACGCGGGCAGGCGTATCGAGGTCGATTTTGTACTGAGCGGCAATGTCGTGGTAGTATTTGGACACGTCGGCGGGGGTGGCTTGGTTAGCCATCTTGGTGCTGATGACTTCCCATTCTTCTTGGAGCATGTTGCCCATTGGCTCAACAAGCTTCACGCCGTTGTCCTGGGGTGGGTTGTGCGAGGCGGTAATCATGACGCCAATCCATTTTCCCTTGAGCGCTCGCGACCGGAGAGCCGCAATGAGGCCGACACGGGTCAGGACAGAGTCGAGGACATCTGCTTTTGTCCGGAAGCCAGCTGTTCCATACGTATACACAAGACCCTCGGGCGCAGGGTGCTTTTGCGCGGCGTCAGCGACGGGGTCGGACATGGTGGGGGGGAGGTGGATGAATGGACTGGTAGTTGATGGGGATGTTGACAATGGAAAAGATGCGAATGCTGCGTATTGTATAGCTAGCTGACGGTAGCTATGAGGCTCCTCACGACCCCGCCAACCTTGCGCACTAGCAGGGATGGTGCATGCAGGGTTGTGCGTGCCTGTTGATGATGATGCGTGCCTGACTAACACGTTTTCACCCTTCCAACTGACAAGTCCTATTCTTAGGTCTTGTATCCATCCGTTGCTGTTCGCCCCTTTGCTCGACCAGAGTGTGAGGCTGCTACTGAAACTTACTTATCCGAACGCCTGTCAAATGCCAGCATGATGATTGTCGCTTTCGCCTAAATTCTTTTTTTGGCGTGCCGTGGCCATGTCGCAATTGCGGGGTTTTGTGTTACTGGTACCAAGCGGAGAGCTTGACCGCTCCTCTTACCATGTCGTTGCAACGTGCGACAAGCAACACGTTTCCGGTGATCTGAGGTGGAGTCCGGAGCTTTGTCCGATGCTACCCGTCAACGTAGAATAACCTAGAATTTGATCACATTCTTCTACTCAGCCATCGCTCTTTGAGTGAGGCAATGGTATCATGCACCATAACTGCGCTCTAGTCAAATCCTGGAAGATGTCAGCTAGTACCACAGCCATCACCAGCAGAGGCATATGAAAGCGTTGCCGGCTTTACTGTTACTGTTGAGCATAATATCACATCACCAGTTCCAAGCAGAATGGGAAACATATCATGACACACTCGAACCGACTCAATTACCTCCACTTGCGAAATGAGACAAGGGAAGAATCAGACTACTTGAAAAGAGCCCTAGTCAATCGGAACGTGACTAGAATACCTGCTTGACAGGTAATATAAAGGAAAAAGTAGCGCCACCAAAAGTTCAGAGGTTCAAACAGTTTCCAATACAAGAAATGGAAACAGTCAAAAAGGTCAGAGGCACAAAAGGGATACAGTCTCAAGCAACTAAGACGTCCACTAGAACCCCCCCTCTCCCCTTGCTCTCTCTTTCTCTCCACTCTGCCTTTCCCTTACGCTCCCAAATCAGAAGCCCTGAGGCCCAAGCCCAGGAAACCTGCCACCAAACCCACCCGCAAGGACGCTATGGCCAGGAACGGGGCTACCAATTTCGCCCAAACTAGAAGGCATCGCAGTTGCAGGCGCACTCTCGCTGAACCTGATCTTCTCCACCCTCCCATTGTCTGCCTCCTTGTAATCCAGAGTGCCACCACCATTAGTATGTGTGACGTCAAGGATGTCGCAAGCTTCCTTCATCTCCTCCATAGACACAGCAGCAGGGTCCATGGCCCCTCTTGACGCTTCGACTTGTCTGTGCACTTCGCTTGCATCGACATAGCCTTCTGCGTCAGCGGCACGCGGGCCGAGGGTTTTGCATGCAGCGCAGATTGTGCGACGGAGCCAGACTATGCGGTGTTCATTCGCGTTGCGCTCCATTCCCCTTGCGTTGCCTCCATTCAGAGAAAATGGCGAGTTGAATATGTTGGACGTGGGTGAGTTGCCCCAATTGCCACCACCAGCAGGACCTGGATGGAAACCTCCCAAGGGAGGTGTACCCCAGATACTACCCCCACCAACGCCTGGTGCACCAAACGACCCATATTGGCTTCCGGGAATATCCGCAAACCCGAATGACGGCGCTCTTACGGAACCATGTTGTTGCATGCTCGGCCGTCGATTCTCGGGTAACTCAGGTATATCGTCATCGTCGTCCAGCAGTGCTTTACTGCCGAGGTGGTTTGCAAGATCATCTACATCGCTTCCGTTTTGTTGACCGTCCTCCTTCACACTACTTGGACGCTTGATGGGTGTGGGTCGTTGAATGGGCTGTGCTGACGGCCCCGTAATAGGGCTTTCGTTTGAAAGTCTCTCAAACGATCCGCTTCCTTGTCTTGAATGCGTCGGCATACCCATTGGAAACGCGGTGGGCATTGGGGCGGTAAAGCCAGGGGGTGCGGGAAAACCTGGTGGTCCCTCCATTGGAAACCCGCCACGACCGATTGGGAGGGCGCCTGATGTGTGCATGCCTGGTGGTGGGAAACCACGGAAGCTCTGGGGCGCAGGTTGGGGGTAGAAGGGCATATTTGGACGGGGGCCCATCATTCCGGGCATCATTGAGGTGTGACCAGGGAAGCCATTGAGACCCGGTGGCATGTTACCCATCCCGAGTCCTGGTGGTCCTTGCATACCCGGTGGTGGTCCCATGGGAGGCATTGGAGAAGCTGGCTGGCCATGGGGATTGGATAGGCCTTGCTGTGGGATTGGTGCTTTGGTCAGAATGGACCTTGGTATTGACTGATTCGGCATCTGAGAATTCGGAGATGTTGACTTGCTCGCCCCTAGAGTCGCGTGGGGAGTCTTGGGAGATGAACTGTGAGAAGTTTGGTGCGATGTCTGTCGTGGTCGGTTAGGTGTTGGAGCCTTTGGTACAGCTGGTGTGACAAGTGGCGAGGGCATTCCAGCCGACGAGTTCTGCTTCAGCAACTGGGGAGGCACCGCGACTGCTGGCTGCGACGACTTCTTCGCCGCACCAGCTATAGCATTGTGAACAGCGGCGGCGGCGGCTTGGTCTTCCTTTGCCGTACGGTTTTTGTCGACCTTTAGTTTTGAGTCGCGTTCCTTGCGCTCTTTGTCCTCTAGTGCCTTCTTCTCTTTTGCCTCTTTCTCTTTCGCTTCTCGCTCTTCACGTTCCTTTCGTTTAGCCTCGTCTTTGGCCTTTTTCTCGAGCGCTTTCTGTTCTCGTGCTTTCCTCTCGGCTTCCTGCTGTCGCTCGCGTTCTTCCTGCTGTCGTTTCAGACGCTCGGATTCCTTGCGCTGCTTCTCTTCCTCTTGAGCTTTGCGCTCGGCCTCTTTCTTCTTCCGCTGCTCTTCTCGCTTCTTCCGTTGCTCCTCGAGTCGTTTCTCTTCTGCAGCCTTGGCCTCGGCCTCTTTGGCTGCTCGTTCGGCTTCCTTCTTCGCTTCCTGCTCCGCCTTCAACTGCCTCTGCTTGTCCTTCTTCTCTTTTCGCTTCTGGGCTTCTTTTGCTTTCTTGGCCTCTTTCGCATCTTTCCGTACGTCCTCTTCTGCTAGTTCTTCGAGCAACTTCTGCTGCCTTTCTGCGGCTACCTTTTCTCGATACGCTTGGAGTACTCTTTGCTCAAACATTCGCGCTGCGAAGATCTGAAACATTCGTCGGCCCTCCTCCATCCGTTGCTCCTCAGTCATGGCGCCCTGGCAGGGTTAGTTGCAGATAGACACGCCAACTCAAGATACGCACTTCCTCATCCTCTTCATCCTCCTCATAGTCGTCGTCATCGTACTCGTCCTCATCCTCGCCCTCGTCGTCGTAATCGTCTTCGTCGGGCGGCGGAGCGTTGTGACTGTGACCGGTGTACGATCGATGCTGCGCACCTGGATGAGCCTGAACTTGAGCATCTTCCTCTCTTTGCATTCTACGCTCGGCGAGCTGCTCCATCATCTCGATGAACTTCTTCCCGTCGTTCTTGAGCAAATCGTCAGCAACCGTAAGTATGCCACCTAAAAGGATGAATCAGCATGCTCCCAGCACGGGTACAGGAAATGCATACCTTTGACCTGCAGACTGCTGCCAAACTGGAGGAAGTCTGAGGGCTCGGGCGGCGGTAGACTTGGCTCGCCGGAGCTGTAGTCACCTTCCGACGAGATCTCGCTGTCGTATTCGGAATCTTCGTCGTCTTCCTCGCCCGAATCGTACTCTTCTTCTTCTTCGTCGTCGTCGTCGTCGTAGGTGCCGGGAGGTGGATGGGGGTGGGAGTTGAGCATAGGGCGCGGGTGATGAGGAGCACTGGACGCATAACCATAATTAGCCTCGGGCATGAAACTACCGATGTCTTGCTGGTGGTGCGCGTACTGCTCGAGTTCTTCATAATAGGCATCATATAGAACCTCCAGCTCCTCCTCGATGGCTGTGCGCTTCCGGCCGCACACGGTGCAGCTGCACGAGTGCTTCTGCTGCTCCTTCATCTTGCGCAGAACCGCCTCCTTTTCGATCTTGACAAGCGACTTGCGCTCGTCCTCGCCGAGGGACAGCCAGAACTCGCGTATGCGATCCCTCTCGTCCTGCATGGTGGTGTTCCATATACGGTCCTGTCTGGAGCCAGATCGCGCGACAGAGTGGGCGGGCGACATGGAGTGTCCGGGTGCGGGGCTGAGGCGTGACGCGACGTGCTGGGTGTAGTCGAGCGGAGGAGGAGCGGAGGGCGCCTTCTTCTTCCGCCTGGACTTTTTGTTTGTGCTCCCTCGCATTGGCACGTGGCTGTAGGCTTGCTGGTAGTCGCCATTTGCGCCGTACGCGTGCTCGTACTCCTCGTCCGAGTAGTACTCCCCCTCGTCGTAGGCCGCCTCGTCCAGCTCGGGGTCCGCGTACTGCTGGCCTGGGGGAGGGGGAGGAGGAGGAGGAGGAGCACCGTTTCTCACAGGCGCAGGCGCAGGCGCAGGCGGTTCCTGTGCGGCTCTCTTGGCGGCCTCCTTCTCCCGTCGCTTCTGCTTCTTGCGGTTTACGGCGGTCGGGGTGGGATCGTGGGTCGCGGTGCCGTTGGGCGGCATAGTAGCCGGCGTCGGCCCTCGGGTGCCCTGGGCCATGTATGGGGATGGAGTGGCAGCTGGAAGACGTGTTAGAGGGCGGGCTCGCTATGTCGTTGGTGACAGCTCCGATATGGCGCGGGCAGACTAGCGTGCAGCCACCCGGGGCAGCAAAAGTGAGAGGAGGAGAGGTCAGAGGTGGAGGAGGGGCCGGCCACGCACAGCAGGGTATGCGATTCGAGTATGGGGAGACTCTTCGAGTGTCGGGCGCAGTGTCTCTTGGCTCGTGTGTCTGGCTCGTGTGCTCGGGCGGCGTCTTGCTTAGGTCATGCCGAGATGTCGTAGCCAGCCTCTTGTTGATGGTCGACGGCCCATTGTGGTACCGACGTTGCGATTCGCACCTGCCGCAAGTGCCACGTCTTGGCACCCCGGCAGCCTTCTGGAACCAAGGGAAGCTGGGAGAGAGGCTGTGCAGGTGCTCAGATTCCCATTCGTATCTCAACACCCACTCCCACACCGCACCACCACCGACGCCAGTGCACCCCGTCCCCAGTCCAGACGTCTGTAGCTTTAGCTCGCGCATGTCTCCGCCGTGATCGTCCCCAAGCTTCATTATTAAAACGCCCCCCGTCACCTCTCCATCACACCCATCCCCATTGTCGCAGAGGCATATCACCACACCACCCACCCACTCACCACCCACTCACCGCACACTCCCTCGACACACTGCTCGTCGCTAGTCTGTCGCTTCATCCTGCGCCTGCCCCCGGCCAAACCATTGACGTTTTTTGACGCCCGTTGACTCGATACCTGTCGCATCCACACCCGTCGACGCATCACTCGACGCATCACTCGACGCATTCGACGCCTTCACCACTCGCTCCGGGACACGCGCTCCGCTGACATCACACTCGCTCCCTCGCGCGGACAAGGCTACTTGGCTGTATCCTGCCCACCCGCGCATCACCGCATCCTCGACACGCACTATCCATCCTCGACCCGCAAGCCGGCTCAACAACACGCCCAACATCTTCCAACAACCTCCCGCTACCTGCGGTATTCCACCCCCATAATGGCACAACAGCAGCAGAATGGCGAGCCCGTAATGCGCAGGTACGTTTGATCTTCACTTTTTGGACCCTGGCCACATTTCACTTTAATATGTCGATCTTTCACCACCGTTTTCCCAAGTGCGCCCTTTGCTTTTTCCCCAACTCTATTTCATCCCGTCCGAGTCTCTTTCGACGACATGACTTCTGCATCCTCTGAGCATCTCCCCCCTTCGCACTTTGCATGTACGTTGCAGGAGAATATTCCGACTGCATCAACATGGGAGCTGAGGCACCCCGGCTTTTGCGCCATAGCTTGCATTGGCGCACCCGGTCCGACGACACGTCCGACTAAAAATAGGCCACCCTACAGGCTCCCCATGTCCACTTTTTATCGACTCGCGCTCAATTCTTTCTCCTTCTGGTTATCCAGTACATGCGAACCTTCTCTATCTACTTTTGGTCTTTCGGTCACGCCGACACTGTCGCACCATGACGCTCATACATTATGCCATACCCGTACAACATGCTGATCCTGTGCCTCTAGGAAGCTCGTCATCATCGGCGACGGCGCCTGCGGAAAGACGAGTCTTCTGAGCGTCTTCACTCTCGGTTACTTTCCAACTGTAAGATCCCCAAACACGTGACTTGCCTTTGCAAAGTATCTTCCTTTTCTGACTTAGACAGCGCTACGTCCCAACCGTCTTCGAAAACTACGTCACCGACTGTCGAGTAGACGGCAAATCCGTGCAGCTTGCCCTCTGGGATACCGCCGGCCAAGAAGACTACGAGCGCCTGCGTCCCCTCGCCTACTCCAAAGCGCACGTCATCCTCATCGGCTTCAGCGTCGACTCGCCCGACTCCCTCGATAACGTCAAGCACAAGTGGGCCGAAGAGGCGCGCGAACGCTGTCCCACGGTGCCCATTATCCTCGTCGCTCTCAAGAAGGATCTCAGAGACGATCCGTTGGCCCAAGAGGAGATGAGGAAGAAGAGTCTGAGGTTCACGACGACAAAACAGGGCACGGATATGAAGGAGATGATTGGTGCGAGAAAGTATCTCGAGTGCAGTAGTCTGACGGGCGATGGCGTTGATGATGTCTTTGAGGCTGCGACTAGGGCCGCGCTGTTGAGTGTGGATAAGAAGGAGAATCCGGGGTGTGGGTGTGTTGTTCTTTGAGAGGGTTGGGACTTGGGGGCATGGGAAAACACGAGATGGTGTTTTTCTTCTCCTGGTCTCTTTGTCTCTCTCTCTGTCTCTCTTTGCTTCCGCATCCTGATCTCCTTCTGCTTCTGCTTCTTCTTCCATCACACATCACTGCATTGGGCGGAGTAAACAACATGGAGTTGGCGATATATCTTGGGGTTTAACTTCAATTCTTTTCTGTTTTTTTTTGTTTGTTTTTATGTTTTTTACATCTTTTTGAGCGTAGCTGCATTGTAACCTTTCGAGTTGGAGAGAAGGAAAGCTATGCTGGCTTGTTGTGTGTAGCACTGGGGGCGACGAATTAGGGGCTCAGAGTGAGGAAAAACTCAAGACTGCTCTCTCTTCCTTTCTTTCTACCTTTCTCTCTCTTTCTCTCTGCTTGGCCCCGGAAGATGATTTGCGATGGAGAAAGAACGAGATTTGCGAGTCCTACTATATCTGCGATGTTGGCTAATGATTTGACGAGAAGATCCGCCAACTCCTTCCACTCCTTCCCTCACCTTACAAAGTTGTACATTCCAAGGGGTCGCTGTATGCGTCTAGAAACGCGCTGCTCTAGAATAGCGACATGTAGTAGTCTGTTTAGCAGCAATCGACAGCTAAACCATTGAACTTGTTTCCCGCTCATCAATGTAGCGTCATATGACATTTTGGCCGCGTGGACGTGTGGATAATGTGGTGATACAATGTGCCTTGTAACTCCAGATTCCCGGGGGTGTGGAGGCTGTACGATATATGTTTACACATTTTGATCAAAAAACGTCCCCCCTCAAAAAACCTTCATAACCCATGAAAACCAGCAACAACAAAAACAATGCAATGAACAGCATTTCTCTACTAACTAATTCCTAACCCACGCATGATTCCACCCCTCCCTCGGCGGAAAATCCGTCTGCACACGCCCATACTCGACCGGCACACTACCCCACACCCCCCTCTTGAGCATCGCACTACGATACAATCTGCCCACCTCTCTTCCTTTGCTACCCAAACGACTCGGATCGGCGCCCTGTCCGCCCGCCTCGTCCTGGCTGACGAGGTTGCCGTTGTTGTCCATGAGGCGCAGGTGCTCGCACGCAGACCGCATGGCCATGTATTGGCGTTCTAGCTCGCGTTCCTCGGCCCAGCGCCGCTTGCGTAGGAAGAGGAGCCAGGCGCGGTGGATGGTCCAGTGGCGGAGGGAGCGGTTGCGCGAGAAGTGGAGGGGGCGGGGGGTGAGGGGGTGGGAGAGGTGGTAGCGGATGTTGGCTGTGGGGGAGGAGATGTGTGTTAGCTTCTTCTTCTCCTTCTTCTTCTTTTGTTGCTTTCAACTTGGTGTTGTTGTTACTCTGATTGGGGGGGATTTGCGCGAAAGAAGAGGAGAGGGTGATTGCTTCGCGAGGTGTGGAGGTCGGCGTGGGGGACGTACTTATTCTGGGATCGTTTCCGGGGCCTTTTTTACTCCTCTTCTGCAGGCACGGTGTTGTGGAAAAGGTTGCTCGTTGCGGCTTGGGCGGTTGCCGACATGTTTGTTGTGCGGTGCGTTGCCAGATGTTGGTTGTTGATTGTGATGGCGGTGTTGTTTTGTAGGGCCGGAAGACGGGTCGGAATATCGAGAGATTCATGGTTGCTGCGGGGATTGTGTGAGGCGCAATGGCGGCTTTGGTGGTTGCGATGTTGGTGACGATGGTCGAGTGGAAATTCGCGATGCGCGGAGAGACCCTTGTCTCGCCAAGAGGAGCTAGTGGGGTGGGAGAAGACGCCCTGTTGCAGACATCGTGGCGCATCAACACCGGATGTCGTATAATTTATCTGATTACCGATGGGACTATTGGTGTTACTCGGATGCCTTGGAGGTGCTCGTATTAGTTGATGATGATGGCTTCGCCTTCTGCTACCCAAGAACTACCTGGAAACTGTCAAAAGTAGACCGTGGTGGGAAGCGTCGAGCCTCCGTCGTCGCGGCTTGGGAGTAAAGTTTGAAGTGTTTCCTGTCGTTCTCTGCAGCTTCAGGAAACAATAAACATCCCGGGTTCGTAGAACGACGTATTACCGCGCACATATCGAGAGCCGCCTCTATTGCTATCGCCTAGAGGCATGGGTGTAGTAGGATTTCACTCAATCACCAACAACCGTGGTACAGCGGCGACCCAGAACTAGGAAGCCACTCACAACGTCTCAAATTACAGAACCTTCCGAATGTCAGTCTTTGGAAATTCAAGCAACCAATATATAAGATACAGAATTCTTTCTTCGTCTCTCAAACATTCTCAAGTTCTACATCTCACCAAGCTGCCTGCCAGACGTATACCAAAGCTACTACTGCTTCACACACTTTCCACTACCACATCTATCCAACTTGCGACAACACAATCCACCAAAATACCGCCTCACCAGCATTATGCACCTCACCACGTGCCTCTCCGCCATCACGGCGGTCCTCACGATGAGCCTCCCTACTGTAAGTCCCTCTCCATCATTATCTCCCTACCTTCATCCCCCAGCTCCTTCTACCTTGTAGATCCGTCTCACCCTCACCTTGCACCCATATACCAAACACCCGCAATTAATTCCATGTAGGCTCTAGCAAACGACCATAAACTGAGCCACGACTGCAGCATGTACCACGACGGCGCAAAGCGCTGTGCGTATTATCTCGGTTCCGTACAGATTTGCGAGGGAGGTAATTGGAGGTTCTGGGAAGGTTGCAACGGCAGCTGGTATTGTGGTGATTATGATGGGCTGGGGGTCAACGTCACATGTATTCCTGATGAGTATTACTGGGAGGAGCATGGGTTGAAGCCAAGCGTAGAGCCTTATCAGTGATTTTTTTTTGAACTGTAACTGTAAGAGGGGGGCTGTGAACATTGCGCTATGGATGGCAAGGCTCGCGGACTATGCATGGGGTGGGACTTGGGGACGTGGATGGGTTGGAGATGGGCATAAGTCGAGATGGGGGACATGTTTCCCGATATCGGAAGGTGGATGGGTCGCTCGGTGATACTTGGGTGGTAGACTCGATTAATTGATATTGCAAGTATCGTTGGGTTTTTCATCCTTGGTAGGGGGCGAATATACGTATGCCATACGCTGTACATTCAGTAAACGAGTGGATTAATGGCTCAGTACCATCGTCATTTCTACGCTTTCCCATTCGCATATACGATGCGTCATGAACTCATGCAAGTAACATCATATGCGAGATTTTTCAACGACTTCACGCTCTCATCGCTCCATACGCTAGATCAGATCTCGATCGAAATCTATCGCAAGGACGAGTAACATATGTGATCATAAATCAGATCTCTGGGTGCAAGTAATCTTGAAGAGGGGACTCATAGTCATTGCGGATGCTTACCATATTATCTGCCAGATCGTTTAGTCACTAGTAACCTCTTTCCATGGTACAGCCACGCTCTTTTAGTAGCAAGCCATTTGTCACATAATACCAAACATGGCCTATGCCGGGGCAAGTAGTGGGCGTGTTCATTTCTAGTCTACTCGGTAGAATTACCCATACATCTCAAGCCATCCGTGATCGCAGGCAAGCGAAATCCTGCAATCTTATAGTCATCTCATTCGTGGGCGACAAGTGCGCTGCTTCATCGTGTTCGCCAAATTACTTCATACATATATTCACCCCGCACATACTACACACTTAGGTCCCCTGTAGCCCCTACTGTACACGTTTACGCAGAATTTCAATATTGGACATACCGCATCCGTGGGAAAATCTTGCTGGGACACGTGGTATCGCAACAACCCTTTCTCAACAAGCCACTCACAACGTCTACAAGTCTCAACAATCCTAAAGAAACAGACCCTGGATACATCTACTCGTAATGATCGTTGAAACATAATTGCAATGGATTGAAGGCATGGAGAATTCGCTACGCTAGTGGATGTGGCAAGCACCAGTAAGGGCACGGTAAGTACCAATAAGGGTGCGGTAAGTACCAGTGAGGCCAGGTAAGCACCACTAACAATACATGAGATTGCAGCTTCTCACAAATATAAATACCCGCTGTTTCGTCCTGATCCTCCTCATCTCCCCAGCTCCTCATCTCTTCAACTCTACATCTCTCTTTTTTGCTTCTAAGCTTCAGTCCCTCATCACTGCTTTCAAGCTACAGTCCCTCATCACTGCTCCGAAGCTCCAGGGAGAAGCCTGATCACCGCCTAGCAAAGAACAGGTTACGTTTCTCTCACTATCTCATCGTCTTCTTAATGCTAACACAACTACAACTACAGGCCTACAGCTAGGAATCTACAACTACATCTCCACTACCACAGACCGACACTTACAACCAACGTATCCTTCCCATCGCACTAATACATTCGTGTCTCTTCTTCTCCACGATCATGAAGTACTCATGCCTTCTCGTCGCCGCCTTGGCCTCACTCATCACCACCGTAAGTGTTCTCCTCTCCTCAGTCAATCCACAGCCCGCTATCATCATGCTAATCCCTATCTCAACCCTCAGGTCGTCGCCCACAAACCTAGGGGTTTTGATGACCCCTGGGGCTGGAAGCCCACTGGACCAAGATGCAAGTACAACGAGAAAGGCGTGTACGGCTGCTTTGGACAGAAAATTAGCCAAGAAGAAAAGTACCCCGAGGATGCGAATGAGCTCAACAAGGTGCCGGAAGGCGGGCGATGGCCAGGCACGCCAGGGGGCCATGCATGAGTTACTGTCGCAATCGCCATTTTGACTTGCATGGACAACTTGATCGTCGGTGTCGCCAATGGATACAAGTACAAGATGCGTTATGGATATGCAGCCAGTGGTTTGCGGATATGGGTAATGAGGTTCGCGGATGGACACGCCAACCACCGCTGAGCATGGATTCATAGAGTCTTCATCGGATCGAGCCTATAGCTGAGTCCTGATAATTCACTAATCGAATCACGAGGTTCTTCATTACCTTGGCTTGAATGGAGATATATTGATGTCGTGATTGCGTTGCATTGAATGATATGTCCTTGTGCGAACCATGCTTCTCGATCGGAAGTCGCTTGAATTTCGACACTTGAATCGTTCACTTGAACATAGTGTCGATCGATCCAATGAGGACTATATATGTATATCGAGGATACGGCTGTTTTTTCTTCTCTATATTCAACGACGTCTGCATAGCTACATCAGCATCTCCGAGCACCTGCTATTACACAGCTCTCAGAGACAGACTTTCTCCAATACTGACACGAGCAAGTTAACCATGCGTCTCGTCTCTAACATCCTCCTTTTCTTGACCGTTGCTCTCCTCACATTCGCCAACGACTTTGACGAATGCAAAGTGGGGGCAAGGATGTGCTATGGGGCCGCTCCCAAGGAATGCAAGAGAGAAAACTTTATCGCCCCCGCAGTATGGGAATTCGCGGAGGATTGTGGGGATGGAGAATGTAACCCAGCCGACGGAAAATGTCATTGGCCAAACAAGTGAATCGCCAAGAACGATAAGTCTGGTTGGGGAACCGATAATTTGGGACTGCCGAAAGAGTGAGCTGACGATTGTAGGTTAATTAGGAAGAGGGCAGCTGTGGTTCTCTGGGCGATAAGATATGGGGGAAATGAAGTCTGTATCATACCTTGGGACTGGTTTGGGCTTCAAGAATGGTTTGGAGGAATTTGGAATGCTGGGAACTCAGAGGCATGGTGGAAATGGAATGTGGCTGTCTCTCATGGTTCTACCTGTACCGTGACATATTTGTGAATTTTAATTTGGTGCTTTTTGTTAGCCATTAAATACGTGTTAGGGGCTTAGCTTGTGTGAAATCTGATCGAGTTTCTTATTGCTTTGGACAAGTACCATAGTTTCCAGGTGGTTTGATGTTATGATTGATTCGATTGTGTTGTAGGTTACTTTGAAGGCGACATGAGTTCTTCACACTTGTCCTCTTCACATACGAACATTCACTGTACCTCTGAACCTTTCTCTGAGGAGTATATAACCTGTGAGCCGCTCCTATACTCCTGATTCTCCTCCTCCACCACCACCACATTTATATCACCGCACCAGCATCTTAATCACAAGATATCTCTCTGCCACCTAAACAAAGAGCGAAAACAGTACGACTACGATGAAACTGCTCACCTCCTCCATCTTCACTGCTCTGACTTTCCTATCTCTCACGCTTCCTACCCTCGCCAACGGCGGTCGTAAGGACTGTAAAGAGGGCGAGAGACGATGCTCACCCGCTAAAGACAACACCGTTCAGCAATGCAAGAACGGGAAGTGGGAGTGGGTTGAAACATGTTATGATGTCTATGTTCCCTCTGTGTGCGACGTCGGCGGGTTCTGCCGTAAACACTATCCAGCCGTGCCTCCTACTTAGGTACGTTTAGTTCACAGATTTACGAATTGAAGATAGTCCGCAGAGTAGGCTAACGAAGGGGACTATTATAGATCAGAGGTATCGGGAGCGATTCGGTATGAAGGGTCATGAAGTGGGGAAAGATGGCTGGATGGATCTTTTGGGCGCAAGAGCTATAGTCCTTCACATGACTGGCCATGAAGTGATGTATTGAGAAGCGATGGAAGTGAATCATTCGGAGTTTTTCTTAGTAGTTTGTTGACACTTCGGTAATATCTTTTTTAGTTTACTGGTCGGCATTCACAATGAATACAATTTAAATATAATATAGAATACCTGCTTCTAATGCGACTACAGACACCTACTTGTTGTGATCCGGGAAAGGATTCGTTCGTGAGTGTTTATATTGTAGTAGACAATCCAACTCTATTAGCATATCTAGCAGTACTGGTCAATCTCTTGGTCTACACTTTCGACTAGGAACTCAGCAGCAACTTCCTCATCGAAGCGACAGGAAGCAACTGCGTCTGCGTCGAAAATACCGCCAAAGCAGCAACAGTCGCAGAGAAGACATAGCCGACGCGTCTCCAATCAACCAGGTTTGCTCCCTTCTCATCATCCCAAAGATCGCTGTGCGGCCGGTTTGGCATCGGCAGCGCTTTGATATGCGTACCCCCACGTGAGGTGTCACAAAGCACGTCGATCATCTTCTCTGCATGGTATAGTGGCACGATATATCTTGCTATAAATTTCGATGTCACAGTGTCCATGGCCTGTACACTTTGTTGGGCGTGAGAGAACTTCAGGAGAGCGGTCGCGCGGTCAACACGGAGGCTTTGAGTTGTTTGAAAAGCTTTGACGAAGTCGGCGTCGGTGATGCTTTCGCCTTTGCGGTTCAAAAGAGCGTGAAGTTGGTCTGCGAGAACTGCGGCATCTTCGATTGCGCTGTTTCCGCCATGGCCGCTGATAGGGTTGAACTACGAGACATATCAGTCTGATGATCCTCCCTTAACTTTGTTAGACTTACTTTGTGGGCGGCATCGCCAATGGTCATGATACGATTGTAATGCCATTTACTAAACACCACCTCTGGAAGAGCTTGTAGGGTCGATGTTTTGCGTAACGCATACAGTTCGCCGAACGTCAGAGTATCTGTGATATGATCGGACGCATGTTCCGCTACCAGCGCGTCCTCTTGATCCTTCGTGTAGCGCGGGATCTTGCCATAGGCCGTCACCGGAAGCTTCTTGAACAGAAACCAGTAGATGCGGTGATCTGGTCCGGTCAAGACGAGGTATGAATTGTTTCGACCTTGTACATTTTGTGTCGAACAAGGGAATTTCTCGCTTGGTCGGGATATGCCGAAAATGCAACAGTATTCTGTTGGTATCGATCGATCGCTGACAGGGAAATATCCGGGTGTTTCTTGATCTGCCAGTCTCCACATCTCCTCGCGCACTGTGCTGTGAATACCATCCGCGCCAACAAGGATATCACCGTGGTAGGTTTCCCCGTCTGCGGTGACAACTTCAACCCCGCCAGTAGACTGCCTGACCTCGGTGACTCCTTTGTTGGTGAGGACCTTCGATTTGTCAGGCAGCTTATCATATAGAACCTGGATTATCATCTGACGGTCCACGAAGACCGGCGAATATCCAAAACTGTCCACATCAGCTTCAAGACAATGAGGTCATGCAGACGTTTGTAACTCACCGCTCGGTTATGCGTTTGTTGGCTCCTTCAAAGAGTAATACAACCTTGCCATTGTCGTCCCTCTGAGTCAATAGCTCACCAGCATCCACACCCTTGAGTAAAGCTTTGACATCGTCAAAGCAATCAAACTGATCGAAGATACGAAGGCCATAGGGAAGTATACCAATACTCGCACCTAGATCAGGAGCAATCTTTCCATACTTTTCTAAGACCAGATAGTCTATTCCAAGCTTTTCGAGGATATTGGCCAAAGTGAGTCCAGCAACGCTCCCACCGGCTATGAGAACCCTCCTGTGCTTCTGGGATGACATGATGAGAAGCTCAAGAAACTGGTGATGTGAGACGTTGAGACGAGAGAGAATGTGTTGCACAGCGATCTAATCTTTTGAAACACACGACAGAGCTATTTAACATAGTGTTCTCGTGCTGTTGACCGAAGAAGGTCCGACCTTCCAATCCCTCTACCTTTGCCCATGCCTATACAGTAGCTTCACATCTAACATCTAGAGACGTTCCAAGATTTGACTCGTACGAACTCAACATAAGGAATCAGTAATCAGCTATTCGTCCGTCAACTTGGCCAATCAAGCGTAACCAGAACCTAGTATCTCTTAATCTATCGATCGGGGATTCTAGCCGGACAGAGTGAAGTGGAGTGAAGTGGAGTTCGGAGCCGAGCTTGGGGTCAAGACCTTGGCTTTGCATGGACCCCACGTTTATCGGAATGTCGCAAATCCCGAGCACAAACAGAGCAACAGAGCCGATGGCGACACCCAGCCTGATAGCAAAGGCTTGGTGTTGGCTCTCATTGATTAGTTGTGAACTCGTTGTGTACCCAACGATACTCTGATGTAAATCTCGCACGTCTTTATCTCTTGAAGCATGTCGTTCGTTGGTGTGCCTCAGCTACAGCGGCCATGATATGCGAGTTTCAGCTTGATGACGTAATCACCGTTGATCGACAAGCGCGATTAGGTATGGACGCGACCACCGCTCGTTACACGCGTTTCAGTACTCATGCATCGCAATGCCGCCCAAGAAAGGTGCGTCTTCCATCTGGATTCCCAGCAATCATCAAGTCGACGTGACTAGCTGCCAAACGCAAGGCGAGCGATGATGACATAGCCGGTCGTAACGCGGCCACCGCCAAGAGAGTCGCGCTCGAAAATGAGAAGTTCGTTACACGTAGAGAATCACCCTATGAGGCCAGAATAGGCATAAGAAACTTGTTCACCTCGGTCGTTGAGAATGATGCCAGCCATCAGGACTCTGACGAATCGGACTCTAGCGCATCGGACCTTGACGACTTTGAGATCGACGATGGTTACGAGAAAGCGATGAAGGTAGAAGAGGAGTATGAGAGAAGCGTTGAGAAGGCGCATAGATATCTAGCCATCAAATTCAACCGCGAAGAGGAAATCCAAGCGGGTGATGTGCGGGGCCAATGGGACCTTTATTCTCCCAACTTGTTGGATCTTCGCGAGTCCGAGCACCGAGGAGAGATACATCATCACTTTCATCAATGGAAAACAGGTAGTTTGGTCATCGGAGATCACACCAACAACACTGTGCTCTCTCCAACGGATGTTACCGCGTCACTTTCTCTTACCGGCTTTGAGAACGATTGGCACGTTTCTCTCGATGTCCCGAAACTGGCGTCCTTGGACTTAGTACCTCTCACAGGTGTCCGCAAAAATTACACAGGGTCCGGAAACGCGGAGGCGCGACTTGGCATATCGTTTCTCGGGAACGGCTATTTGAAGATGAGGATACCAGGCATATACAACCGCGGAAAGAAGCAGTGGAGAAGACACATCACGTTGTATGGCGTGAATCGGACGTTTCCTCCACGCGAAGAGGAGAGTCCGGAGCCTTTACCGCGAGAAGAAACCCTGCCACGAATAGGGCTAGTACAGCCTGCGCCCGTAGATGAGGAATCCAATCAACCTGTTGCTGGCCCTAGCGGAGAAGTCCTCTCTCAAGACGAGCAGCTTTTGAGGCGACGGCTATTGGAAGACCTAGATGACAGCTTGTTTGTGGACTGGCCCGATGAAAATTAGACAACCGAACAGCGTCGGATCTATTTGCAGATGGCAGTTACTGACCAAGCATACGCGTCGCGCCGCGAACCATCGTCTTCAACTGGTGTCAAGCCCAGTCTCAATCGTTACCGTACCACATGGTACCAGCTTACGTGTCGCAATCTCGACCAATTAAAACTCCCCGGATAAAGACGAGATTCCATTGACATGCACGTGGGCGGTACTTTCAAGCATCGGAACTCTGGAACCAAGAGATCTCCACACACCGCCATTACCAGGTGTTCGAATTGGAAAACACCAGATCGTTGTTGCCAATCTACCATGTCAACACCTCCTCGGTGGCCGATATGGCAAACGTCTCAACGGCTTCCTCTTGAATAGGTCGTCTTCCCTGCCATGGCCACCGATAATCATTGGACCAAAGCTCAAACGTCGATCAGACTTATCTGCAGACAAGCATCAGCGCTTATGTTTCTTATCGACAGTTGCGGGGCCTTCCAAGGGTGTTTTGGCCCCCATGGAAGCTGACGACTGATCAATGGGGCGTCTTCAGCCTTGCGCTTGCTGCCTGCATGATTGTCGAAATATTTAAACTTGGGAAACTATCCAAATTTGACGTCTCGTAGAACACAGCCTTCCCAGACGTGACTAACGCGAGATCTACATCGATAGCCTATCGAAGATGAGCTGCGAAATGAAGGACGGCGGGTCTTATGATCACACGCAGGACAATGACGAACTCTACGATGATCCGGTCAAGCAAGATGAGCCAATCACTGATACAGGCGACGTCGGAGATTGCATGATCGATATCAGCAGCTCCAGTCATCAAAAGGAAACAGTAAAGATGAAGAACGATCTACAAGATCCGATAACAACCCTAGGGTCAAACATGTTTGCGCAGATTGCAGAGCTCTCTCAATACAAATTCGAGCGCGCGAAGGCTCGGCAATGGGCGACGAGGGACATCTGCTTCTTGGTCTATGATGACTCAGATGTCAAAATCGATGGATTTGACAGCGACGATGAGGAAGCGCAACAGGAATACGCACTACAGATGAGCTTAGGAGACAGCGGTACCGCAGCATCAGAAGGACCAGACAAGGCCCAGCGCTCAGAATACGCCAACGACTCATGGAAAGCCAAGTGCCGTGTATGTGCATGGTATCCCGAATTTCCGCATAAATGGAAGCCTCGAAAGTTTCGCCTGGTCAATCCGACCGTGGATCACCCAGCGTGGTTTGATCGGGGCGAAAAGCACAACATCGCATCGATCGATATATGTATGCATTATGTTGCTGTGTCATACTGTTGGCCGCCGCGAGACGACAAGCCAATTCCAAGAAGCTACACGGTTCGAGATCTCGACGGGCGTGTTCGCGCTAGTCGTGCTCTTGATGATATCTTGGATCGTGCTGTCGATTTCGCCAACTCGTGTGGCCTTCGCATGATCTGGATCGACCAAGAGTGCCTTCCTCAACCGACTGAGGCCAGTGCAAAGGCAGATTGGGACATGCAGGAGCTTGGAATACAGTCGATGGACATTGTGTACAATAGGGCCATGTACACGGCGGGCTTACTCGATGTCGAAATCACTTCACAGGAGCAGCTCGACGCAATCCAGACTGTACTAAACGCCGATCGGGTAATGACACAAGGAACTATGAGTCTTCGGTACTGTGAACATATCATCCGTCTCCTTCATGAAACCTGCCAAGACAGATGGTACACCAGGGCGTGGGTCATACAAGAGGCCATTTGTGCAGGAATGAAACTGGTACTAGCATTTCGACACAGCCCTGGCCTAATATTCCCATCAAAGTTCCGATATGGGTATAAATGTGAGGTGGAAGATCGTCCATACCATTCGCTTGATGACCATGCGCGTGGACTTGACTCCACGCTTGCATGTGTTTCCCTGACGGAATTCTGGCGGATCCTCAAGGTCATGCGCAATGTCCTCATACGAGACTTTCATACTGTAGGATCAATGCTTGTGAGCTCTGAGTACGCGCCAGCGGAAGCATGGCCAGGCGCTCAATCGGTGCTCCAAGCAGCGGAAGCTCTCCATCCGAGAACGGTGAAAGCAAATACACTTCAACAGGTTATGATGACTTATAGCGAGGGCCAGTACGGCAAGCGACCTACGATCAATGCCGCAGGAGCCCTAACTCTACTGAAGCATCGCGAATGTTATTTTCAGTCCGACAGACTCGCTATAATAGCGAACATGTGCGACTATGATTTCCGGCTCGACACAAAAGCTGTTGGCAACAATTGTCATTCCCTACGCCTCGCTATATTGGCATTAGCGTTGAACAATGGCGACTTATCTCTGCTTGCGCCCGAGGCATATCCACCACCAGATGAAATCTATTCAGGTGATGCTTACGCTGGTCATGCATCAAACTCGCTCTTGTTCCAGAGCTTTTTCCTGGAGGCTTCCCGGATCGAGCACTGCCAAGTGCGCGACTTTCTCAACGTCAGGCTTCAAGGAGTCGTGCCTGGTAGCGTTACTCCGGATGGACTACTTCTGAACGCATATCTGTGGTCTGTGAATCACGAAGTTGACTTTACAATCATTCAATCGACATGGGCTGATGCCTGGGAATCACTAAGATGCTGGAGAATGTTCATAGACCGTCAAAAGAGCGAGACATGGGAACAATACAATGCACGGAATGGGATAATTTTCCAATGGTTCTCACAGCCAGGCGTATCCGAACAAGCTTTAAAAGATTTTCGAAAATTCGGTCATGTTCCAGATGATTCAGCTCTTTGGAAGGGCATCGATCATCGCGGAGTACAATTAATACGATACGTCGATTGCTATCGTGTGAAGCAAGTCCCAGCAATGCAGGACCTTATTGCCCGAATAATCTTCGATATTCTCAGATACACCTTGAACGCGTTCGATGATAGAGCGTTGGCGAGGGGCCTAGCTACAAGTATCTGGCAATCTGTCCGAATCGACCAAGTCCCAGGTTCAGAGGACCCACTGCCAGATGAGGTTGGTGATGCTCTTTTTGACCACGCTGACGTTCTGGAACGTCCATTCGCCACTTTGCAGCTTGAAGAGACACTCGACAAAACTTTTGCGCAGTTATGGTTTGTCGATCGGATCATGGAGACGGGGAGGCTGTGGTGTGGAACATACATACCACCAAATTCAAAAGACTCCGCCGCCTCGGGAGTCCATCCCAGTCATGAATCTACAGCCGAGGTGAACTTGGAAGTAGGAAAGGGATTCGAAAAATCACCCGCAAAAGAGTCCAGGTCGATCATAAGGAAACAAATTGTGCGGCATATGTTATTTACACAGATGCAAGCCACTACCGCGATTGAAAAGCTACCTCTAAATTGGAGGTGGCCAATGATTGTGCTTACCGAAGTGGCAGCAGACAGGGACTATCATTCCGCCTCTGGGGAAAGGCGACGCAAGGAAACCCTGCTGTCTACCTTCGACGTGGATGGGCCATGCCAAGTGGCTACACCATACAATCCAGACTGGGAGGTACTTCCGCGCCCAAAGCTTCGCAGCATGAGAGTATGCTGGGTCGTTGAGCAAAGAAATCACGGTGGTGAGACGACTGTTGCAACTGTTGAGGCGAAGAAACCACTCTCAGGCACATCGCTGGCTACGCCGCCCTCCTACCATCCGGCCGGAGTAAAAGCAAAAGGAAAGAGTAGAGCGACTGAATCCTTGCCAGAGGAGAAGTTCACTGATAACGTTGATAGTTCCGAAGCGACTGAGCGCTTCGGTAATCAGGGTGTCAGTTTACAAGTACTTCGGAAGGTGAAAGGGTTGTGGCAGATTATGGATCTTCCCTCCCAGGACTACTTGTTTAGTTAGTGACTCGGATTGCGTGAAGGTGTAGAGTGATTTCGACAGTTTAGTCATCGCTAAGGCGTAACAAGTAGTTTTGCAGGTTCTTGAGATGCGACTTGAAACCATGGCCGATGCAACCTACTGATTCCGACCTCCAGCCCCGCCTATTCACGCGCAGGCGCGCCATGTACAAACGCACGCATCTCACGTCTGGCCAATAAGAAATTTGGTGTTTTTTCTGTACTCGAACAAGCGCACGGATTCGCGACGCTAAACCAAAGCCATGACTGGAGCCGGCACAGCGGCCTGCGCCTATGATTGAGACATAGGAAGAACGTGCAGACGGCCTAGTAGTGGCAACTTCTTTTGAGATTAAGAGATGTTGAAGAGACCGCTTGTTTACAAGTAAAACAGCCCAATCAAGTACCCGGGTGATTATGCGTTCAGTATCCCGGGCCGAACATGCAGCTCTGAATACCCTTTTGGTGTCGCATCCAGTCCTGTTTGTCTATGTGCATGCGTGGCGTGGTACAGACTTACGTGTTACGCTCACAGCCAATGAAACCCCTCGCGTACAGACAAACGATAATGTGATGCAGGGTGAAAGCCATTGATGATAAAACTTGGTCATCATCCCCTGATGGTCTTTCGATTCATCCGCTGATACTGGGATGACGCGAAGCAGAAGAGCCATTAACGACAGTCGCAACCAGTACCCCGATCGAACGTAACTGAACCTCCCGAAGGAAAGCCATCAAGGATATCAGAAATCCCGTTTTCAGTAAACAACGACTAGTCGTCAAGTTCTCCGCAACAACGTTAACACCATCATCCTGTCCCCGCACTCACTTTGCGCCACCCCACAGCCATGGATGTATGCAAAGATGTCGACAATTACATGCAGTACATTCAACAGCATAGGCGTGTTCTGCAAGACGCTAAAAAGAGACATGGTCAGCGTCCGCACGATCGCAAAGACAGACACGTAATGTTGCTCGAGTTCATGATGGTGTCAATGAGTACCACACAAAGGACTGGAAAGAAGGACACACAAAACATACACTCATCGTTCGTTCCACCAGCATATCCACCTTGCACTACTGGACTCAAAAATCTCAATCCTATCAAGATCGAAGATTTGAGGCTTGAGACACATCACCGTGGCAGATTCCTTCTTCTGCGAGTAGTCACACCGCCAAATCGTATGACAGGGATCCTCGTTCTGGTGGAGGATGAATACGGAGATGTTGTGATACTGCAACTTTACCAACAAGAAGATGAATCCAGCCGCCCAGCTACCAGCGTTGTCGACAAAGGCATCGTCCTCATAGTAAAGGAACCTTTCTTCAAAGTCACAGCATCTGGAGACTACAGTCTGCGAGTGGATCATCTTTCGGATATCGTGTTCTTGAACCGCGACGATACTAGGATTCCACAGTCGTGGCGGCCGCGGTTATTAGAAATCGGAAGATGCGCAAATACATTGAAGCTTGAAGGCAATGCCCATGTGGGAAAGGGAGAGTACTGGCAGGCGATCGAGAAGTAAGTGAAACCTATGATAAGCCAGTAGCTACACTAACAACTTTGCCAGGTACTCAAATGCCTTAGTGCACTCATCTGCGCCGAGCGAAATGAACGTAATCAAGCGAAATAGAGCGCTGGCATATCTCAAAACCAAACAATACGACGCCGCATTGTCCGACACAGGCTTCCCTGAGTTCGGTGAAGAAGCCTCAGAGAAGGCATTGTTTCGTGCAGCGGAGGCTCTATATTATCTCAGACAGTATGGAGACTGTTACGAAGTGCTTGAACAGCTATGCAAACTCTTCCCGTCCAATCATGAAGCAATTGCTGCCCTGACGCGTGCCAGACGTCGCTGCGACGAAGGTAGTACCGGGCAATTCGACTTCAAGCTCCTCCACGCCGAAGCAAAGAGGTACAGCCCACCCCATCTAGATCACGCTACGTACATCGGACCAGTTGAGGTTCGGGAAGTGAGTGGGAAAGGTCGTGGCTTATTTACAACCAAGCCCATGGAAGCCGGGGATCTATTGCTGTGTGAGAAAGCTTTCAGTCATGCTCACGTTGATGATGGGGAGAAAGGTAATGCAAATATCACTCTCTTGGTGAATGTAGAGACGAATAGAGCTTTCATGGGAGGCCAAGCGGATCTCATCCAATCAATAACGCAAAAGCTCTACAAGAACCCATCAATGGCTCTCGATTTCACTAATCTGCATCATGGCGATTACAAGGCGGTCGATGTTCAATCCGTTGATGAACAACCTGTAACCGACACGTAAGTGTACCTTCCATGCGATGAACTAGCAAGTTTGGTAGACTGACGCTAAAGTTTCCCAGATTTCTTGTCGAACGAACAATGTCTCTCAACGTGTTCGGCTGCCCGGTCACGACACTGAAAAGCCACACAGAGGTGACTTCCAACAACTTCTCGAAAGAGAATGCCAACTTCCATTCATGTGGCATCTGGATTAAGGCCTCGTACATCAACCACAGTTGTCTCGGCAATGTCCGTCGCTCTTTCATCGGGGATATGATGATAGTGCGCGCGGCCAAGGACCTAGATGTTGGCACAGAACTGATGTTCCCGTATGAAGCACCAGAGGGTATCTATACTTCAAAGACCGAGCGAAAGTTCAAGAACTGGGGCTTCGTGTGCACGTGCGCGCTCTGCGAAGACATCAAAGCCACTAAGTCTTCGGAAATCACAAAGAGGAAGAATCTTTTGGCTCAGTTGGATCATCTCTGCAAGTCTGGAGTGATACCTTGGGATATGTCAATGAAGTTTGAGCGCTTACTCAAGGCGCTGAACGAGACCTACGCTCGCCCAGCGGAAGAAGTTCCTCGACTCTCGCTATGGGACCCACAGTTGCTGTTGACACGGATCTACATGGGAAAGCTTGATCTTACGAAGGGATTGGAATCAGCTAGAAAGACTTTACAGACTCTGAGTTTCGTCGTGACTGGGCTCGACCGTACCTCAGAAGCTCTAGTCGTCTTGAAATGGGGTCACACAGTGGACCATCTGGTGGAAGTCTTCTTACACGCACGCTCGGCGTTGGAACAATTAGGGCTGTCAGAGAAGTCGAAGCAGGCGAAACATTATGCAAGAGTTGCGTACCGAATACTGGTTGGGGAGGATGCATCTTTTGGCGACACATACCTGTCGTTTCGGAACCTTAAATGAGGAAGCAGATGGGTTGTGTTGCCTGTGGCATTGTATACTGGTGGACTAATATGGACTGACTTTGTCGCCGTGCTCCTGCAAGCGCCGCTAGTACCTGCAACTAGATAGATAGCTATTCTGCTATAGCCATTCTATGTTCAATCCATGATCCCCCGCTATCCGCAATAAGAAACATCATGTCCCCAGATCACCGATTGGATTCCTCCAATGTTCGGAGGAGCGAGTTCACACATATAGTGAAGACCTAATTCAATCCAGAAGTTCGCTATGCTTCTAGCGTTCATTCGCATCCAGCCTGCGCAAAGTTGTCCTCTCGTGTGCCGCGGAGAATAGTCCTCAGCACGATAGTCGGCATCCACACATTTGACGATCGAGTCGACGCCTGACAAAACCTCGTCATCGGCGAAGAGAAATATCCGGTGCGATTTGAAGTCCGCGTTCATTGGTTGGCCACCGTCGCCACTGTTGTATAGCTGGCGAAGTTGATCTATGTCAAGGCCGGCTAGAGCAGAGTCTGAGCGTGCATCAAGATGAAAAAGCGACCACAACTTTTGAAATTAAGGGTCGTCTTTAGGGCCTTCTTCCTCAGATTCAATAGCGTCGAAAGCTTCCTCGTGCGCACTAGTCTGGATCATTTCAAGAAGTCGCTGCCATTGCTGATCGGAAGAAGGTCCAGGTCCGTATCCGGTACGGTAAATGGTAAAGCCCCAATGTCTGTGGCCGGCGTAATCATCGTCTGACGGGATGAGAAGCTCGTTCAACCATTGTTTGGCAGAGGTGGTCATTGGAGACAATAAAAGCAGCCTGTCGTTACGTTTGACCTCAAAAAAATCCAGGTGTCAGCGTCAGCATTTAAAAGAACATGCGGCACAGCTGAAGGATTGTGGCACGGCGGCTAGGCTGCAATCACGTGACTGCTCTTCTACGAGTAGGTACTGCTAAACCATAAGCAAGTGCTCTTCCACGAGCAATGGTCAGCTATTGACTATAGAGTGCTTTACTGCTCTGCTACAATTACCCACACGCTTGTACAAGAGCGCAGAACTCATTAGTATACAGTAGTACGCAACAAGCTCCAATAGCCTACTATGTTCAACTTCGTAAATCTACTTCGAGTCTCTAAATGTTAGTACTTGATGTAAGTCTCTGGTTGTTACATCGATCCACTAATCGTGTCAGTACAGCCCACCTGTCCATGTTACTCATTCATTCCCGAGAACCAATCCTGGGTCGTACAAGGATGACCTCCACATCTGCGCACATGATGTAGAGTGCACAGTGCGTAAGAGATATTGACACGTCAAGGAGCTCAGAACTTGGGATATCGAGATGTGTCGGCGATATGATATGTCGCGGGTACCCGGACCAACGGCCTGGAAACGTCGAACGGATTAGGGGATGAAGCCAGTCACCTGGATCCGGTGTAAATCGACTTTTGACCGATGGAAGCGGGGCTTGTAGATTGGAAAAAGGAAGAGCCTTTCGGAGATGTCGTCTCTTTATAGAACGCACCGGTTTGACGTCGCTTGAAAGAGGTCTTTTGTAGATCACCTATAACCTACATGGGACTAGCGCACGGATATAGATTGAACGTGGAAAATGCCGTATTATGCATCCACGGAAAATCGGTTCCGCTCGGGCCATCTTTAGCACTTGCAGCAAAGGATACTATGATGTTCGCGCTAGACGTGCCCACTTTTTTCGATTCGAGCAGGTGGGTTCATTCATGGGGGCGCCACGGTTTCGAAACACGCCTGAGAGTGCCTGAATGGGCTGGAAAGACATCCTCTTCTGCTTTGATCGATGGCTGTGTAGGCATGTTAATATTGCGATCACTAATCATGGCTTTGACATATAGTGCAAGGATGGCTCGGAGTGTGAGAGGCATCACACACCTAAATTTTACACTCCTTACTTCTATTCTTCTTCTACATTTACCGCTTTCGATCTAGTTCTAGATTCGCCATGAAGTTCTTGGCAATCGCTGCTCTTGCCAGCCTGGCGCATATGGCAAGCGCAGTTGGCGTTGTTGGCAAAGCTGAAGGCTTCGCAACTGGAGTCACGGGTGGTGGAAATGCCACGCCGCAGTATCCAAAGGACATCAAGGAGCTGACAACGTTGTTGACTGACAGCACCGCTCGTGTCATCGTTCTTGACAAGACCTTTGATTACACCACATCCGAGGGCACAGTCACTGGAACTGCTTGTACGTTCGAAACGCTAGTAACGCATACCTAATATACTAACCGAAATAGGCGCGTCCTGGGGTACTGGAGCAAAGTGCCAACGCATTCTGTTAGACACTTGCGATGCAGGACAAGTGAAGGAGACTGTCACCTACTACAAAGCTGCGAAAACCCCCATCAAAGTTGGTTCCAACAAGACCATTTTGGGTATTGGAAACAAGGGCATTATCAAGGGAAAGGGACTCTCCTTTGCCGGCAAGAACGTCATTGTCCAGAACATCCAAGTCAGTGACTTGAACCACAAGTACGTCTGGGGTGGAGATGCTCTCTCCTTTGCCGGAGCTGATCTCATCTGGATCGATCATGTTACTGTACGTCTCTCTATTCATATCACAACGTACAATTGCTCACATTACGCCAGACTGCTCGCCCCGGCCGACAACACTATGTTTTTGGTTTTACACCCAGCACTCGCATCACCCTCTCCAGCAACTTCATCAACGGTGCCTCCGACTACTCCACTGGTTGTGACGGCTATCACTACTGGGTTTTCGAGATGGTTGGCACTGGCGACTCCATCACCATGAAGAACAACTACATCACCAAGACTGCTGGCCGTGGCCCTGCCCTTAGCGGCAAGACCCTCCTTCACGCCGTGAACAACGTCTGGTTCGACGTCAAGGGTCACTTGCTCGAGGGAGGTGATGCCGGCGCCCGTGGAATCTTCGAGGGCAACGTCTTCAACAACGTTCAGAATGTTGTAGCCGACTACGCTGGCAAGCTCTTTGGTTCTCCTGATGCCAACACGAACAAGCAGTGCAGCACTGCTCTCGGAAGGTCTTGCGAGGTCAACCTCTTCCAAGGCACCACAACTACCGCCAGCTCTTTGACAAGCAAGAAGGACACCTCATTCTTCAGTGAGTTCAAGAACCTAGGTATTGCAAAGGCCGTCGCTGCTTCTGCTATCACCACCAGGATCCCCAACGGTGCAGGCAACGGTAAGCTTTCTGCGCTTAGCGCGAGATCTGCGTCAGCCAAGTTCAGAGTTTGAACATCCACGAGTGTGATGTCAAGGTAACTCAGAGGATTCTCACATGGTGGAGCTGACTGAATACATTCAGGGGTGTATATATTGGAGCGAAATGTTCCCGCGGAGCTGTTCTCATTGTACATAATCTTTTCTTTCTCTTGCAAATATTCATAGGAACTATGTGCTACATGCAAGTCTACGCACATTACGACGGAGTTGATCTAACCACGTTAGATGATGCACTTGATGCGATAAGACTATAGCTGACTGACCATGATTGTGTGTTTTCGGACTGCCATCAACCGACAGTATGGCCGTCTTTGCCTGCAATCAGCCTAGTGGTGTACCTGCAATAGATACACCCGTACGAGCAGTCACAGGTCAGAAGATCAATGGAGAAAGACTGAGTCTGTACAACTGGAGTGAGCTGGGTTTTAGCTATAAGCAAGAAATAATCCTTCTCTTTTACAAACACATGTTACATATACAGATGGGTCAAAGCGCGTTAATTACACGAACCGCAGTGATAGCAAACGTGCCGTCAGATGTTGCCTGGCGGAATCAATTTGCAATGGCCAAGGTCGGGTAAGTCAGGAAGTCATTAACAGCGATGCGCAAAGCTTCCCGCTGCCCTGATATCATTACGAACGTTCCGAATACGGCCAGATCTCCCTCATCCGCTCTGGTGTCATGTTATACTGATCACACCTGCGCACAAACTCCTCCAAAAGCTCGTCGCTTTTCTTTCGTGCCTCTTCAATGTCCACCATTGGCATTAGCCAACCTTCAACATCAGTACCCAGAATTCCCCTAGCCCACTTGTGTATCTCGTGATATCTACTGTACTCTTCAAACTGTTGTTCGTGTCTCTTCAACTCCTCTTCGCTGAAGCTGATCGGACATTCGCCTTCGAAGCCAATCTCTTCCCAGTTTGCCGCATACTCAATGAGACATGCCCGAAGTGGTATCACACCCTCTTCCGAGGCTTCTGCACAGCGTATAAAGAGCTCTCGAATGAACAGCGGTACCTGCAAAGCTTTCCAGCCCCGTATGTTCTTGGACTTGCTGCTGATCTCGTATATCTTTGCTAATTTAGCTTCCTTCAAGTTGTGTTCAGCAAATTTCTTATCTTCTGCGTCCATCTCGTCAAAATTAGGAGGTAACTTTGGAAGCTCCATAGTACCGAGGACGTAGTCCTCACCGACTGTGAGGAACTCTGGGAAGCGTGCTTGCAAGAATAATGGTGAGACTACGACAGATTGCCAGTCGATGACTGATACTATTTCCTCTGGATTCTGTTCGGAAACATAGATGTTACCCATGTGGAGGTCTGTGTGCCATAGAACAGGCTCAGAAACCTTCCCCATGAGTGTCCGCTCGTTGAGTCTAGACATGACCTCTTTGGCCAGGTTCAGAACAGTGATCTCCTCATCGAGAGTCGCCCGGGGTGCGCCAGGTGTACTAGCAGACCAGCGCTCTTGAAGAAATGTGAGCTCTCGTTCAAATAAGAGCTGTTCCGAAGGAAGGCAAATCGGGTCCTGTGAAGAAGAATTAGTTACTGCATGGAAGGCACGAGATCGTACATACACGGCCCCTGGTGAAGTTGAGGACATAGAGTCACAGTATGGTCTGGCGCATGCCATCTTCGCTCGCAAGAGGGGCCTATACAATAGTTTCCAGATGGATCCATCTCCCGATCTAGAGCGACGTATGTGTCGCTTTTCCCCATGGACTCAGTAAGATAGAGACTTCCGTTCGCTGGAAGACGGATCTTCGCCATTTGGCCCTCAAGTTCAGTGAATTGGGTTACGACGCGGAGTTGCTGCCAATCATTCATGTCACCCCATACTTTATACAACTGAACACCAGGAGCCTTTTCCATGATGATGGACTCAACACCCACTGGATTCGATGGATCAGCGTCCCAAGCTAAAACTTTGGGTACTGGGATTTTGGTATATGTGTGTACTGTCACCAGCGATGAACTTAGCTGTATACACGACTTTTTTTGGGAATCATAGAATCTTACAGTATTGTAGAACGGCCACTTCCGATGCTGTTGTATATTTTGGTGGTCCAGCGATAGCAAAGGGCATCTTCGCGACGATTTCGGTGCCATCCTCTCTTCGCAACAAGAGTGCTTTGCTGAACCCGCCTTCCATCTTCTCGATCTCACAGATCGGTGAATGCTGTCCACCAAGAGCTGCAGCTATAGCGCAAAGTCGGTCTACGTCGAAGTTGACATATCTTTGCCTTCGAGCTTTGTTTTCATTGGCAAGGAAATGCCCACCTGGGTACTTGAACAATTCGTCACGCCCGATTGTTTTGCCTATCAAATGTTAGTTTGTGCATGCTCTCTGTTCTGCGCAATCTAGGATGGCTACCTCGACACGTGATTGTAAGCGTGCGTGAAAGTTGAGACATTGGTGCGTGTGGACTATTACTCGAGCATCTCTTGCCAATAGTCCTCAATAATGGTGCTAATGGCATCACTGTAATGTTGCGGTATGGAACGGGAACGGCGATAGAAGTAATGTTGGAAAGACACTGGCGCTTTGGGCAGTTACGGTTGGGATAATGTCTGTGCACAGCCGAGGCGGTGGTACAGAGGCGCGGCACAGCATACACACAACACAACACACAGTAAAAGCCATCATCATCGACCAAACAAGGATTCAGAACATCGACTCACTGGCCGCTATATCTACAAACCTGTCATACTCGCACCCAGTCAGCCGAGCCCGCAAAAAAGTGGGAAACTCTAGCCTGAAAGTGCTCAAATACCAAGTGTAAACTCAACACCAACATCAATGTCCCTCGCCATCTTGACAACCTTGGAGAACTGCACCGACTTCTCGGCGGCGGCTTGTAGGTCATCGATGGAGAAGATCTTAAGACCAGAGTCGTTGAGCTAGTTGGAAAAACCGTGTCAGCATAATATCCCTTTCTCCGTTGAATCGAGGTGTGAAAAAAAAGGAACTTACAAGCTTGTGAGCAGCCTCCATGTTGGTACCCTGTAACCTAGCGATAACCGGAGTCTTGAGGTTCATCTCATTGACAACCTGAATCAGACCCTTAGCAATAGCATCGCAACGGACGATACCACCAAAGATGTTGACAAAGATGGCAGTAACCTTGGGGTCGCTGGTAATCAGGTCAAACGCCTGCCTGATAGCCTCGGGTGTAGCACCACCGCCAACGTCGAGGAAGTTGGCTGGCGCGCCGCCATTGAGCTTGATAATGTCCATGGTGGCCATGGCGAGACCGGCTCCGTTGACGAGGCAGCCAATGTCGCCGTCGAGCTTGATGAAGTTGAGACCGACTTTAGCGGCCTTGACTTCCTCGGGGTCTTCCTGGGTGATGTCGCGCCAGTCGAAAACCTCCTTCTGGCGGAAGTCGGCGTTGTCGTCAAAGTTGAGCTTGGCGTCCATGGCGAGGACCTGGTGGTCGGTGGTTTCGGAGAGAGGGTTGATCTCAATCTGGGTGGCGTCCTTCTCCATGAAGACCTTGTACAGCTTCTGGATGGTGTCCTTGGCGTCCTCGATGCACTGCTCGGAGAAGCCGAGCTCGGTTGCGATGTTGCGGGCAATGTCGTCGGTGACGCCCTTGTGGATGTCGATGGGGGTGGTGATGATAGCCTCTGGGTGCTCCTTTGCGACAGTCTCAATGTCCATGCCTCCTTGCGACGAAGCGACAATGACGGGGCCTTGTGACGCGCGGTCCATGAGGATGGCGAGGTAGAACTCGCGGCGGGCAAACTTGCGGTCGACAATGAAGACGGAGTTGCAGAGCCGGCCGGCGGCTCCCGTTTGCTTGGTGATGAGCTTGTGGCCGATCATCTGGTCGGCGAGGATGGAGGCTTCGCGGGGACTGCATGCTATGTTAGAGGGTGACCGCGGTGCGTGGGGTGTGGTCGTGTAGTAGCATACGAGTAGACGACTCTGACACCGCCCTTGAAGCCATTGTCAAAGGTGCCCTTTCCACGACCTCCAGCAAGAACCTGGGCCTTGATCACGGCGTCCTCTCCGCCTGCGCGCATTAGTCCAGAACAGGTGCATTCTACTCTTGTTGTCGCATACCAATGTCCTTGGCAATCTTCTCTGCCTCGGCGCCGCTGGTAGCGACACCACCCTTGGGCATGCCGATGCCATACTGGAATCCTGGTTAGACATCTGACCCGTGCTGCGAAATTGGGGAATATGCGGTGGAGGTGGACTGTCTGCGTACCGACTCGAGCAGGGCAGCGGACCTGTATTCGTGGATGGCGAGCCCTCTCCTTTGCTGGGAGCGCATCAGTGGTGTCTCCTGGCGCCGTGTTAGCCCATGGCCCTCATTTGTGGTGCACGCTGCGTAAGAGGCTTTCGCAGCTTTGCAGGTGGGCTAGGCCCGTGTGTATGCGTACAGCAGCAGCGCGAACAGCGCGAGCCAGCGGCCGGGCGCGGGCAAAGTTGTACATGATGTCTGAGCGGCAGACACACGTCGGGGTATATCGAGAGGTGGGTTGAGAGGGGGGGTTAAAGCTGGAGTACTAGCAGCTGGTGTTGCTTGCTTCACAGGGCTGTTGCGGACGTCTGCTAGCGCGCCGAGAATGAACCGGGTCCTCAAAAATATCGCGGCCGGGAACTTCAAATGTTTCCAATGTCAGGCCCCAGCTTGATCTATATCGAGCCCCTACATAGTCGCAAGAGACATGTCTAAGAGAACAAACGACGGCGATGTCATCGCAAACCGCATAAGTCTGCTCGAGGCAAAAGGACAGAAGCTCTTGGCGTCGCTGTACGGATCGCGCCCTGACTGGGACACCACAAATGATGCTACCCAGTCACGGGATGAAGACGATGACCAAGATCTGAAACAAAACTATGCTCACGACAGGTAAATCCGATGCAACCGTTTTCATGTTCCATGAATCTATTCGCAATTCTAACTCCATCCTCCAGAATCGGTCTTGGCGGTATACTCCCTAAGGATATCGAAGATGGCAGCTTTACCCGCAGGATAGTTACCTCGGACGATAAGCTTCTACAGCAGCTGATCGGGAAAAAGAAGGCAAAAGCACATATTTCTGCAAAGCAGGAAGCTGCGAGACCCACTGCAGCAGCCAAAGCACAGCAGTACAAGAAGCAGGCTGCAAAGAAGGAAGAGTCGGATGATGACGACGAGGGGAGAGCCGCGACATTCAAGTCCAAAAGGCAGGCAAAGAAAGAGAACCAACAAGCCAAGAAAGTCGACAGCGATGACGAAGATGAAGAGACGAGGGCAAAGAGGTTAGAAGGCGGCGCGGTGAAAGAAGAAGAGGGGACGTCGAAAGAAAAAGTAGTTATGGAAGTTCAGGCGGACGCAAAACCTGTCAAGCGAGAGGTTGATGACGAAGAAGCGGAAGCAGACGTGACGCAACCAGCTCCCAAGAAAGCGCGAACCAAACCAAAGAGTTTCCTTGACGAGATCCTGGCCGAACGATCGAAGAAGAAGAGCAAGAAATCAAAGGCATGAAGGCCTACCAGGAGCCACAAGACGGAACCCATCAGTGTACGATAGAACGACTGCATTTTTCTAATCCGATACCCAGTGTACCAGCTTCATAGCAGACGTACATACAACTCATGGCGAAAATAATAATCAACAAGCCTAGTCTTTTCTTTATGAAAAGAGATAATCCATAAATTTAATAGACATCCATTCCCCTTATTCCCGCACAATCAAACTAGCCATCCCCATACCCGTCCCTATACACTTACTCAGCACACCAACCTGCTCCCCACTCCTCCCCATCTCACTCAACAGCGTCGCCAACATCCTCCCACTCGTCGCCCCGAGCGGATGACCCAATGCAATCGCGCCTCCATTCGGATTAATCCTATCCATCTTATTCTCCAATCCCAATTTCCTCACGCAATACAAAGCCTGACTAGCAAACGCCTCGTTGATTTCCCAAACATTCACATCGTCCGTCGTGAGACCAGTGTAGTCGAGCAACTTCGGTATGGCCACAGCGGGACCAACGCCCATCTCATCCGGCGAGCACCCCACAACCTGCGTACCCGCCCACTTCCCCACAATGGCGGATTCAAGACCGAGTGTGGTAGCAGTGGAACGACGCATCATGAGAGCCGCGGACGCGCCGTCAGAGACCTGCGACGAGTTTCCGGCTGTGCTTGTACCGTCTTTGCTAAAGGCTGGTTTCATGCCTGCTAGTTTCTCAATCGTCGTGGTCGGTCTGATACCATCGTCCTTTGTCACCGTGACGCTCTTCTGTGTCTCGGGGACTTCAGGCTCAATCCAGCGCGTAGTCACTGGTACAATCTCGTCGTCAAAGTTCCCACTCGCTTGCGCTTTGGCAGCGCGCTGCTGTGATTGCGCTGCGAATGCGTCTTGGTCTGCTCTGCTTACTCCATATCGCGAGGCGACATTCTCCGATGTTATGCCCATGCTCATTATACAGTCTCGGGCTTCTTTTACCGGACTGTCCTTCATTTCGGGCCAGAGTTCCGTGGGAATCGCTCGTGACCCGTAGTTCCGTGTCATGCTTTCCATGCCGCCAGCAATGCCGACATCTATTTGGCCCACGGCGATGGAATTCGCAATCGAGGTTATGGCGCTGAGACCAGAAGCGCAAGCACGGTTGACGGTGCTGAAGGACGTGGTGGTGGGTATGCCGATGTGGTTGGCGGCCATGCGACCGGCTTTTGAGCCACCAAGCTCAGCCAGGACGGTGCCGATGCATACGTCGTCTATTTTTGCGGGATCGAGGTTGGGGAACTTCTTCAGCGTGGCGGCCAGGACCTGGGGTGATGGTTTTAGTACTTGGACATGCATCTGTGTCTGGGTGACTATTGACATACGGCGCCTAAGAGTTCATGATCGTAAGCATCCCGCAATCCGCCCTTCTTCGCTCGTGTGACTGGTGTGCGGAGTGCGGATAGGAAGACGACGTCGTGGGGATTCTTTTGGAGGATGTTCTTGAGACCCTTTTGTACGAATGCCATTGTCATTAACACTCTGCTGTGAGGAAACGCTAAAAGACAGATGTGAGGGTATCAACGAAACGGGAGACAGAAAGTAAGGCAGAGGCGAGCAAGGAACAAAATGCCCTGGCTATTGCCGCACGATGAAGCCATGGTCGTGGTGAGCTAAGCTAAGCTCCAGGTTCCTCGGAAAGCGTGGAGCTTACACTTCGGCAAGTGAGCGCGGGGCGGAGAAACGGCGGCAAAGCTCTCTTCCGCCAAGTGAGCAGCGGAAAACAAACCCGTATGCAGGTGGAAAAGGGCTCGGTGCATATGCATGACATGAACGTAACGTGGGGTAGGCGGACGTGTTGTAAGAAAGTGCAATGTCAATTTTAAATGATTTCAGCTCTCGATCCAATCATGTAGAACTCGTAAGTAGCTACGTTCCCCAAGGCGACTGCGCCACGCATCGACTCTCAACCCCGTCATCATCCACCATCCATTTCCCCTGCCAAAATGCTCAAAACCCATAAAAGGAAACCGCGTCAGTCGTGGCAAGTTTGCAAAGACCCCGCGTTTCTATATGTGCACCTGTAACCACTGCCATGAAGCGAAGCTGAGACAAAGAGAGGGCACTCTATGCGGCGGGGTATACGAGACGGAAAACGTCGTTTAGCACAAACCAGTTGCCCGCATCGTTCTTGAGCTGGAAAGCCTGAGTGAAGCTCATTGGCTTGTCCTCGCCGCCAAGCTGTTTGATGTTAAAACGAGACGGAGTGCAATACAAGGGATTGACTGACCAGAAGCGCACCAGTCACCAGAACGAGGATACCATCGTCAGCAGAAGGCTGAGCGTCGACGGTGTCGGTGCGATGTTGTATCTGCTGGAATGGCAGGTTCTTCTCCAAATTAGCCCTGCCCCTGTTGCGTATCAGGGAGTCATTATTACCTGAAGCTTCTCTACGATGGCGGCTGAACCCTGAGTTCCTTGCGCCTCAAAGGTGAGCATAGAGTGCTCCTTCTGTAGTCATCTGTCAGCCGACTGCTGCTTTTCGCGCATCTGCTTCTATCTGAGTCGCGTACGTAGAGGGAAGCGAGACCAGCGCGATTCTCATCGAAGGTCTTGTAGTAGAACTGAACGAACTGCTCTGGAGCGTGGGTCAGTCGCGTTCGCGGTTTGGCTAGTGGAGCGTGCGAGGAGGATGTGTAGGCGGGGTTGTGCGCGGTGTATGCAGCGCGTGGTACATACGAGCAATGGCGTTGAAGTCGGCTAAGGTGAATCAGTCAGTTTTGAGCGTGTGCAGAGGACGCGATATGAGAACGACATCGGATGCGCCTGCTACGAGTCCCGCATGTTTCGATGTAGCCTTGCGATGACGATCCGAAGCTGTACACCTGCACCGCATGCGCATCGGAGCCGTGGTAGTGGGGTAGATACGGACAACTTACACATATTTGCGGTTCCTCGACGTGAGTTGTCTGATGGAGGCTGGAGTTGGTTGCGGAGTTGGGGAATTGCTACGCGACGGCGATTTGACGATGTGACGTGGAATTCTCGAGAACGTGTTTGGGCTTTTGCTGTCACTGCCCGCCATCGATGGGCTTCGTTGGTGGGGCACGCGCTAGTCCTGGTACGATCTCGGCCCGACCTTGAGCCGAGCGCTGTCATTTTCTTCCAAGCTCGTCGCGCTTGCTCTTCCACTCCAGAGCGCCATCGCCGGCCAACATCAAGCTTTGTGCAGCTTGTAGTGGTCAGCGTCGCGCTCAAGTTCTACAGGTAAGCACTTTCCATTCATCTTCATCTCCACGCAATATGATGATCAACACAAACGATAACTTCCGAGTGGCTTCGTAAACCACGGTGAAGTCCAAAATAATTCAAGCTCAACAGGCTGATTGCTCATCTACACTTTGTATTCTCCATCGTTTGACGATTTCAATGCTGACATCTCGTCTTCTAGATCACTATGCATGCGACAGATGTTTCTGCGCTCGATCAAGCGCGCCGCCTAGATAGTATACATAGCGAATCGAATCGTACCAATATCATACGCCTGTTATTACGCGCAATTCACGTTGTTCTCTACAACCCCTTTTTCTGGAATGACTTGACAGAGTCAACAATGGACTGCTCAAAAGTCTTGTACTTCAGGCCAAGAACGTCAATGGAGCGCTTGTTGTTGTATCCATACAGGCCCTTCTCAGGAGTGCCTTCTGGGTAGTCGCCGCCAGGTGTGTCGTCGCTCGGCAGGTCTTTGAACTCTGGGAAATTCTTCTTGATGATCTGGCATAGCTCCTTGTTGGAGAAGTATCCAGCCGTGACGAAGAAGCGCTTGTTGGCAGCGTCTGGCTTCTCGAACGCAGCTACGTGTGCCTCGGCAACATCGCGGACATCCACCCACAGATGTACTCCACTGGGAGGGATTTCGTCCTTGAACTTACCCTGTGCAGCCGACAGGATTCGCTGATTTGACGTGTTCATATTGTCGAGACTGTCTAGAGCGTGTACCTGTGTTCTGTCAGTGAAAGTGTTTGAACGAGCCTTCTGCAACTTACAATTGGCCCGAACACCATCGGGGGGTTGATCGTAGAGATGGTAAAGTTGGGCTTCTCGTTCTTGACAAACTCCCATGCCGCGTTCTCAGCAAACGTCTTACTCGCCCTGTATCCCATCATCGGGTTCTCCTGCGCCTCATCTTGTGTGATAGGGTTCCAATCGTCCTCTGAGTACGAGTGTCCCGGCCAGAAGCCTTTGCTTCCATTAACGATGGCGGCAAACGAGGATGTGATGACGACACTCTTAACGGAAGGCTACATGGTCATGTCAGCATGCGCGCAGAAGGTGCCTCATCGCGTCAACGTACCGCGCTCTTCTTGATCGATTTCAAGATTCCAGTTGTTCCAATGACAGCAGGGTCAATCAAATCCTGTATCCCATCAGTGGACAGCCCTATTTGAAGGCTTCAAAATGTACTCACCTTTTGTACGTCTGTAACGTTGAAATGGAACGGACTAGCAGTGTGGAGTACAGCCTCGAACGGAGGGTCTGAGATGACTGCCTTCTCAAAAGCATCCGGCTGTGCAATATCCGGCACAATTGCGAAACTCAATTGGCCCTTGTCGACTGCGCTCTTGTACGATTCCTTGATCTTGTCCGCCTTCTCCTGCGTGCGTACCGTGGTAACCACACTGTGTCCGTGGTCTAGCAGGATATCGAGTGTGTGTGCAGCGATGAAGCCGCTTCCTCCTGTAAGTAGAACTCGCGTCATCTTGCTTGTATTTCGATTGTAGGTGTTGTGTTGGTGTTTCTTCAGGTCAAGGTCTGGACTTGAAGCCACGGAGGCAATGACAGCATATATGTAGCTATCGACATCCCACCTAGCGCGGGGTAGCGCTTTCCCGAAACTCGGAATTTACTCTCTTTCGCCGTTGTAACTGCCGCCATTGCTTACGAAAGCTGTTCTTTTCGTAGTTATATCCGCGGCTCGATGATGCTGGGTCCCCAGAGCATTGCGTCATCCTCATCGATGCGACACCTGTGGTGGGGCATATTGTGTCTTTGTGTCGCCCTCTCGTGGCACGGCAAACAACTGCTGGTCTGCAGCTTCAGGTCGTTTTGGTTTACCAAAGGGACTGTGTACTTCCCAGTACACCCCACAGCATAGCCAGATCTTCATGTTCGACTTGTTCGAGTCTGCCTCCGCACACGCCTTGCGCCTCAAAGTACACGGAACAGAACGTATTCGCGGTATCGCTTTTTCTCTGCAACAAACTTAGAAGCTGTCTGCGCGCATCCGAAAGTATGTGATTGTGGTAAGAAGGGCATCATGGAAGCGAAACCTAAAGACGCCAGCTTCTTTGACCACATGGCTCTCGGCGCTGACATCGGGCGGCGCCTCTCTTATCGATCAAAGGCCCCACCATAGCTTGAGCTGCATCCCACATTGCCTACCCGCCACCTTCAATCGCTCTTCCAATCCCGTCAACGCTCTATATACTAAGCCTCGCTTACTAGCTCTCCGGCGTCTGAGCATGGGTCTTTCGGGGTTGATGAAGGGTCCAGCGGTCCTTAATGAGCGGTGGTGATTGCGGGGCAAGTGGACAAGATGAGGGGCAAAGTTTTCTCCTGCCAATTGCTTCGTTCTCATCTCATACTCTTTATCTGAGCTATCCATACAATCGCATTGAAAATGTCGTCGTCCCTCAAGAGAAGCCCCCCGTTCCGCGCCGAGCACGTTGGCTCATTGCTCCGCCCCCAGGAGCTTGTGCAGAAGCGTTACGATGTCGCGTCAGGCAAAGCTAAGCCAGAGGAGCTCGTCCCTCTAGAGGACAAGACTGTCGCAGAGGTAGTCAAGTTTCAGCAAGATTGCGGTCTCAAGGTAGTGTCGAGTGGAGAGTACACCAGGTAAGGTGGCTGCATGCTGCTAGTCCAAGTCTAGACTGATTGTTCATGCAGGCACATGTTCTGGGGTACCTTCTTCGAAACACTGCATGGAATGAAGGAACTCCAACTCGGCGTTTTGAAGGGCTACACCGTGGATATGTTCCGCGCGTATGCGCCTGATACCAAGTCCTTTATGGAAGCGAAACAGGTCCCTAACCATGTGACTGTCTGCGTCGACAAGATTAAACACCCCGGCACGTCGAGCAACCAGCGCGAAGTCGACCTTATGAAGAGCCTTTTGCCTGAGAGCGAGTGGAAGAACATCAAGATTACGTTGATTTCGCCATCGTGGTACCACTTCCGTTACATGAACGGAAGAGCCTACCCCAAGGAGGTTTATGCAAATGACGAGGAATACTTTGAGGATGTCGCGAAGGCATACCAGGAGGAGCTGAAGATCCTCCACGCGCAGGGTATCAGGAACATTCAGATCGACGACCCAAACCTGGCCTATTTCTGCTCAGAAGATATGCTTGCGGGCTGGAAGGCCGACACGACAAACGACAAGACTGCTGACGAGATGTTTGATGCATATGTCAAGTTCTACAACAAGTGTTTCGTACGTCCCGATGACATGCATCTCGGCATCCACCTGTGCCGCGGTAACTACGTCGGCAGCCGACATTTCTCAGAAGGCGCATACGACAATATCGCAAAGAAGCTATTCCAGGTACTCATCTTCACCTATATACAACATCTCCTTCGTACTGACTATATCAGGACCTGAACGTCGACACATACTACCTGGAATACGACACTCCCCGCGCAGGAGGTTTCGAGCCACTAGCACACCTTCCCAAGGACAAGAACGTCGTTCTCGGCGTCATCACGTCCAAGTTCCCTAAGCTTGAGGACAAGGATGAGATGATCGCAAGGGTGAACCAGGCTGCTGATTGGATCGCAAAGGGTACCGGCCAATCTCGTGAAGATGCCCTTCAGCAATGCTGCGTCAGCCCCCAGTGCGGCTTCGCGTCACACGCCGAAGGTAACAGTCTCGGCTACGAGGATATGAGGAAGAAGCTGCAGCTTGTAAGGAGCATCGCCGACGCTGTATGGCCTGGGCAACCATAGATTGAAGGAACAAGAATAGTTCAGGGCGGATGGAATGGGATGGGAGGGAATAACCTGGTAGCGGATAGGAGAGTTTTCGGACGAGGCGCAGCTACCGGGCGGGAGAACGCAGGAACGTACGCCTTAACGCATGCGATTGGAGCGATTGGAGCGATTGGAGCATTAAGGAAAAAGGTGTTGTGGAGTTAGACCCGAATGCCGAATTCAACATGGCGTTCGCATGGCGAGCAGTTTGGTGGGTAGAATATTTGAGTCAGTCCCACTTTTGGCCTCAGCCTCGTGGGCCAAGGAGACAAAAAGCTGGTTCCTGCGTCAGTTCTATGACTATCATCCCACGTGGTATGCTTCGTCATTTGTTCCTCGGCGATGAAGTCGGCAATCTACAGATGACCACGTTATTTCCAGTGTCCGCTCTGGCGATAATCGTTACCTGGGTGCGATGCTGGGCGCCTAATCGCGAAAGTCCAAGCCTGTCCAGGTGCAGAGGGTTTTCAATGCACGTTGACGCTAACCCACGCTAGGTGCTAGCGCACGTTTGTCCCTGGCCCGTTTACTCCACATCCGTTGTAGCCGTGGAGGTCCCTTCCGAAGCGGGAGGAACGTCCGGCAATTGGGAATTGACAGACCAGGGTAAGCGTCCCTGACAGGAGAAATTGGAATTGACAGACCTGGGAAGAGACATGGAATAGACTGGATTCTGAGGTCGGTGCGGGAGCAGAATGGGGAAGGCGTCGCCTTTCCGCGGACATATCTTGCCACAAGATCCATACCTGCATGCAATCGCAAAACATCTGGATGGAGAAGCCTCTCAATGGAGTGGTCACTTTCGAATAGATTCTTTGAATAGATTCCAAGTGCCAAAAGTAAAACTGCCAATATCCCTCAGCTAGCACAGGTACGGACCGCCGTCATAATCGTTCTGAGTTCAACGGTACCCTCCCGTGGCGCAAATTGCAAAGTACAGGGTATCCATGGAGGACCCGTATGATCTACGCACCGGACCGATTCAAAGCATTACTTTCCAGACCGAGAAAGGATCAACCACCGCAACTACTGAACACCATCTGTTTGGTAACCGCCTTCCAATGAGTTTCGTCCGAGGTCGAGGTCATTCGGCATTGCAGGCCACAACCGGTAGATATCCCCTATTCCAGGGGAAAGCCGACATATGCGATCGACTGATGAGATGTGGGAAATTATAAAGACGGGCGAGACTGCACGATATGGGATCAAGCAGGCCACTTTACAGCCTCTGTCACATTCTTTCTTTAAATACCTACCCTGGACAGCAAAGTAATACCTAATCACCATGTTCTTCCCTCGTCTAATCGGCCTCGTCGCCGCCTTCCCTATCCTTGCGGCAGCTGTCGATCTTACTGGCTATGAGTACGTAGTCGTCGGTTCTGGAGCTGGTGGTGGTGTAAGTCAAGATATACTCGGATGGATTGAATCATCACTGACATACTACAGCCTCTGGCCGCCCGCCTTGCCCTCGCTGGTCACAAGACCCTTCTCATCGAAGCAGGTGACGACCAGGGCGCAAACGCCAACTACACTGTTCCCGCTTTCAGCGCGAGGTCCTCGGAAGACGCCAACTTGAGCTGGAACTTCTTCGTCAAGCACTACGCTGATGAGGAGAGGCAAGCTCGCGACTTCAAGACTACCTACGAGACACCCGATGGTGGTGAGTACACTGGTCTTAACCCACCTGAGGGTTCTACCATGAAGGGTACGCTATACCCCCGCACTGGTACCCTTGGTGGCTGCACGGCGCACAACGCTCTCATCGCCGTCTACCCTCACCGGTCCGACTTTGACAATGTTGCCACCATCACTGGTGACGACTCCTGGTCAGCCGACAACATGCGCAAGTACTTCACGAAGCTCGAGAAGAACCAATACCTCCTTCCCGGCCAAAAGGGTCATGGTTACGATGGCTGGCTGGGAACCGACTACGCCCCCATCGACATCGTCACCTCTGACCCCCAGCTTCTCAGCTTGGTCGGTGGTGCCGCTTTCGCTCTCAGCAACGCTACCAACGCCATTGTTAACCTTGGTACCTTGGTCGCCGGTGATGCCAACGCCGACACCGAGAGCCGTGACAAGCAGCCCGCTCTCTACCAGATCCCTCTCTCTACCTCCGATGGCAAGCGCGGCGGATCCCGCGAGTTTGTCCTCGCTGTCCGTGACGCCAAGGCCGACGACGGCAGCAAGAAGTACCCTCTCGATGTCAGGATGAACTGCCACGTGACCAAGGTCACCTTTGACCAGGATGTCACTCCTCCCCGTGCTACCGGTGTCGAGTTCCTCGACGGCCAGTACCTTTACAAGGCCAGCCCCAAGTCCACCGGTGCCAAGGGTGAGGCTGGTTCCGCCACTGCCTCCAAGGAAGTCATCGTCGCAGGTGGAACCTACAACTCGCCTCAACTCCTCAAGCTGAGTGGTGTCGGCCCTGCTGATGAGCTCTCCCAATTCGACATCCCCGTCGTCGTCGACCTCCCTGGTGTTGGCACCAACCTCCAGGACCACTACGAGATCAACGTCCAAGGCAAAGCCCCCTCCAACTTCTCCGCACTTGACGGCTGCACATTCGGTAACAGCCAGCCTGACGCCTGCATGGACCGCTGGGAGACCAGCATCTTGGGTAACCGTGGTATCTACGCTTCCCCCGGTCTCGGCGCAACCATGTTCTACAAGTCCAGCGCATCCGAGCGTGACGAGTACGACATCTTTGCCTTTGGTGGCCCCGTCAACTTCCGCGGTTACTTCCCCAACTACGCCTACAATGCCACTGAAGAGCACGACTGGTTCACCTGGGCCATCCTCAAGGCTCACCCCCGCAACAACGCTGGTACTGTCAAGCTCGCATCTGCCGATCCTCTTGATATGCCTGAGATTCTTTACAACTACTTCGACACGGGTGTTGGCGACTACGACAAGGACCTTACTGCCCTCACCGAGGCTGTTAACCTCGCTCGTGACTCTTTCAAGCGCCAGCTCGTCCCCATCGATGAGGTCCTTCCTGGCAAGGATGTTGATACCCCCGAGGAGATTGCTCAGTACGCCAAGGACGTTGCTTGGGGTCACCACGCTTCGTCTACCTGCCCCATTGGTGCTGATGACGACAAGATGGCGGTTCTCAACAGCAACTTTGAGGTTCGTGGTACTGCTGGATTGAGGGTTGTTGACGCTTCTGTCTTCCCTAGGATCCCCGGTACCTTCACTGCCATGTCGACATACATGGTTGCTGAGAAGGCGGCGGATGTTATCTTGGCTGCTGCTGAGGCTTAGGGTGTTGCGCGATGTTGTGACGGCCTAGATTTTACTGTATATACATGAGAAGAATATGATGATGTGTTTTGCACTTCAATCTTTTTGTTTTGTGTGATGACTTGCGTTGGAAAATGCCTAGAACTATAGTCTTAGTCGAAGACCGCATACTTGTACATGTACAATTCTGTTCTAGTAAAACGTACGGATTGGAAGGTAACCGGTACGTTTTGCTGTACGATTCTGTGATAGTCTTCACCTCAACCTATTCTCATCTGAATGTGATGTCTGTTCATGTTAGATCAACGCAAAGGAATGCATCTGCATCAATATAATGATTCGTTGAACTTTTGCGTTCAGTAGAAGTTGAACAAGATGCCAACGCCACAGTAGGTATGCTTTAGCCACAGCTGCGCACTGTCACACCGCAAGGGGTCCGTGCGCTTATGGATTTCGAACTTGAAGAACACTCTCGCCTTGAAACTCATCTCAGAAGGCTGAAATAATGTCAGATTGATCGCAGAGAGTGTCTTCTACCATTAAAACTTTTTTAGCTCGTTTCAATCGCGTTACGTGGTTGCATACTCGTGTGAAGGTACGACCCACGCCGAACATGGACACAAATCGAGACAGAACGCCGCGGGCGGAAAGAAGGCAAATGCCTGCCTTATTGCCTGATCTCAAGCTTTCAGCCTTAGTACACAACTCCACCACCTGCTTCTCGACAACAACGACGATCGACTCCACAACCATATGGTAGGTACTCTGTTTTTGATTGCGTCGCCCCTGTCGAGCGCAGAGATGGAGCGATTCGTAACATGATGGTCTTTGGCCTGGCAAGCATCCTAGGCGACACACTGATCACACAGCAGCTACAACACTTGCGATCAAGCGCTGCCAGTATTCAGTGACACTCTTGACTACTCACAGCATGTTCGAGCGCCATGGCTGTGGACTCGATCTGAACACGAACCCACCTACACCGACGACTTCTGTACTAGCGCCGAATTCTCAGACCCCTCCGTACAAGAACTAAGCGAGCCGTCCTGGCTCCAAAAGCCTCGTCAAGCTCCCATACCTGACCATATAGCACTCTCAGATCTAGAATTGATACCACCTTCGCATGACTATGGAGACCTCAATCCGTTAGTTGATTGGTGTGACAACGCCGACTCTGCCGTCCATCTGAGTTCGACGTCTCCAACACTGAGTCCGAGGTGGACGGACGACTCCTCGCTCACTTCCCTTCATGAACGATCGCCTGCCCCTCAAACATGCAAAACTTCCATACAATCAGGAAGGAGCCTACCTCATGGGCGCATGGACCCCGCGAGGCGCTGGCTTCATGCCCACCCGTTCGATCAATATCCTACAGCCAAACAGAAGGTAGAGCTTGCGGCTACTGCTGGCATGACAATCCCCCAGTTGAATCGCCGGTTAACCAATCTTAGAAAGCGTGATAGACACGGTTAGTATCAGGGATGCTTGATGCCGGTTAAAGACTGACTCTTTACCAGTACTCGATGAACTGTGTAATGACTTAGACGCTAACGTCAACACTTCTGGTGCTTCTCACCATCAAACCTCGCTTGAAACTGCCGTCAATTCAAGGCGGAAGGGCAAGAGACGGTATGTGTCCGGGCCAACTCCTACCAATGGGAAAGGGTCGACGATACATCCACTAGATTCTTCCAGTGATGGCAGTGTTGACACTGCCAATCGATATCACTGCACAGTCTGCCTACGGAAGTCTTTCAAAAACCCATACTCTTGGAAGCGGCACGAGGCCGGAGTTCATCATTTCGGCAGCACTCGTTGGTTTTGCTTGCTCAACAACGCCCATATCATGCCGGGTATGAAGTGCGTCTTCTGCTCTGATACTGTCCATGATATGAGCCATTTTTACCAGCACAATATCCAGGTCTGCTTGGCGAAGGACAAGAACGCGCGAGTGTTTGATCGCAAGGATGGTCTCAAGCAACACGTTGTAGGGGTGCATCTTTCCACCGCGAATGACTACACCAAGAGAGGGTTTGAGCCTCCAGATATATGGTCAGAGACTGAAGACGGGTTCTCGCCGAATCTGGATGGTCTCTGGTGTGGCTTCTGCAGATATTCCTTCAAGACTACCACTGCGAGAATGGACCACGTTGCGCAACACTTTCGGGACGGTGATCAGATCAGTACATGGGTTTCGAGGCTAGAATCATCCTGTGTCACATACGCATGAGATCAATCTTTCGCAACTCTAATTTGCATGATTTCTTTCTTTTGCCGACTACACGGCATGGCGCACATGGAGGGTAGATGTAAATGACATACATACATCATGACCGCTACGAATGTAAACCTTCCCCAAGAACATCCTCCATTCGTCCAAGACCGTTGGGATCCAACTATCCACAATGGTTGAGTGGTTAGGCGCAACAGCAGGCTTCCGATTTGGCCTTAAAGTGATCGTTCGCAAGATGAGCCAGTTGAAGAGAATATGGTCACGGATGCTGGCTAAAACTTGAACAGAATGGAACGACTTCTGTATATGTAGAACTCAGTGATTCTGTTTGCTGGCGCGACATGATCGTCGCTCAGATGATTCTTCGATGTTATTGCGTATGTGTTTAAGTCGCAACTGGTTGATGTTTGACAGGTCCAGTCGAGGAGGGTTTGTGTCGAACTCTGCAAGTAGAGCGGGATACTTGATTCCCGGAATCGGGCTGCCAAACCTTGCTCCGCTATTCTCACAGTCTGTCCTACCCAATAGAAATCGGCCATTCCAACCAATAGAAACCGGCCCCTTCGACAAATGGAATCCTGCACAAGTAAATCTCAACTTATTATTTTGCTGCGACGCCTTAAAAATCATCAGGAAGGCTGACAACCAGCTCTACGTCTGCTCCAAGACTTCAAAACTTTCTTTACACCCTCAAAATCGCTTTCTGGACGTTTGCTGCTATATTGTGTTCGATTCTGTACTCGATTCGACCAAAAAGGGTTTGGCGGCTGAGCTATGGAGCCCTCACCTCCGATGGCCGACATGTCCCCCGCAAACGTAAGCCTCACTCACCAGGTCACCCTCTGGCTGAACACCTGACAACACAACAGGCCGACCACCCATCATACTTTTCGACATCATCAATTCACTCCAATACTCCAAACATCAACGAACAAAGGTATCACTGGCATTTCATCAACTCTCAGTCATCACAAAACAAGCGCCGCGCACGATATTGTGCACACATCTCACAGCAATGAAGCCGCGCAAGCACATTGTCCGTTGCTGTTCCGAGCTTGGATATCGTTTATACAGCACTGACAAGATCTCGTATCAGTGCTTCTTCGCGTGAAGTATTGCTAGGGGCCGACGAGGAAAATGTTCCTGAGTACAGTTCAAGCAATGTTGATTTTGAAAGCTTCTTCGATGCTGCTAGCACCATCGCGCATGTCGACGATCTCTTTGACGACTTGACCTACGGCTCTCCTTGCGGTCGCTATGTATGCCCAAGTGACATAGTGATCGACAAAGCTTTTACTGTTCCCAGCCTCGATGCGCAGCTATCTCCGCCTGTCTTCGATGTCGATCACTCTGATACCGTGCAAAAGCATGTAGATTCGGCAAATCCTTGGGGAAGGCACAATGACTTTGTTACCTACGACATCTCTGGGGCATGTGCGCATGGAGGCGTTTTTGATCCTGATATTTGGATGCGGAACCAAGGATTCCCGCATCTAGACATCATCGATGAGCAAGACAATTATCTGCAAACACCACCCCTGCAGCGCGAGCCATGTCGCATTGGTTCCAAACCGACTGAACGTCAAAAACGGCCGCAAATCGTTCGGGACTGGCTTTCAGCCCATGCATCTTGGCCGTATCCCACCCCAGCCGAGAAGACAGAGCTAGTCGCAGCGACCGGATACACTGTACGTCAACTTAAAAATTGTTTGAGCAATCTGCGCACTAGGGAAAAACACCGTAAGTTTATCACACCGGCCTGACTTTGCAACCTTCACCGATAACACAATCAGTGTTAGAGGGCCATGCTAACGGGCAAAACGGCGGCAACGTTACTTGTCGCCGACCATGCGACGTCACGCCTACGACTTTGGACCACGTACAATCGACCTCTACAGTCAGCGCATACCAGATGTTGCCTTCCAGTTTCACCTCGCCACCTACGACGGACACGAACGATAGCAGCCAATGGCCTTCCTCATTCGATACAGGCCATCCTACACCAGACAGTATCCCCGGTGTTGTGACCCATATACACCAAGAATTCGAAGCAGACTCAGCTTGTCAAACAACCCCCTCAATATCTGCCGCTCGAAGCTCTATTGCATCGAAGCGCAAGGGCCGGAGGCATCGCTCACAGACGTATCAAGCCGGCGTAGGTGAGAACATGTCCGACAAAATGTCGATACCCGTCGCATCCTTTAGTCTGAGCAAGCCCGAGAATCGATTTTTCTGTACTGTGATTGGATGCTATGAATCATTCAAGAACGCATCCGATTGGAAGAGGCATGAGGCTGGGGTGCATGGCTACAGGGACCGGGAGTGGATTTGCATGCTGACAGACGCATTCAAGACGTGTTCTGACTGTATCTTTTGCCTGGAAGCAATGGATTCGATCGATCACCTAACCAAACATGTGATCGCACCCTGCTCGGACAAGTGTACCACCGAGCGTACATTTTTCCGGAAGGATCTCCTCAAGCAGCACGTCTTGCGTGTGCACCTCGCAGGCGAACCTATCCCAGTCCAAAAGAACTTCGCAGTTCCTCTCGAATGGTCGAGACAGCTAGATGCATCGGCTTATGAACCTGGCTCCTGCTGGTGTGGCTTCTGTGGGCGGACTTTCGAATCTGTCACCACGAGGATGGATCACGTCGCGCAACACTTCCGTGCCGGCAGGGATATGGCGACTTGGATACGGGCGCGATGTAAGGGTGATCGGCTCTTCCTGAAAAGGGTAGGAGCTCAGCTGAAGGCTTGACTACCAAACGTTGGTGCTTGTTCTGATCGCATCAGATTTCTTTACAAGTAGTTGAGAATGTGGATGGCAGCCATCGACATATACACTGAACTTCATCGACGGAAAACATAAGAGGAATGGATCTTTCGCGCGATTAGCAAGCATTGCAATTGACCTATAGGAATAAATCGGTCTCAGCCTCTTCTTTGTACTGGTCTCGGGCGTACACGCGTACTCATCGACTAGTCGTGTGGATGCCAGAATGCCTCCGGTCTGCCAGATATATGACACGCAACTTCCTTAACGTGAACATGTCCAGTGTGCAGTACAAATGAGCGACGGTGGTCGTAGGCATAGTTATCCACGCAAAGTACTGCTGCGGACCAAACCAAGTGTTCTTCGAGACAGCGGCAACGGCGTCATGATCCACTACTACGACATTCAGCAGGCGGAGTATGATCAATATCGTACAGTGAAGTGAAGAGAGGATGCTTGAACGTAATCAAGTATCAGTACTAGGAGGCAATCGTTAGATAGGGGTGTGCGAAGTTAGCGTCATGTGGTAGCTCCTTCCCCGCGCTGATATATTTAGCCGCCAGCACCTCCCACGCGAAGCATCACCTTTATCATGTCGCGAACCTAGGTTGCTGTAAACAGGACCAGAGTCGCTCTATTACGAAATGACATGATAGTAAAGACTTGGGATCTCACATCACACATTCGTCAAAGTCGACGGTAAGGTCAGACAACGATGACATCGTCAGTTTTCACGTCGGATTCACTCATAATCCATATTTGCCTAGTTGGGCGCATTGGCGAGAGGGTCGTATCATAACATAACATTGGCGAGCATTCTAGAAACTAGTCTGCTCACAGCATTCATACTCCAAATTGACCTTTGAGCGTCAGCTTGAGCAGGTCGTCCTTCACGATTTCTTCTTTGCGGCTGAGCAAATCCTCCACGTCCCAGTTCGCCGCGATAAAACGTCCGCTTAGGAATTTTGCCTTCTCTTGACACAGCCAGACAGCGGTACCGCCGACAAGCTCGGGGCTATCCTGGTTGAAGAGTGATCGGAAGGGCTCGCGGAGCATATCAGTAGGGACCAGGCCTGGATGCATAGACACCGCGGTAACATTTGGGTACTCAGCAGCGACGTACGTAGCCAGGGCATCTAGAATATACTTTGACATGAAGTATGCGCCGAGCGGTGGAACCGTGAAGAACGCTTGCCATGAGCTCACATTGACAATACTGGCAGGTGTATCGGGGCTCGGCAACAAACGCAGGAACGAGCGGATGAGCAGATAGTTGCCTTTTCCGTTGATCTCCTACAATCGAGGTGTCAGCTCATCCGAAAAACGACTCAATTTACTGCGGGTCAAGGAACGGGATCGGATCTTACAAAGTTCCTCCACCATTGATCGGGGTCTGTGTCGTGCAGTTTCGGTCCGTCTCCAGTCATGGCACCGGCGGCGTTGATGAGGACATCTGCATGGCCGAACTTCTGCCGGATTGCTTCGAAGGCAGCCTCAACGGCTTTGGTGTCGGAGATGTCGAGAGCATATGTCAATGTTTCGATGGTGGGGTTGGACGCCTTGACGGATTTTTCGGTAGCTGCGAGCTTTTCGGCATTCGAAGCTAGCAGTACTACACCCTTTACGCCTGCCTTTACGAAGGCCGGTACCATGGCCTGCGGGACTACGTCTTAGCACACGCAATCATGACACCAGGTTGTTGTGAAAGGCGATGTGCTCGGTAAATAATGTTTCAACATACCATGGCTCCAATACCACGCGAAGCTCCAGTGATGACTGCAACTTTTCCTGCCAGGCTATGCTCTGGGCTACTGGGATCGATTGCAGAGTATACGTCTTGGTGTGCATTTTTGGTGAACTGCATGGATGTGACATAGAAGTCTTTCGGAAGTTTGCTTAGATCTGCCATGGTGGGTGTGGTTGCAATTGGACGTTAGAGGACCGGGAGGATACGACCGATATGGTGGAAGGCTGTACGGGAAGGATACTAATCAGAGATGTTACGGAACCCAGACGATAGCGATAACTTATGCGAGGCTTCAGGAGTATGAGGCCCCGCATTTAGGCCGCGATACTCGCCTCTGCGCGTCGTCGTATCGCACCGGGAAGTGTTCCCAGTACATCCATGTTTCATAAGCATTGGCACGTCAGTAGCGGGGAGCCCGGCAGTGGTCGTTAAAGTTGCGGAACGTCCCAAGCGAAGCCAGCCGTGAATGATTGTGAGGAGGAACGGGATGATCATATCTTTATTCGAGTTAGCGTAGGATCGCTGATCTTGCTCTTCTCACTCACCTGGGATTGATGCAGAACGCCAAATTTCCACAACGGTCCGAAACCCACTGGATTCTCCATTGGCATCATTCTGTTCGTCCGACAAATCGTGTTCGCGTTCGAAAGCTTGACCAGAGATGCGCACAGTCGTACACAAACTCCATTCCAACGCGCGATCTGTCATCTCGGGCAGAATGCTGAGGTGTGACAGCATCCATGGCGATGCACATAGCCGAAAAAGAGACAAAGTGATATCGAGTATCAGGGGCAGCGAGACAAGTCGTGATGGTGGAGACGCACTGCATGTTCTTCTCTCAGCACGCCGATCATCAGGATGCGCATCCATGCGGGTGAATGGGGCTCCGGGAAATTCTGGGACGATCTTATACGAGGCAGTGAATGTAAAGCGTTCCACTCCCTTGGAGCCTTGGACCAGACCGTTTGCATTCCGTACTTGGAGGCACCAATAATGCTAAAAGCTCCGTCACCGCTTCATGCTCGTCCAGCGTTGTGGGTTGTTTGAGAGAACCAACTCCAACGCATTACAATTCAACACACATTTTGAGCGATAGGAAATCATCAGTATGGTGCTACATGAGGTGAGTTGAACTAAGATCAGACGTATTCACGTAGAGCTGACTGTGGAGAAGGATCTGGGCCCCAACCTCACGGCGACAGTCCTCACGACAGGACTGCTGGCCTTCATAACGATGGGTATGCGCACACATGTCAGAATCACCAATCGAAGCTGGGCTCTTGAGGATTGGATCATGGCAGTCGGATGCGTATGTATACATCCTTCTCGAATATTGAGAATCTTGCAGCTCACCAGTCCCAGTTGCCTCTCATGACGCTCACCATTGTCACGACTATCGGTTCTTACTACGGCATCGGTGCCAAAGACAGTACTTTCGCTCAGCCTGGCAATCAGAAATATGTGGAGACGGCCTACTTCTGGTTCTTCTTCTATCAAATCTTCTACTGCACCTCCATCATCTTCATTAAGCTGAGCATCGCCTTCATGTTAAACCGGATAGCTGGAAGAAGGATGATCTTCATTTACATCAACTACGGCATCATGGGTCTCTGCGCAGCCACCAACCTAGCAGCCATTCTTTACATCATCTTCCAATGTCATCCCGTTGAGTAAGTACAAAGCGATCCTCGATGGCTCGAGCACTGCTAATCGTTCAACCTTCAGGGCTGCTTGGAGAGCCGATCTCATGGCGGAAGGGACACACTGCGAGCCATCAGTCTACTTGCAGAACGTTTACTTCTTCTGCACATCGGTCAACATCTTCACCGATTGGGCTACCGCACTCATGCCAATCGCTCTCCTGTGGAATGTGCAAATGAACAGAAACACCAAGATCTCAGTTGCTGGCATTCTGGGCTTAGGTATCTTGTACGATACCCATGATCCTAGCTATCGTTCAACGCTAACAACCCCTTAGCACATCAGTCTCTGGCCTAGTTCGCCTAAAGTACACCGTCGGCCTGACAAGCAGCCATGACTACCTCTATGGCCTCGCGAACATCCTCATCTGGGGCTACGCCGAACCTGCCCTTGGTATGCTTGTCGGCAACATCGCGACCCTTCGCCCACTCTTTCAACGCCTCCTGCACCTCGGCTCAAGCGGCTCTCAGCAGCCTCACTCCGGAGGTACACCGCACGGCATCAGCGGCGGTGGTGGCCGCTCGCATCGCTACAAGCCATTTGACCACGAAGTCGAGCTCGGCACCATCGTGGACAACAAGGATGGGGTTGTTCCTTCGATTCAGGTTCGCGGCGGTCGTGGTAGCGTGTCGAGCGATAGCGAGAGCCAGAAGGAGATTCTAGAGAAGAATGATCGGTTTGTGAATAACAATAAGGATAGTATTGTTGTTAGTCGGCATGTTGAGGTTAGTCGAGAGTGAGTAATGGCTGGTTAACGGCTTCACAATTACACGGACAAACAAGAGGAAGAAGAGCGGTATTCCGAACAACGGTCGGTAGTACTCTGGAGCTTCTAGTTGCAGTTGCTCATTGAACGTTGTCGGCCATGATGATTACTCTCGATTGCCAGTGTGATACCCATGCCTCATTCAAGCCCAGCAGGCGTTGCCGTGTAGGAATATCTAATTCCACTATCCTGCTTGATCATGTCGTCCGTATAGTTCATTCTCAGATCCTTCAGGTACTTGCTGAATCGGCTACCCACCTTCATAGCATGCTTAAGATGTGAATACTGGAAGCTTTGTCCCCTAAATTCCGCCAACTGTCTTGCGATAGTGATCGCGTTGCGAATCTCTCGTCCATTCATAGGTTCCTCGCTGAGTTCGTCGATGTGGTCGAGAATGTCTTCTAAGTCCGCAGCCGAGGATTCTTCGAGTTTCTTCATGCGTGTGATAAAGTTGCGCCAGATCTTCTTACGTTGGACGGGTCCGAGATTGTCGTAGTGCAAGGCGAGTTGAATGCGAGATTTGAAGGCTTCGTCGACTATTTACCTGATGGTTAGCGCCGCTGAGAGTTGTGTGGAGGTAACATACAGGTACCGACGCGGTTTGAGGTCAGAATCAAGATGCCATCGTAGTACTCGAGGGCACGTAGAAACACAGACACCAGTGCGTTTCTCTTGAGGTCTTTCATATCGCGTTCCTCAAGGAAGACATCCGCTTCGTCCAGAAGCACGACTATGATCGTCAGCACCTCCTAATACTTCAAGATCTCCAAGATCACGTACCACAATCCCAAAGTTTTCCAAGCCGCAAGGTGGCACGAAGGCGCTGGTCAACCAGTTCCGGTTCAGTACCAATGTCCCCACAAGTTATCCGAAGCAATGGCTTTTCTGCAAACTCAGCGACACCTTCAGCTGTGAAAGTCTTGCCGGTTCCAGGTGCGCCATGTAGAAGCATGATTAGTCCATTTCCTTTACCAGCCACAAAATCCGTCGATCTTCTGGCATTGATTTGCTTCATGACGAGTGCTTGTACTAGCTCCTTGGTCTCTGGCTCAGTAACGAGGTCCTTGAAGGCTTGCTTGTTCCAGTTTATATCCGTAATCTGGTCGACAAGTAGTTCTTTCCATACCTTTTCTTGTAGATTGTGGGCCATGATAGTCGATGGAACCGCTAGAAGTGCGTCGCCCTCTTCAGGTGGTTGATCATTTGCCATGACTGCGGCGCTGAACGCATGCTTGAGGCGCATCTGCGCAACACTCGAGTCTGGAACTAGCATCTTGAAGGACTTTGTGTCGACTATGTATCTATCCTCGATCTAAAGCTTCCGTGTCAGTTATTCTAAAGCTTGACAGAGTTTTTCCCGTTGTGAACATACGTTATGGAGCTCGTCCTCCTCAGAACGCATGTACGAAACAAATCGTCTGTTTCGAAGAGACCAAAATGTTCTACCTCTCTTCTCAAGCAGCGCCCTCATATCCGCTGCCGCATACTGTAGAGGGTAATATTTGAGACTTCTGATTTCGACTGAATCTCCTTCGTTGGCAAGGGACATCGTGATGTCTAAACTAGTTTCACGTCTTCCAAAGTTGCCGTCGAATTCCCAATACCACACTGGAACTTTCCAAACATATGTAGACGTTTTGCGACTAGATGTAGGGTTGACAAGAAAACCGTTTCCTCCGATAAGCCTCTTTTGAACGTGCTCCCATTCGTCCAACTCAGGAGCCTTAAGTTCGGTCTCTGGGGCTTCAATCCAACCCCTAGCAATGTATGCCTGGGGAATGTTTCCTTGCGTCGCACTGCTCACAAGAACATCTCCAGGACGAACGATATACTTGAGATATCCACGTGCTATTATTCCTTTCTCCACTTGAAGCTGTACTGACGTGTACTCGTGGCCGTAGCTTTTTGCAACGACTGCTTGCAATTGCTTGATGAGGTTTCGACTGCGCGTACTGAATCTTGGTAGGACTTCAGTCATGAATGGGATGCTGTAATACATGAAAAGGTACGGTGCAGGGATCTTCTGATCAGGGTGAAAGTGGGGGAAGTAATAGTCGAATCTGGGTATCTGCTGGACAAGCTCCTCAATCGCGCTTTGCATATCAGGGGACACAAACTTGAGGATCTCATGTCTAGGAACTGGAGACCGGTAAGTACCGTCTAGATTTTCGATCTCGCTGAGATTCAGATGGAGGTCTTGCGTGTAGTCCTTGTATATAGCGAAGGCTATCTCGGGATGTTGTTCTAGATAATAATCTAGCCTCCGGATCGGGTTGTTGGCCATCAATCTGGCATTGGATCCTTCAGCAGGTTCCCAGCTTGGCTCGTCCAGGTACAAGACCTCCCGTATTTTGTGGAAGACTTTATAGCTGTACGCTGGCCGACTGGAAACAGGTGCTTTGGTGACGTCCTGTCGTAAGCGTTCAATCTCCATTTTGAGAGCCTTTATCTCGCTCTGTGCGTCTTCCAATATATCTTGATCCTTCTTAACATGCATCAGGTCCCTGCCTGATGGTGTAGCATGCGGTGAGCTCCGATGTTGCTGCTTTGCTAGCCGTTTCTTTAGTCGCGACTCCAAGGCACTCGGCAGGATCTCCTCTTCCGCGTAGCCAGGATTCACATATGCAGGACGCTTGTTTCGCTGACGATACCTCAAGGAGTCTTCTGGTAGCGGAATAGGGTCATAGATAGGGAAGTATGTTCCATTTGCTCGTCGCTTACGACCCTGTTGAACTATGACTCCTGGCTTGGAAGCATCTGAGTCGCGACTCATGAATCGCGGAGTAAATGGGGTTTTCTCACCCATAAACCCTGAGTCGCTGCCTTCTGCCCCACGAGCAGACAACTCATTATCCTGGGGATCGAGATCCCCGAATAGACCTTGTTCTTGTTGTTCTTCTTCTTCATCGCCGTTGAAACGCTCCAGAAGTTCCTGATTGCTTTCGTGCTTCAGATGTTTCCACTCTAACTTTTCCGCGGTCGTCGCATCGTGTGAAAGAGGAGCGTAGCCTCTCAGAGCGTCAACAGCATCCGCATCCCACCCTTCTTCCATTTGCTCTTTCCGTGAACGCTCTATCTCTAGCTCTTCCACCATGAGTGCACGTCTTAGCAGTTTCTGCGCTCCTGGCGATGGTGGCGATGGCGGCGATGGCACACGGACGCGTTCCGTACGGATGCGTTCCATGTTTGTTTCTATGATGATCAAGTGAGAAATGGCTTGCTCTGAGTTCACTCTTCTTTGCCGACTTATCGTCTTCGTCTGCGATGGGCTGTGCGACACTCTGTGGTTGGAAAAAGGTGTCTGCACACAGGTGCGCGCTTACACGCCGCAGCATTGTCGCTCAGCCTCATTGCATGCAGCTGATATCCTGTACCGGGCCAAGAACTGCGCCCCAACCATCGATCATCACCCCTTCTCATTCTACCCCTCCTCTTTCTTGTTCTTCTTCTCGTGAGCTTGTGTTCCTGTACATGTTACCACCAAGACAATACTGTTTTTCTCTTGTTCATGTCAATCGAAATAACCAACGTCAATGCAGTCGCAAAGTCAGTGGTATCTGGATGCGCAGGCCAGTTCCTCGGCCAATTCTGCCGAAGACGCCTTCAAAGAGGCGCTTGCCATATTCCAGCTGGATCCCCGCACTTGCGCAAGATTCAACAGAGTGCAGCAACTCCAAAGCCTCAATGACCTGGAGATCATTCTCAACGATGCGCGGTCCAAATATGAGCAACAACACGAAGGAAAAAAGGTTGCCAAGTGGTTGTCGCTTTTTTCGTCGCGCATCTGCTATTACGGTCAAATCTTCGATGTCCTTGTTCAGCATCATCCCGAGTACATCAGCCTAGCATGGGGAGCAATGAAGTTTCTCTTCGTCGTCAGTATTGCTTCTGATTATGGAAAGATCACAGGCTGATACCTCCTTCCAGTTAGTAGAGAACCATGGGAAGCAACTGCGAGTCCTTGCAAAAGGGTTGAGCCAAATCGCGGATGTGCTACCACACATAGAGTTCGCCAATGCTCTCTACCCCACCGCCCGCATGCAACAGGCGGTATCCGAAATCTATAGCAGAATCATTCGATTCTTCCTCCGAGCGGAACGCTGGTTCCAGCAAAGCAAACTACGCCATACGTGGGAAGCTTTGAGTCGACCCACTGAGCTCTACTATAGTGACTTGATCCAAGATGTAGGGGAGTGCACGAAGGCCATCGAAGTATTAGCGAATGCAGGGGCACAAGCGGAGCAGCGCGACATGCACCTGGAGATACAGGAGTTGAACAAGAGGCTTCGAAGTTCAGAACAAATGCTTCAAGAAATGCGAGGGTTACTCATCTGTAAGTCACTTTTGCAATCGCTAGCGCTAGTCCTAACGATGCGCAGCATACCAGTCAATCCAAACAAGTGCAAATCTAGACACCAATCAGCGCCTGACTGATCTCCAGCTGAACCAAATTATGGACTTCCTCTCGGGTGCCAATGCGTTGGATCCGCTAAAAGCCTTGCAATACCGCGCCTTTATGCGCGCTCGCACCAGGCGTCGGCAAACAAGAGCAGATGCAGGGTCGCAATTTTGGTTAAATCCGAAATTCAGCGCCTGGGAGTCCGCATCATCACCGACTATGGTCATGGTGAAAGGCGAGTACAGTACGCGGTTCCAAGTCCAGAGTTTCGCCGTTGACGTCATCAACGATCTTCGCAATCGGACCGTACCCACACTTTGGGCCCTGAAGTCGGTACCGGCGGATGGCGCAACTTCCGCGTCAGCCATAGATATCATCAAAGGCTTGATATGTCAGGCTATACAGCTCAAAATCTCACAGCATACAGAACGCTCACTTGCGCTGAGTTGTGCGCAGTTTCGCGCAGCGGATTCCATCGAGCAATGGCTTGATCTCCTAGCACGTACCATTGCGAGCTTCCCGCAACTCTACATTATTGTTGACTTGGAATCTGTGGGAGGTTCGTATCTCGATGGTATCTCTTGGCTTACTCAGCTGGCTGCTATGTTCCGACGACACAACTCCGGAAAGTGGATATCCCGGCTCAAGATCTTACTCGTCAGTTACGGATCTATGATGCGGCAACGAGACGATCTACTTAACTTCCGCGATATCGTCGTTCCTGTAAAATCATCTCACGCGAGTGTAATGCTTGCAGGATGTCCACCAGGATCCATTTCGCCAGGTCTCAGGCGATCGCGGCCTGTGAGAGGAAACATGCGCACCCGTTTTGGCGGCAGTCGAGCGCGCCATTCTACACCTGTAGGAAGCTGAGTAGATCTGAGCTTCCACTGTTATGGAAAATTGGATAGTCCGTGATACTGCTGCCCTTCTTGTTGAGCTTGAGACATACCGACGCAAGCGAAGGCAGATCAGGAATTCCCTCAATACAGGAAACACGAAAGCACTTTCGGGATGGTGTATCGAATACGCCCAGTTATCAATCTTTGGCCACAGTCTTTTCGTCTGAGGAGTAGTCGTCAGCTCGACGCAACGCTCGTACCGAAAACCTAGCGGACGTCGGCCGTAGTGGGACTATCAACGTTGGCTCAAGGTCGTATTCGCTCCCGGATTCGGTTCATAGTGCGCACCTTTCTCTGGACTGTGTTCTTCGGGCATTCTTTGACAATGTTCCCTCCCTACAACAAGGAGATCTGCTTAATCACTCAGCACTTCGTCTCTTTGTCCAGTGCTATATGAGGGACTTCTTGTATACTCCTATCTTCGGCGGCTTTTGCTCGGATTCCCTACACCGTTCATCGTGATACGTTAGGAGGGCAGTGCAAATACTTGGTAGATAAGCTGTAGTCGGGTGGTCGGTCCAAGCCCTTCCTTGAGGCTGACGGTACTGTCAGTAATGCCGTATCCGGAAATTCGAACTTGGCGCGATCAGTTCTGTGCTAGATCTCGTTCCAAGACTCTTCTTCGAGGCCGCGCACTCGAAAGGGGCTGCAGGGAGAAGTCGACAATAAATGGGCAGCGTTCCGAAGAGCACGCTATCTCCCGAATGAGCTAGAGATGTTCTTTATACTAAAAGATGACTGTATGCTGATAACTCTTGCGATGATCAGTGTGGTAGAAGAGGAAGCTAGGGCGACAAACTAAGGGCTAGAATCGGACCTCGGCGCGGAGCTACGACATGCCTAGTTCCGGGGGGTTTAGCTTACCTGGGCGACTTTGACGTTGAACTTCTAAAATATTTACCACAACACAGAATAGTTGAGCGCTATGGGTAGGAATAAAACATCATGGGTTCGTTAACTTGGATACAAAATCACGTCTTCGCAACTCGACATGTTCTCCTTTGAACCCTAAACAGATAGTAACAACGTCGTTGCGTGCGAGGTATGTAGTCACGATCGCCATCTACTAGCTGTTGCCAAGATACTGTACTTCTTGAAAGTCTCGCTGAGAAATTTTTAGAGCAAATGCACGGTTCTTACAGCTAGTGAGAGCATGCGGGCCGACCCCGAACATGAAGTGCTAACGACGATGGTAACGCCTGTGATTACTAAAAGTCCGACATTGCTACCTAACACAGTCGAGAAGGATGTATCTAAATCCGATAACTTCACTCAAACGCCCTTGCAGAGATGCTTAAAGAATCTGGCGACAACGGCTTAGATCTCTTCGCCAATGAAAGATATCCCGAGACCACCTACAGGTATCTGAACATAGCATAATCGACAAACCCAAGTTCCGTTACCACAGCAAACAGTACTGTCACCTGGCGACACAAGAAAGTTCAACATCGCTACGAATATATATATAACCAAATTCGCGAAGCCTGATAAGACAAGAAATCATTGTTACCATAAACCCTGCTCGGAGATGTTCATCCGACTGAACTAGTCGGGTATGCCCTTTGGTAGTCAATGACTCGAAGGTCAGACTGCCATGGCTTCGAAGACATTAGATTACTTTCTACGTGCTTGGATTCCGGTTCCGTACACCGTTTAGGGTAAGACGGAAGATGAGCATGAACTGGTATAAAAGACCCATCGCATCCTCTCCAAAGTAGACATCACTCACTCATTACGTCTTTACACTCTATTGATCTTACAAACACTCTTTATCACCAACAACAATGAAGTTCCTCACCCTCATTGCCGCGGTCGGCACTCTCGCTGGCTTCGCTGCCGCCGGTCCAGCTGAACCTCTCCACGTACGAGCACCTTCAGATCTGCCCATCGACGCAAGATCACCTCAGGAAGGAGCTGGTGACGTCAACACCTGGTTCAAAGACAGGTTCTGCGCTTCAGGCTTTGCTTCTTGTGGCAAAGCTGGAACCAACGGTGACCCGGGCAATCGATGCGCTCTGGCATGCGAAAACTTTGCTGGAGGGGTTGCTCTTGGCCATTGCCAGTGCAGCAGGGGATGGTACCCTGACGAGTGCATCACTCTTGGCAAATATGCGGGTCGCCACAAGTGCTGAGTGAATGACATGCGTAAGTGCATAGTATGGCGTTTCACTAGTGAAGTACGAGACTGATCATTTAATCTATAGAACTGCATGCGCATGAACCCCCACAACGAAAGTGACTGCAAGGAAACCCGAACAACTCATATAAATCTTACAGGCGGACAAGGGGATAACGTAGCAGGCGGAGTAAGGATTATCGGCTTGGTGGGGTTCAGGGGTTACTTCATACTATCCTTAATTACATTACATCCTACCATTCTATCTCGCTGACAATTTTGTCGTGCTCGATCCAAGTCATGCCTACCGCCATCGCGACTATAGGCGAATACACTACATGGATATCTGCCATATGCCAAATTGACATGCCAACCATAGAAAAGACTCTATATACTTTGAAGCGATATCTCGATACTGAAATGAAGTGAAGTAGCTTTCATGATAAAACACAAAGCGATTTGGATAGACAAACCAGATGCCAAGTCTGCTGTCGTTGATTTGCTGATAAACCACAGGTCCATGAAAGTCTTCAAATGCTTTTTGAGTCGGTTTGGGGGTTCATCGCGTGTCCTATAGGCTATTTACAGCTGTCTACCGCATTTTTCAGATATTTCGGTTCAAAAGTGTCATGGACAGGTAGTGAATTGGTTTATAGACCGACTGGTCTCACAAAATATATCGGCGGACAGGAGATTTTCCGTTGTGACGGAAGACAGCAAGAGAAAAACCACATGTCTACTGCTCGGGTTGTTTTTGGTGTTCTGATTTCGATAGCTGTGCTATACCAACAAGTCACAACATAGAAGCGTTGCTTGGCATGCATGAAGTATACCGACATTAGCGCTCTTCCCTGTAAATCCAAGAGGCGTCATTTAGTAGTTTTGTGAATCTTCTGGGCGGAACTAGGCTGGAGGTTACAGAGATAGTTCCTATCAGCTTCTCATAACTCTTCTCCATGTTCGTTTCGAAACGCTAGATATCATCATGACTTCAGTCTGGTATTGTTCTTCGAATGTGGGTTCTTCGACACATGTTGTATTCGCCACACCTTTGGAGTAAATGTACTCAGTAGCAACACATATCGATTCGGTCTTCGGTTGAAAGACTCATTTCGGTGTTTGCATATGATTTCGACGTTGAGACGCACTCAGCGTGCCAAAGAGTGGATGGATGTAGATTTCCGAGAAGACGCGAAAGCCCGGAACCATCACACCAAAGGACTCCTATTGTGGGTGAATGTACTTGAAATATTTAGATGATGGAAAACAACAAAGCTCAAGGAGGAAAACTTTGTACGCAAGCAACTCGACGCTTGGTCCTCATGTGAACTTCGATGGTCAGTTTCTGAAACACAAAAGCGACATGTTATGATAGCCATTCAATTTCCTTGACTAGGGAAGGACGGCACGTGTTGCCTATGAGATCGATTTCAGCAGTATAGCAGACGAGAAGAGTCTTCCGCTGCTCATAGCTGCGTGTGAAATGGTTTCTCTGAGTTCAACAACACAAAATTAGATAACAAGAGGTCGAGAACGCCGGGCATATAAGCCTACGCATGTTGTTATGTAGGGTGGACGAAACAGACATTCAATCGTATCGTATAGTTTTTGACAGACCATAAGCTCTATGATATACATGTGCTCAATTTTGGGAAGACTTCGTGGGAGGCGGGAACATGTTCAATTGACATTTGCAATTGAGAAGACGGATGACAGATGACTCCATGCATTGCTGGGTCTAAGTTTTCAAGAAAAAGTTTTACAGGTACGTGGGTGATGAAGGTCAGAGTTGGCCAAAGGAGGAGAGATATTTATACTAGAGCGAGATATCGAGGGGAAACACGACGCCGTCCAAGTCTCATCTCCCTTGATGCATAATGAACGATGTTTTTTCTTGCACCATGTGTTGCCAGTGAGTCATTTTGAGATAGACTGTATCACACATGATAACAAAAAGGGTTAAGGAGAGATACACGTCAGTGCTAGGTGTATCTTTCGCTGGCTTTTCGCAATTGCAGTGGCCAGGAGTCCTCATAACCGGAATCCGTACGGTTTTCGACAACATGACGTAGTCGCTCTCTTTTTTCAAGATAAGGTTGTTCTAAAGTGGCTTCAAACAGATGCTCCATCGGGAACAACGTCATGAGTTTTTGTACTGGCGCAAAACCCATGGCATCTCTGATGTGTAGTTTTGAATTCAGTTCCGAAGCCCAGTCATGCCATTTTATCTCGTCATTTTTGGAGAAGGTTTTTGAAAAGACGGATAATAAAAAGACAAGTCGAGAAAGAAAAAGGCCAGCTTTTATATCGTTGACGAGGTCCTCAGGTTAGTGCAAGCGGTCAGTCTCATGATGCGGAACACTTCGTACATTGAAACGGTCTGCGTAAGCTCCTGCGTGCCTTTCAAATACCGAAAATCTCCTCTCGATCAAACTTCGTCATCATCAAATGGTATTCAGCCGACCTAAAGGTCTCTCTTTGGTTCTTCCCACTATCATGTATACATCATCCCGCATGTTCAAGAAACATACCACACTCTACTGCCCACCAGTCTAATTCTGACCCTTCTGCTCAGCACCCACGCTCTTACCCCCAGCCTTCGTCGTATCGCCAACAAAGTTACCAGCCGCTATCTCATGTCAGCCAGCATCCTTCCCCACCTTCTTCCCAACCCCCACTCCCTCTCTCTCTCTCTTTAACACCCTCAACTACCTACACCCGGGAAAGTAAACGTACCTTTAGTAGTCTCCCCAACACCCTGCGTAACTCCCGTCACAGCATCGCCAAGCCCTTTACCACCGGCAGCAACAACATTACCAGTGGCATCAGTAACGCCCTGGACGCCCTTTCCGACCGTGTTCGTTGCTGCGCCTAGCGTGTTTCCTGTACTGTTAGCTTGTTTTCTGACGTTACCCAGTACGGCGGTGCTGGTGGGCAGGGAAAAAGGGCCAGAAGATAGATGTCAAGAATTTGGAATGGAACATACCGAGACCGCTTGCAGCGGTGCCAAAGAAGCCTTTTTGCTGGTTGTTCTGGTCCGACATGGTTGATGTGTGCGTGTGTGTGTTTATGTGTGTGTGTTATATATCACAAGGTGATCCTGAATCTGATCAAGAAACGGCAGATTTGTACCTGAACTAATAAAATGATTGAGAGTTCGGTCCGCTGTGAGTGTAGTGTAAAAGTGCTCAAGCCTGCCAACTTTCTTGCGCTTTACATATGTGTCTTCCCTTTGCTACTCTGTCCTTATGACGTAACCCGCTTTTGCCCTCCTTATCCCTGCAGCAACCCCTCTACCCACCCGTTCTGCCCCTCACTTGTGAGCAACGGGCTGAGAGACGCGCAACGCTCGTGCCGTCAGCAGATATCTCGCAGAAAGGATCGACATGTTTGCATCATATCACATCGTTGGCAAGGCATCTGTCTCCCACCAAATAGGCCTGTCAAGGTTCGCAAAAAAGGTCAGACCAGGCAACAGTATCACAGCGTCACGACAGCGCCATCAGGGCAGAATGCATTTTTAGCACATTTCATTCTATTTGGATCGATATCACAAACAAGAAGTCCGTAATGATTCTCATCATCCGTACATCATCGTTTTCGCGCATTTGCAAGATCTTTTTGTGTACTCTTCTTGCATCGTCGCACGTGTGCATGCCTGAGCAACGACATGCCTAAGCAAAGGACGTTCTGCTGTCATGGGCGGACACCATATGCGATCGCCAAACCACCGCATTCTCTGAAGAGTTGCAAGCAAAGAAGAAAGAGAAGAAGAAAAGGATAACATGAGAAAAAGTGCAGGATTAGAGGCAAAGAACCTCCACAGGTGGACAAAAGGTAGACTCCCTGCTACCCATCTTTTGCCCATCCCTACCCTAGCAGCGCAGGAAAAAGGTGATGAACGAACCGACGTCAGGAGAAATAACTCAATCGTGCCCAAAGAACCACCCATAGCGCTCGTAAGAAGCGTCAGCGGTGTAGGGCCGTTCCTCATCCATCCATCTTGCAAAGCAGGTCCCAGAACGCCGCCATCATGGTCCGTAAAAAACATGAAAACATGCGCATGCACATCGACAACAAGGAAACTTTTGATGAAAACCCCGGGCGTCCGAAATGCATGCAAACAATGACTGCGCGCTGTGATGCAACCCCCCTTTCTATAGCAACGAAGAAACAGGCGATCGATTAGATTACCGCGTGCGGTGTGGTCTATGGGTATAAGAACCGTCACGCGCTCGAATGGTTGGAAAAAGAGGTAATCACTCGGAAGGCTTGGCCTCCGTGTCGGCTGCAGATTCGTCTGCCGCGTTGGATGCAGAGCCAGCCTCGCCGGCATCTTCGTTACTAAGAGCTGCAAGTGCACTGCAATAGTTGTTAGTAAAACCTTGAATGTCATGAGGAATGGAAGCTTACTCGAAAGCGTTCGCGTGGGCAGTTTCCTGCTTCTTGACTGGTGGTGTGCCAGTGCGCGAGGAGGCGTTAGAGTCTTCACGACCGCCCATCATACCGGGGCCAAGACCGCGACGGCCGCTACCACTGCGGCTACCGAGCATGGACGGGCCAAGGGACTGGTTGTTGAGGTTGCGTCCAGAAGCACCCTTGGAGAGCTTGCGGAGGTCGTCCATCTGTACACGGCTGCCGGTGTCTGGAGGAGGCTGCATGCCACCACCTGAGAACGAGCGAGCGTCGCCGCGACCCATGGGAAGACGACCACCACCACCACCACGCTGGTTTGATCGTGTACGCTCCATCTCGGCGGCCTGCTGAGCCGCCATGGCTTCTTGATGGATCTCTGCAATGGTCTTGGGACCCTTGAGAATGTCCTTGGACTTCCAGCCAGCCTTGCGCATGTCGACGGTGTCGAGCAACATGAAGTGCATACGCGACGGAAGACCCTCCATGTTCATGACCTTCTCGATGCGCTCGAAGTACATGTTGATCATCTTGGGACCAGCCTCGGCCGACTCCATCGTGGCTCCAACAGTGCGGAGCAGCTTAACCAAAGATTCAATAGCAGCCTCATCGGGAAGGCCCTCAAAGTCGAGAAGCTTGAGCACACATTCGTGCATGATACGGAGGGTCAACATGCCCAGCTTGTACAGCTCTCCGATGAACTGAATGAGACCGAGACCCTTACGCTTGGCAGCAGCGGCGATGTAGTACTCGTCTGACAGAAGCTTAGCTTCCTTCTCGCCTTCTGGCGCCTCGGGCAGATTGACCTCCCAACCACGCTCGAACTCTTCCTGACAACGGTTCAGGAGGTACTTGCGGAAGAGAGCGCCACCAACGACGGGGTTGCCATGCTTGTCGCGGACGTTCTCGTCCTTGATCTCGGTGCTCATAGTCTGCAACATGCGGCTACAGAACTTGGCGTACATAGAAGACCAATGAGACTCGTCGCAAGCCTTCTCGAAAGTGAGCTGAATGACCTGGCGAAGGGTGCGTCCATCAGTCTCGTCCTTGGACTGTCCAGCAATCTCGAGAATTTGGTCGGAAATCTTGTCAAATTTGTCGGGTGTCATCTTGTTGAGAGCAGCCTTGACCTTACGCTGTACCATATCGGGAGCCAAGTGGCCTGCACTCATTTGAGCCTGGACAGCAGCAGGCTGAGTGAGCGAAGTAGGTACCCAACCAGTCTGCGAGCGCTTGAGTGCCTCGATTTCCTTACCAGCAGTCAGTGGCATTGCCTTGGCGTCCTGGCCGCCGCCCTGGCCGCCGCGACCGCGATGGCTGCCGCCAGCGCCCTTACCACGAGAGCTGCCTACGCGAGGAGAATCGGGTACCCGGTGGGCGCTCTGGTAGGAGTTGTTGCGTCCTCCCAAAGCAGGAGCGCCACCCATAGGGAAACCGCCACGACCTCCACCTAGAACGACATGAGCAAGGGGGTTCGTCATAGAGGAGCTACGTCCAGCTTGAGCTTGCTTGAAGCGCTCTTCGGATGTCGTACCTGGCGGGAGTGTGCGCCCTCCTGGCGGGAACGAACCAGGTGCTCCAAAATTGCCCATGCCGCCACCGGCAGCACCTCCGCGAGATCCTTGACGGGGACCCATAGAACCGACTCGAGCAGACGGGGGGCCGCGAGCTGATTGAGGCTCGTCACCGACAGTCTCCTTGAGTTTCATGTCCCAGTCAACCGAAGGCTTCTCCTTGAAGACATCTTGGAATTGCAAGAGGAAGTCCTTGTCGTACTGGCGTCCCTTGCTCCTGTTGCTGTTGTTAAGAGCGGGGTTGGGGCTAGCAACACCCTGAGGGTACTGAACCTCAGCACGAACCTCGAGGAAACGTGCGGTCTTGAGCGCCTGCATACCAGCAGTTGGCTGCGCGGGCTCAACGGACTTGTTGGTCTCGAGCTTGAGAGCGGCTGGCTTGGGCTTGGTACCAGTGGGAGTTTTTGATGGTGCGGGTGCAACGACAGGAGCGGTAGCCTCGACCGGGTTTGCCTCCTCGGTTTGAGAGGCACCAGGACCAAACATGGTGTTCTTCTTCAGGCCTGCGAAGAGGGCCTTGTCCTTGGCCTCGCGTTCGGCCTTTTGCTCGGGAGTCTCTGCTGCGCGAGCAGCTTCAGCCTCTTCGGCTTCCCGCTCAAGCTTGCGCAGACGCTCCTCTTCCTGCTTGACCTTCTCAGCGGCGTTGGCCTTCTCAGCCTCGGCCTTCTTCTTCTTCTCTTCCGCGTAACGCTTCTCGTCCTCTTCGCGCTTCTTCTCTTCCTCCTCCATCTCAGCAATCATGCGCTCCATCTCTTCGTCTTCGAGGCGCTTCTTCTCGGCCGCGTCAGTCTCAGCCTTCTTGGCAGCTTCAGCGTCCTCCTTCTCCTTGGCTTCAGCAGCAGCTTTAGCATCTGCCTCTTCCTTAGCAGCAAGCTTTGCGTTGGCTTCGGCCTTGGCCTCTTCCTCAGTAGCTTCCCTTGCCTTCTTCTCGGCCTCTTCTTGGAGGCGGAGCTTCTCCTGGAACTGCTTGACAAACTCAGCCTTCTTGGATTCGCCATCAGCCTTCGTAGCGTCAGTGGCGCTTGGCGCGCGCGGCGGAGTTGGTGTAGCAGCAATAGCGGGAGACCGAGGAGCTGCAGGTACAGAGGATGCGACAGCTGGCGGTGCAGGTGAAGCACCCTTGGGCTTGAAGTCGACAACTTCACCATCAACAGTCTTGATAGTGATAGCCTTGCTTGCCCGCTTCGGGCGCTCGAAGGTGGAGCTGGGCGCTGGGCTTGCTGACGTCATGCTCGGGGTGTGTGTGTGCGAGATGTGGTTGACGTTAGTCATAGCCGGTGTGGAAGGCTGAGGAACAGCAGACGATGGCCGCTCCGACATGTTGGAAGGAGTGCGTGACATGCTCTGGGCCTGTGGCTGATGACCGTAGGGAGCAACTCCGTAGGGTGACTGCATCTGGGGAGGGTAGCCACGGCCAGGGCTAGCAGGGACACCTGGGTAGTGGATCGACTGCTGTAGTCCGTAGTTCTGAGGGTAGAAGTTGTTGTAGGGATCTAAGCCTGGTTGAGGCATGCCGCCGTACATAGCCTGTGGAGGATACTGCTGTCCCGGGTAGAATGGCATACCAGGGTTGGCGAGATGCTGCTGCTGGTGCATCGTAGCGGGGGTAATAGCGGGGCTACGGTTCTGAGTGTAGGGAGAGCGCTGCGGCATCTGGCCCTGAGGGTGGAACGGCGGGGCTTGACCACCGCGACCCATCTGAGGCATGGCGCGGTGTGGCTGTGGCGAGTAGTTTGCCATCTGCGGATTGAAGTGGCCCTGGGTGTATCCACCGCGACCGCCTCGGTTGGCAAATGAGCCTCCGCGGCCCATGTTTGCGTTGCTCATGTCGCTGTGCGCGGACTGAGACGACTCGCGGCGCAAGTGTTGGGCTTGCGGGAGGGAGTGGGAGTTGGGTTGAGGGGGCATAGCAGGGCGCGCCTGTAGTAGAGTCAGTAACTGAAACAGAGGAACAGTATATAAGGGCAAGAAGGGCGCAAACTCACGTTAGGCTCAGTGCTTTCACCACCCTGGCCACCGAAGACCAAGTTTGGACGAGTCGGCAGTCCATCAGGCTTGGGGCCTCCGGAAATGGGCGTGGGAATGGGTGAAGGTGAGTGAGCAGGCGAGGCAACGCGCGGGTTCTGCACCTGCGCCGGGTTCAGGCTTCCCTGGACTACAGGCGAGGCGTGGGCAGGCGCTGGTGAGCCAGCAAGCGAGCCGAACTTGATGCCAGAGGGCGGGCCACCTGCAGTCGCAACAGGCGGGGTCTGCTTGATCTGGACGGACGACTTGCGCTCGTGGGCGCTGCCGTTAGGGCCGCCACTCACGATGGTGGGCATAGCGGGAATAGCAGGCTTGATGGCGCCGTTGCCATTCACCGGGGATACAGAGGAGCTCTTTCCATGCTGCGCGCTCTGTGGACCTCCCACTGCCACGGGCGGCGCTGCGCTAGACACGATCGTGGGCTTGGTCGCGTTGGCGTAGGAGCTGCGGGCAGTGGGTTGAGCCGAACCGGCGGCCACGGTGGCGGACGATCCTGTAGAGGAGTTGTTCGCGGTCGTAGACGAGGAAGCGGCGATCGGCGGGGTTTGCGAGTTCGAGGCGGGATTACTCATGGACTCGGTGGTGGGTGAGGTGAGGTGGATGTGGGAAGGCGGTCGGTAGGCTGCGCAGTCGCTACCTAGCTGAGGTCGGATGACGTTGGTGTCGCTGGAATCCCAGATTCGAGCGAGGGGACGAACTCTGCGGAATTAATGAGTTGCTGTGACAGCGACTCGGGAGGGTGCAGAAAAGAGTGTCGTCCGCGGTGACGAAGGGAAGGCAAGAGGTCAACTCCTTTAGGAAGGGTGTTGAGGGCTGTCCGAGCGCTTCAATGAAGGAGTCTCTGAACAGGTTCCGGATTCGGGAGAGGTGGATTTCGCCGAATAAATTCGTGAAATCGACGGGCGGCTCCTGTGAAGATCACTGAGTCCGCTGCGTGTGTCGTGATGGGATGTTCTCGCAGTGGAGAGACGGGTGTGTGGAGGGATGGCGGTTGGGCTCTTTCGAAAATTGTTTGAGTGCCAGACTAAGCCGCAACAAGGATGTTGGCCTAGCCGAGAGTCCTTGAAGCTCAGTCCCAACACCTGGAGTGCCCACGCCAGTCAAGCCAGGCTTGTCTGATGACTCTGCTTGCTCAGAGTTCCGGGCCAGTCAGTTCACGATTGGTTTATTGGCGGGCGCGCACAAACTGTGGTTGCCATGTACGCAGTCGTGATTTCCTCGGATACAACAGGCAAGAGCGGAGGGGCCGCCCACGCTGCCTCACCAAATCCATGACTTGGGCCCGTCATCACATACACAGTAAGCGGGACAAGACTCGCAGTGCTGCACCTCGCCCCAATGACCTCGTCGTGATTCCGACTAGCAGACCGTGGCTGTTGGCACATAGCGGAGGCAAGGCTCTAGTACGTGGGGTGCCTTGCGCTGAGCTGGGCTGGACGGCGACAGCAGACGCAATCCATACTTTGAGCAAACCCCGCCGTCTCGTAGACGTGTGCATCTACCCAATGCCAAACGCCCTGTTCCTACGCGCACCATCGGACCAGGTGAACGGGTTCTTGTTCCCACTGCTATAGCTCAGCCCTGTGTCTCTTAGGATACACCCGGTAGCACAATGAAGCACAGTCGTGGCTGCGACAAAGAAATCATCCACGGACAAAGCAGTCCTAGTACCACAATGCCGCATAGGCCTTGCCGTCCATACAGTGTGGAATCGCATCACCCCTCCTGTGCAGATCGAAGAAAAGATGTAAACTTACTGACGTCTTGCTGCGCGTCTATGCACAATGACGGCGTGTTTCGCGGCGACGGCCATACACGTGAAAGACATCTCCGCCTTAACTCCATTGTCATGTGAGATTTTCGAGTACCATTGCCACAATCGATAACGATTGATCAGACCACTCTGTGCACCTCTATGATTACCACAAGGCCCGATTGACTCAAGCAAGGGCCTCGAGCTTGACACGGACTCTGTCCTGTTGACTGGACGATGCATCGACAATTTTGTGAAAGGCGGGGATTGCCCAGCCGAAGACATGAACCAGAAAGGGTCTCGATTGAAAGGAGATTTATGTATGGGTCTGGTTTGTGACGCGAGAGTATGAGTAGCACCTTGCACCTTCCTGTCGCAGTACGAGCAGACGTAGTGGATGGCAAACATGGTTGATATGGCGGATACGTGACAATGGTGGACGCAATGCGGAGTGATAAGATGGTGGAGATATCGAGATCCTTTTCCACAGAGACGCCACTGTGGTGCCAAATTTGCGGATTCGACGATTCCTAGTGCCACAAACCTGAAAGTTTACAAGAAAGGCACTCGATATGAAGTGGTCTACCGCCAACTCCACGTTCATGGGATTGCGAGAGTGCAGTCTGGGCCACAGCGCTCTCATGTCTCTCGGACGTACAGCTTGCTGTCCTAAGCTAGAGAAATTCGACTAGCGCATCTCAAAGTAACACGGGAGGTGTAGTGGGCTGAACCTCAGGCTACTACGAGGGGTGGGGCCGCATCGCTACCATATAACTGCGGATACTGCCCGCGTAGAGGATGTGTTGCCAGTGGATTCCCCTAGTAGCGACAATCACGACCCAGGAACTGTTGTAGAGTAAGCGAGTGGTCCATTCAACTTCGCAAAAAGAAAAAGGACAGCGTGGATACTTAGGGGTTGAAGATTAGATTGGTCCAGAGAAGAGGCAATGGTACTACTAGCAGCGAACAGATACATCGCAACAGGATGCAGCCAAAACCTTGAGCTAGCCGCACAATCATCTGTTCGTTGACTGTAGGCAAAACGCTTGCAAAGGCTGACGTTATGACTCCTTCAGACCGTCCATTCACCGCCTACACATCGTCTAGACTACAGCCACATACTCCATCCTATGCATTCAACGGTCACCACAATCATCCGCCATCCATGACTCACACGAAACGGTGCCACAAGAACTCGGCTCCTTCAGCAGCCGATTGCAGCTGCCGGGATCCTTCTTATTCATGTCGCGTAGCATTAGTAGCGCACAGCCGACGGTTTTGTGTGCGCCGGCAGCAGAGCAGAAGCAATGTCGTGGTAGCAAAAGGAACGAACACGACCGATCTTGAAACCCTGCTGCTGCTGCGGGTGTAATGCAACGAGCCGTAAAGCCGCCAGGTACCGATGACAGTAGGTCGGCGGCTCAGTACGACGTTACCAAGTCGTGAATTGGCAGTCGCCTCAGACTTCAGGTCTGAACTCACACGCGCATTTCAATGCAAACTGGAGCATGACGTCCGGTCCTGTTGTGCTGCGTGCTGCGACAGACGGGGATAGCCATGCTTGCGCAGACCGACTTGCCTCTTGCGCTGGCTCTCTCATCGCATTTCCATCAATCGCATCCGACCCATTATAATCTCGGATTTCCGGAGTATGCGCATTCGCATTCTGGGGGTGTGGGGGAGATGAAGGAGGAAACAAATGTCGCATCGAGCGCCGCACACGGCCACATCAGCGTAAACTTTGACCATGAGCGGGATCCAAAAACTTCCACCTCTCATCGTCAGCCACACCCACATGAACCTCGGCGAAGTGCCACTCTTACTTTCCTGCTTAGAAAAGCCGCCGGCTGTGCGCAGACCCTCCTCTTTGACCGCATCTGCCCCCAAGCCTGCATCCTTGGGGGCAAGCTCAGCCTTTAAACTCTGCGCCAGCTTCCGCTTCTCGTAATCCTGCTCCGGTGCCCCGAATGCAGGACAGAAGCGGGCCAGAAGGTTTGTCGATGGCGCAAGCCTGCCGTCGTCCGATCGCTGACTGCCATGGCTTTTCCTCGTATCCTTCGATGATCGCCCTGCGCCGTATCAACGCAGGTGCATAACGGCTGAGGAACCACCCTCGGGCACTAAAAGCGCCTCACAATCCTTTGGCGTTGATGGCATGAGATTGAGTTGGAGTCAAAATCGACATCGCATGAACTTGCCATGGTGGTGCATCCTTTGTTTTTGCTCCAAGTACCGGCCGTGGCTGCAGATGAGGAAGTTGCATGTGTGTGTGGAGATGATAATGCAGGTGGAAGAAGAAATTTGAAAGGTCGTGCTTTCGTGCCTTCCCGTCTTTGTTGTCTGCATCATCCCGTCCCGCCCTTTGCTTCTTCTGGCATGCATCGTCATGCTCGAAGGCGCGAGAGCCTGACCCACCACCACGAGCGAACTTGTCGCGAGAAGCAAGTATGCCCAACGGGCTCACGCTCGTCATGCGTATCAGCCCTTTCCAATACCTTACTGCATTTCGCTTCTCGACCGAGGCGCCGCCTAGGTACGTATCTTTACATCATGATGCCAGCGCTACCGCAAGACATTGCATCCCTGCTGACGTCTGGGGCGAGATGCTGGCAGTGCAGCCTCCACGTGACGTGAGTCTTCCACCAATCGCTTCCCACACTGGCAATTCACTCCGCGCCGGAACAGGAAAGCGACCCTGACGTTTTCCCAGCCAATCGCACATGCGGAGCTCAGAACCACGAACATCAACAACAACACTGCGACGCAGCTCTGACCCTGTAACCCCAAAAATTCAGTCTTGTTCACCTCGTTCCACTCCACGATCCTGCTCGGCTCTTGGAGTACCAATAGGGTGTTTGGGCTATTCTGTGCCTTGAGCCTTCTCCGCATGTCATAATGGCTAAAAAGTTCCTGTCGAACCAGCGGGTATTCAGCCGGGATGACAGGTAGTCGCAGTGCCCTTACTCATCTTCAGGCACGTCGTTCCGGACTCCTTCGCGACCGTCATGGCGCGATTCATGTGTACCTTGCACCACACCACCGAGCTGACGGACAATAAAATTGGTAGCGCCTTTGCCTAACGTCCAGTCCGGTAAGCTCAGCGGTTAGCCCAGATGCGAGGACGTTTGTGAAAGGAAATGCGGAGGAAGGTGGAGAGCGTCTGGCGCAAAAGCAGCGACAGGGTACGCTAGCCAACGCTCGTCCGCACATGATGCGCTCCGCAGGACGTGAACCGTGAACGGTAGCCCTCGAGGGTTCTGTCGGAATGGCGTACCGCATTGCGGCGGCCTTACCCCATGGGTGAGCTACGATGACTTCAGCGCCGGTTTGCGTTGTCATTCAAGGTTCCAAGGTTGCTCTCGCTTGTGGTTCGGTGTGGTCCGCCCTGAGTCGCGGATCCTGGCGGTAACCTTGCCTTTCGTCTGGAGTAACATGTCCGGGCCCTTGTCGATAAGTGGCCGAAGCTAGCGAGCTTAACTCACGATACAAGCTGCTAGGAACGTCTCTAGAGGGCGCCTATCACACCGCCAGCGAGGCCATGCACGGCGAGCCTCATCGCACACGTCGAACAGCCGATCATCCTAGATCACACGCACATGCTTCCGTACCCAGCAGCTGCAGCATATCCTTTGCCCATTCACACGACGCCTTGGCTGAACCATGTACCATGAGCTTCTCGAAGGACACCGCTTGGAAGAAGGCGTTCTCTCAATCACCCAATTCGCCCGCGTAGCCTTTACCCCGGCAATGCCCAGCCTAGATTAAGCCTAAGATCTGTTCTTGCTTGCAGAGTACCGCGGCTCCTCAATCTAACAATGCCAGCAGGAGCCGTTTAATAACTCTAACAAAGTTAAGATCCACACCTAGCATTCTGTTCCTTAGCGGAAACACCTGCTTCAGCCACTCAAAGATGCCAACCGGTGTAAGAGATTCATATCCAGTGTGTCACGTAGCTGACTGGCTTGGCTTCCCTCCCTGTTCAAGTTATCATGATCCTTGGCAATAGTTCCATACTTTCTTTGCTGATGTGTATTCTACAGGCGGACGAATACCGAAGCCTATCCAAACACCAAGATGTACCATGCAACTTCCCCGCAAAATGCTAATCCTCGATCTTCATCAGCATACGATGAACGTACATGCACATGACGCGCAAGGACAGGAGTAGAAGCATCCTACTATCATGTTACTCTACCGTTGTGCTCTACACATTTTACTTCCTTATCGTACTACCATCGCACAACCTCCACATCTTTCTCTCCACAATAAAAGCCTTCCCGTAGTAAGGACCCTTCATCCGAGCCCAGCAAGGTTCGTGGTCCAGAGGTAAGTGGTGGTACACGTACGTAGTACTTGTCGTGCTTCATAGCAATTTAGCCATACCTACCATGCCTTTCCCTGCCATGATATGCGAAGCTATCAAGCATGGTACCGATTTTCTAATCTTCCATTGCTCCTCCAAGTCCTATCACACCACTTTACCTTTTGCACCCCACCACACGCTACCACGTCCTAGCCTATGCCCAACCCTGCCGTTTTGCCCTGCGCTACCCACAAAGCAAAAGCACAGTCGCCAGAAGCCCATGAACGGCACTAGAAGCAACACATGCACAACAATCCATGTCACCCATCGGTTCCTGAGCCTCAGAAGCCGAAATTAACTGCAGCTGCCTGCAAGTCTGTCTCTGCCAAGTATCCACACATGCAAGACGACATGCAAGAGAAGCAGGTTAAGAAAAGTCTGGGGTAAGAAAGTGTGGAGATCTTTCTTTTCGGTTTGCCCTCGCGTCATTTCGCTCATCCACCCACAGGGTAGGTTGAGGATGCAATATAAAAAAGATTCTAGTCATGTGGAGGTTTGAGACTTTGATTAAGGGAATGAGGGCGCGGAAGGATCGACGGGAGGTGGCGGTTCGGATGGAGGCCGGCTTGGTGGATGTGGAATATGGGGAGGGGTGGAGGGGTGGTGGAAGCTTCTTCTCGACTGGAGAAGATTCTAGTGTGCATGAACAACGCGTAACGAGTTTGTGTGGGATCACCATGTGTGCGTGACGAACGCCATGAGCATCAATCCAACTCCGTGTCAGGAATGAGGAGCAGGAATAAACGCCCTACACATGTCATCAACACACACAGAGAGATACACACCATTGGAGAGAAATCTGCCTGCCTGTTTTGCCCGCGCTGTACGCGGGAAGTATACTTCCTGTACGCTCACATCGGAGTATCCACTTGCACCGTCTAGATCTATCCGCCCAGCTCCAGGCCAGTTTTTCCGCCGCCCGGAATCTCGGAGTAAGTACCACTGCGAAAGGACTCACGGTCCTTGATGTGACATCGCGTTCCACCACCGTCTGGCCGACGGTTGCAAAGAGAGCTTGTCAAGTTGCTTGAACGCTGGGCATGGGCTCCACATACCACAATAGTCTGTTCCGCTAGAGGCTCCGACATCGCCTCAGGTATCGGGTCGACTAGCTGGATAGGTTGTTCAGCTAGTCTTCGCTTGGATATAGAGGTACATACGATTTGACGGTGGTTTACTTGGCGATGCTGCCATGTTCGCTGGCGCCACCATCTCTCTTTCAATCGGTCAACGGTTGGTGTGGGTAATCAGTTAGTCAGGCACATGCAGGACAGCAGATCCACAGTAAGTGAGGTGTAGCCGCCATGCAAGATTATATTGGAAAGATGTGGGGTATATGTGATCGGCCGCGTCATGTGGTTCTGGTCTCCTTAGTAGTTGCTTTGTACAGGCAAGATTTTCCGTGTCGTGGATTTGGCTGTGAAGCACAGTGGCGACAGGACCAAGACGAAGTGTGAACAAGTGTATGTTGGAACATTTGATATTGCCACAAGGAATGTATGTGGGTAGATTGTAAGATGATACATAGAACGGTAATACCAATACTGCGCTGCCATAGCTCAAGCTGGTTGAAAAGGGGGGTTTTGAAATAGAAGAGGGTAATCGCCTGCAAGTTGCCGTAAAGTAGTGATGAACTTGTGTGATGAAACAACCACCAAACCAAAAGAATTCCGTACAGTAGGAGAGAGAAGGCGAGACTGGTATCGCTAGAGAAGATTGGAATGCAGCAGAGTCATCCACCCAGTCGAAACATATATCCGTACCCGTTTTTCTTCCCAAAACACAAAATCGCTGTAGGTTCATAATCTTCGCACCGGCCAAATCAAGCAAAAATCAAACAAAAACAAAAACGACATCGCGCGCTTGCTTAATACTGGTCGTTATGGTGGTCGTCGCTGTGTTGGCTGGCGTTCTCCATGACTTCTCCCAGCACAGAGCCAACGGCAGAATACGAGTCATTGTGCGCCGAGTCGTTCCGCATATATGAGCTAGGAAACGACGACAAGTGGTGCGGTGCACTCATTTGAGGCATTCCGTAGCTCGAAGGGGTGGCGAGCGGTGAGCCAGAGAAGGAAGGGAAGTGGGCGGTCTGTGGCGTAGACCCGTTGCGTTGAGGGGCGTAGTGAGTGCTCAGCTCGATGCGACGGGGAACGCCGTTGGAGAAGGACCGCATTCTGTTGCCGCTTGATGTACCGAAGCCTGGTACTGGGGAATCTGGAAGTGTTAGAAGGTAGGAGCATGAGCCACGTGGGCGAGGAAAACTTACAAGAGTAGCCAATGCCGTACGGCATCATTGAGCTGGAGTAGGACCGACTGTCATGGCTATTGGAGCTGTCATGAGAGCCAGTATAGCTCATGCTAGTCCTCAAAGGTGACTGTAGAGACTCTGCACGGCTCCTTGCGATTCGGTCGGCGTGAAGTGAGAGGCGAGGGATGCTGTGTTGTGCAGCATACGCGGTTGGGTTGCTGACAGGCATGGAGAAGGGGTTAGACGTTCTAGGGCTAGTGTCGATTGGTGTTGAATGGAAGCCAAAGGGGGATCCCTCGTGAGCTGAGACGGGTGAGATGGTGTCGGTTGCTGATTGAGGTGGTGTGAAGGTGAACCCGCCAAAAGCAGGGCTGATGCCAGTTGGCGACATATGCGAGTCAAGCG